ATGCTTGTATTTTGTGAAAATATTTCTTACTTCGTTGATAAAAAGACTTTGATTTGACGATGTCCAAACATTGACACACTTTTTCACCTATGAAACGAGCAGAAAAGAGATACGTCCTATATAGAGATCCTAACTGAGCCAGAATGACCCACACGCAAGAGAAAAAAGTGCATTGCCATTTGTACAAAACTCCACTACATATTCTGAGTGCCTAGCTGTTAGTGCACGTTACTGGAATTCTTTCTAAACCATCTATACTGGTATTCTTTTTAAACCATCAATACTGATACCTATTCTTTTTAAACCATCAATACTGATACCTATTCTTTTTAAACCATCAATACTGATATTCTTTTAAAACCATCAATACTGGTATCCTTTTTAAACAATCAATACTGGTATTCTTTTCAACCATCAATACTGGTATTCTTTTTAAGCCATCAATACTGATATTTTTTTCAAACCATCCCGCATTAATTCTTCGCATGGTGACCATGAATTTCGTACTTTAAATTCACTCGAGGATTAAATTTTTACATAGAACCTTGGATGCTCCCTGCATATGAAGCGATGAAGACATCCACGCCACGCACACTGCGCGTAATTACCACGTAAATACCACGCAGATACCACGTAAATACCACATAAATACTGTGTATAGCACGTAAATACCACATAAATAACGTGTATAGCACGTAAATACCACATAAATACCGCGTAAATAGTGCGCATTTGGCCTATAAATAACATTCAAATACTATGTGAATGACAAATAAGTACCGCGAGGATATCACGCCAAAACAACGTAAATTTACGCAAATATCACGTAAATATCCCGTAAATCTTACATCAATAAAAAAAAACAAGCAGTAGACGCTACGTAAATACGAGCATTACACGCCACATGTAAACCAATACATACAAACGCTGGATACATTTATAAGTAAACGCAGATAAGCAACACTGTGCGTGGACACATTTGCAGACGAAAATTAACCGTAAAACTAACAAGCTAGTTTTCATAGATAAATACTTGCGTTATCATCGATACCTCCTAAATACTCACAAGGTCTCCTCGATACCTCCCAGATACTCACACGGTCTCCTCGATACCTCCCAGATCCCAGAAACTCACACGGTCTCCTCGATACCTCCCAGAAACTCACACGGTCTCCACAAAACCTCCCAGATACTCACACGGTCTCCACAAAACCTCCCAGATACTCACACGGTCTCCTCGATACCTTCCATGTAATTAAGCAGTTGAAGGTCAATGTAACATTTGAAGGTCAAAGTATTTTTCCATAACATATATAATAGCGATCCTTACTATATACTTCTGGTCGAAAAGTCAATAAGCCTGAAGAACTCTAAAATTAAGTAAACACTTTACCTCAACTGGCAAAGAATGATCTACGAAACACGGATTTTAGATTTTTAAAGAAGTGCTGCTTCCTCGAATGAATAAATTGTCGGAATTATCTTCCGACTAAACGAGCGTCGGAGAAGTCTTAAGTCATTAATATAGTCAACAATGGAGGCTGATAAGCAGCGTCTTGAGGTTCTCTGCTGCCTGTCTCACTGAAAGCTGAGGGAAATGAAGTGAAAATAGAAAATAATGGATCTGAAAGGTTGTTATAATGAAATTGAAATAAATATAAAAACATAAAAGCTCGAGGATAATGGAAGGAATATCTCTGACCTGACTCTGAATCAATAAAATTCTAGAGGTGCGGGTAGCATTGCTACTTAAATAAGTCATCGCAAAATGAAACTATCCGACGCCAAATATGCGTAGGATTCGAGGCGAAAAAGACAGATAAAAAGATATGAATAGCTAGTATTCTATATATTATTGAAGTAATTTACTGAAGCATGTATTTCTTAAATTTAATTACAGTTAATCATTTCTAAAACTGATCGCAAAATACGTTAATATTTCGTTATGAAGCGGATCAAATAAAGAGGGGTTATTTTTCATGGTGTTGCGATGCTATAGTCTGTTCAGCACTACGATACCAACGACGTTAAAACTAACGAAGTAACTTTTGACATCAACGAAGTTTATACCAACGAAGTTGATGTCAACTAAGTTGATACCAACGAAGTAACTTTTGACATCAACGAAGTTGATGCCAACGAAGTTGATACCAAATAAGTAACTTTTGATACCAACGAAATTGATGCCAAAGAAATTGGTATCAGAAGATACCGAGTCATCAGTTACCAGGAACTCCTTTCCTGCGCGCAGGAAGTAAGAGGAGGTTACCTAGAAACCTTTCTCTTGTGTTTGTCGCTCTATACAGGAGGTCTAGCGTACAAGGATATTGCCACAGTTTAAAAATGACATTAAGAAAAGCGCGAGTTCTGTCAGAAAATAGAAGAACTTTAATAATGTGGTATTATAAAACAGTAACCTAATGTCATGACGCATTCAAATAATTTTATTCGATCCGACAGCATTCGAAGCATACGGAATTTATACATATTACGATAAAATAAGCGACTTGTTTTCAAATTAGTGACGGAGCAGAAAAATGTTTTCAACCAAATTATAACTTTAATCCTATTTTTGTCATATAATAATGACATTATGCAACATTTTCTTGGAAACCCTGCGTGGATAATATAGATGATATATTGATAATACAACGATAGTGATGACATTCCTCTAAACGCGAGAGGTTTCATATTATACAAGGAATCAATTGGGAACCCCGGGAGTCGACGAGAGAAGGGTTGCCAGAGGCACGAAATCCCTGTCAGTTGCTCGCAATTTCCCGTGCGCTCTCTGGTGTACGGGGTTAAAAACAGCACTCGCTGCCTATATTGAATAAGGTTTATTCTTGTTAGAGAAAATTCAAGTAAAATTCACATATAGGATAATTTCTATAACAATTAGTAGACAACGCCTGATGTTAGAGAGAATAAAAAAAATTCAATCAGTATTAACAAGACGTTATCAACCGCCCCCATCCAATCGCCATACGTGAAATGTAAGCTAATTTTTGTCTGTCTGTCTCCGCAGCGGCAGCAGCACGTGAGTGTAATTCTAGTGAAAGTAGTGCGTGTCAACTCAAGTATGGCAGCTCTTCTCGCACTAAAATGACTCGATTTTTACAAGGGTGGTAACTTAAACATTTCTGCTCATCTTGTACTAATGCCACTGAGGACGCCACAGCTCTTATGTCGCCGGCCTTCAAAAGAATAATATATTTTATAAACACAACTACCCACAACTTCCTAGCGAGAAATAGCCTTGTTGTTATTATTTGGTGATTGAAGGGTAAAAGTCGTAGTTCTGTCTAGAATTATATGCTTTTATTGACGTAGGCGGATTAGTGCAACATCTGCGGAGTGGCAACTCATGTGTCATTGACAGTAAATTGTTGGTCCCAAACTTTTCTTCTCCGAAGGCGAAATAGCATATATAACCCTTTACCGATGTATGTCACTCTCCGGGAACATAACTTTCAGCTTTAACTATAAGTAAATTATTGAGTGTATCAACCTGAGGACGTTTGTAGGCTACAGAGAACATTTTAAAGTAACTTTCAACTTAATTATACGTAAACTATTGAGTGTAGCATCCTGAGGACGTTTGTACGCAACAGAGAACATTTTAAAGTTGTCGTACGTGGCGGCAACCATCAGTGCAAGTTTTTTTCGCTCACTAGAACGTATCCTTTTTGGGAAGTAGGCTTGTGACAATATTGCTCCGGTTACTCATGTCAGGCGGTAGAGGGATAATTATAGTATAGGCATGCCTGAACGAAAACAAAGCTCCCTAACTTCTTACGATATCCCGTTCCTCATCCTCATGTGTTTTGATGTTCTGCGCGACATGTAGTAGGCAGCAGTTTAGAAGTTTTTGTCATAAATTTATGTATGTTACCAGGAAATTTCCTAGGTTCATTATGTTCTTGCACAATTTACGTCAAAAATTTCCTGATAAGTCTTTACAGTAATAACGTGCGACTGAAGAGCGAACTTTACTCGCAGGTTGTTCTATTGATCTATCCAAAACGACGAGCCTTGTATTGTCAACTATTAATATAAAAGTATGGAATTTAGTAGACTATATATAATAGAAAAATAAGACTTTTGGAACTTTAAAATGAAGTACGAGTTTGCCGTTGTCGTAAGTCTACGTTGTGCTCGTGGGTTGCAAAACACCGAACGCCCATCGGCATCACAATGCTCTCATGTCGTCTTCCGACGCCTCATCGTGCAACTTACGACGAAAAATATGCTAGCCTTCAGGTACTTCGATTATAGTAGGTATTACGTTTATCTATGCGACTATGCAACAGATTTTCTGCATCTTACATTGCCTGTAAAATTATTTCATAAGAAAATTTGAAGAAGCGAATTGTTTAAAGTACACTACTACAATTGTAGACTTCATCTTTTGATATTTAGTTGAATCGTATCACTCGTAACCTCACATCTAACAGAAACGAGATTCATTTTAGAATGCTACTTAAAACTATTGAACGAGATAAATTTTTACAAATAGAATCGTTCGTAGACTTTACTGTTAGCGAGGAATCAAAAACTACATTGACTCACCTTGCACTTAAGTTGAAGATTGATTTTAATAATGGGCTGAAAAGGACTGCTCTCAAAAGGGAAGCGTGTTTTTCTACATCCAGATCCATGCAACGCACACCACACTTCACGGCGTTTCGCCAAGCACTGAACCGCCGGTCACCGACTCACCGCGAAGTGACGGGCAGTCGGTTGCCTATAGTGGCTGACTATCGTCCGACGCTCGCTTGACCTCATGGGTCACCTCTCTTTCTGAGTGTTTCTAGAAACCATTTTCAGAAACGGATGTCCGCTCAACGTCAATGAGAGTTTGATACAAATATGAACGTGTAGCTTGGTGCTCATGTTGTTTTTACTGAATTTGTGGTTTCATTCTTTACGTAAATGAATTCTGCCGTTCGAATGGACTAGCAGAAGTAAACAGCTCGAATGTAAATAAAAAAGATATCTCGCTTTGAGGGATTATTTACTACATTCTCCAGGATAGACATTCATTCACAAATAAATATCTTAGAACCTTATGTACAAATAACTTGACACAAACTTTAAATAATTCAAACAACAGCCAGAAATCTACCTATAGTCAATTTGAAGACAAATATCAGCCACATTGATTTGGATACTAATAGATTTAGTACAAAAAAAATTGAGCTAAGAAGAGACGTTGCACTAAAACGGCATGACAGCAATAAAACTCTACAGCATTTCTCATCAATTTGGAACGAAATTGCGGCCAGCTTCAACACGAAAGCATAAAATTAGCCGAAGTACGCTCTTCTTTACCTCGACATTAGATTTACTTAAAGGCAAAAAATATATTTTTCCGGTATACTCCCCGAAGCCAACACAATTTCCAGCACAAACGCACCAAGTGTGCAGGAAGGACCTAATTTTAAATACCAGCTGTAACACAAATTTTGACAAGTCTTCGAGCACCTATGGAGACACGCACGTTTTTGAGCAGGACTCTCTCGTGCATAAAATATTGACAAAAAAATAGATTTGTAATCAATTTTGGGCGTGAGCAGCACTGCAGTTCTGAACGATAGGTAATTCATCATTCAACGATTGTATACAAAGCACTCACCTTCATAGCTAGAAGATGAAAAAACCAAACTGATGATTTGTAATCAGACTAAAAAGCTTTACTTCGAGATTACTGATTATTCTATTACTGACAAAACCCCATGCTAATATTCACGAGAAGTCACATTCACTACTCTACCTTAAACCATGTAGGATGAGTTAGTAAATACTCATCACAACGAAGGAATGAACTATGGTAGTACAGCTCACCTGGCACATAACAGGCTCGTTGAGTAAGCTAACCAATGCAACATTTTAGTTTCATAGCATCAACTAGCTTCGTAGAAATGAAGAAAGTTGTCTTCAATACAAATGGAAATGTTGATTAAATTTTGTGTTTAGGTGTTGAATTTCCTGTTGAGGTTCTTGCCGAAGAGCATCTCTCGCATCTCAGGCAGCATCTGCTGGGACAGCATGTCGAGACGCGCCTCCAGGGTGTTGCTGATCTTGATGCGGTTGTTGCGCACTGTCAGCTCAACGCCACCACAACTGAGAAAATTAAATGCACGTCAATTCATTGAAGCTATCAATGGAATGAATAAATAATTGCATTGAAAGCCGCCAGTTCAATGATAAATGATCGAAAGAAAAATGAAAACCGCAAGTTTAATATTACAACAATTGAAAAACGAGACTCGAGCAGTTCAACGCCATCACAACTGGAAAAAGACAATCGTGGGTTAATGCTGTTTAATGCGTTAAGACATCTGGAAAAAAATGTGACAGCAGTTAGTTCAATGCCATCACAACTGAAAAAACGAACACCGCTACAAATTAAAAAACAGTACAGACATACTGCAAATTGACTTTAAATTGCACGTCTCCCAAGCAGAGGGCTATGTGTACTTAATATCAAACACGAGAACGCGAACTTATTTAGTAGTATTACTGAGAAGACGGGCAGCATCATGACTGACATGTGAGCAGGAAGCCAGTTGGTGGTATCGATGGTGACGTTGCATGGTAGTTTGCTCATGGCCGTGTAGTCCTCCACGCTCTGAGGGACAGCTTCCTCCACTAGTGAGTAGTCAGCCTGCCGACACTTCACCGTAACATTCGGCTCCATGAGCTGCAAAAAATGTTAAAAATTTTATAGAGATTAGCTTTCAAAAATTTTATTGAGGTCTGCCGATACCTCACCGTAACATTTGGCTCCTTGAGCTGCAAAAAATGTTCAAAAATTTTATAGAGGTTATCATTCAAAATTTTTATTGAGGAATATATCAGGCATATTCCTAAAAAGGTTAACAATTGAAGCAAGTTCTTCAGATCGAAGTTGAATGTTCAAACTACAATTTATTATTGATGGCTCCACCAGCAGAGTTTCATTTACTACACGGCACAGTCACACATTGTAATGTCATTCAAACAATGGAAAAAAATTATTAGCAATGAGCAGGTTGGCCTGGGCAGCCTCCAGAGGTCTTAAACAAGGCTAGAGATCATGCATGCCAACCCAAAAGGTTGTACATGATAAATTAGAGGTTGTGACAGTCTTCTAGATGTGCGAGATCTCAGAGGTTATACAAGACTTCCAATATTAGTACAAGGGATATGTGGGATACTCAATTTGTCTCTTACATATATATTATGTTATTTATCAGATTATTATATACCAACATAAAATATTATATGTTTTACTCGCCAAATTCCTATTAAACATCAATAAAAAAATAAGATAGCACAAATCAAAGTGAAATATTTTTTTCTAGTAACACTTTCCATTGGAGAATACAAGACATAGGAGCTAGTAAATCTCATCTAAAAACCAGCCATAATCACTGCTACAATGATTCATGTTGCAATCATTGAGTCATTTGCACATAGGAAATGAAGTGCAGTGGCAATTCAAGAGTCATTTTCAATACGAGACATCAAATAAATCTTCTACCTGACACAGTCCTTGGGTGATGAGCTTCTGCAGGATGACAGAGTACTTGGACCGGTTCTGTGTGATGAGACTGAGCTTCTGCTGTGCCTCGCTCAGCACACTCTTGACGTGAGCTTCCTGCGCATGCAGCACCTCTACACGAGACTTGTTCAACAAGTTGCTGGCACCACTGAACAAACAAAAGCAGGTAATCAAGATAAGGAAATAAGAACAACAGGAAAAAACAGTTCAAGTAATTTCAAATATAGGAAACCAGGAGAAAACTTTAAGATCGAAGTATTTCATTAATGAAATTTAGTAATAAAAAATATTAGTCTTCTTAAATTCATAACGCTATTATAATTGCAATTTATGAACCAAAATAAAAGTGTTTTATAACATTAATACTTTTAAAGAACTAAAAATACTGCCAAATTTATAGCAGTTTATCTGCTTAACTTAAGTGGAATTCCAGAGAAATTTTAAGCTTTCAATAAAAATGAAGTATACGATACAAGGGCAATTATCATTTATACTGATTAGCAGCCTTGTTCCGGCATTTGTTAACCCTGAAAGCTTGGATAAATTTACCATCATCAATGCTATTTGTACTTAGTGGCTTGGGGCCGAGAGGTCCTGTCAGTTACAAAAGTTTTAAAGTGGGGTCTTCTGATCAGCAGCCTTGTTCCAGCATTTGTTAACCCTGTAAGCTTGGATACATTTACCATCATCAATGCTATTTGTACCTAGTGGCTTGGGGCCGAGAGGTCCTGTCAGTTACAAAAGTTTTAAAGTGGGGTCTTATGATAAGACAATAAATTACAGTAACATTATTGAAATTAATTGTTAGGGTAAATCACTCCAAGCAAATCTGTTAGGAAATGTACTCACATTTTTCTTTGCATTTCGACATTTTTTTCCTTTCTGTCATAAAACTCGTTAATTTTGATCCTGTTCTGTTGCACAAGTCGCCCCTTTTCAATGGTGAATTCTTCCTCGGCTCGAGCTTCAATTTCTTCAGCTTTCTCATTGGCCTCTTGCTCAATGAAGGCCATCATATGAGTGATCTGTAACAGAAAAATGTTGATTTAAAAATTTTGTTATTTCAATGTGATTTAAAACTTTTTCTGCCTCTGATAACCTACCTTAATTAAATGAATTTATGCATATTTATATAAATATTTTTGTAATAGATTTTAACTTTGATTAACCTTAAGAAGACCATGGTTTTGGTATTTGTCATTTTCCCATTGAGAAAATTTTGAAAATTCCATATACTTCCCTAGCTGCAATCATGCTCACTAGATTTATTTTTTACATCTCAATGTTTCGGCAAGAACTAATAGCATTAATGTAAATATTCTAAGAGGCAGTGAAAAAACATATATACTGTATATAACACTGGTCACAGAAAAATGGTTTTGCAATCATTTTGTGTGGGTTGGAAGTATTTTTGATAATCATTTCACAAGTGGCATTGTTTTTTAAATATTTTCATTCTTTTGTGAAATAGGTATATTTGATAACTATACATGTATAAATAATCAACTAACACAGAGTACAGGTTTACAATTTTACAGCCTAAATCAACATAGTTGGCAATCTCTCATTTTAAGAGACTGCATCAAGGCAGTCAGCTGCAATAGTTACCTATGGCGTTTCTTAACTATGAATTTGTCCAATAAATCCCCTTATAAATTAGATACAAGTCTGAAATTTTGAATGTTATCCTGGTTAATTATTTTCAATTTGCAGACATCAAGATAAATTTATAAACTTTATTTCAACTGTTATCAGGAAGGATAAAATTAAGCTCCTCGATGTTTGCAAAGCATGCAACTTTTCTACCATTTTCTCAATGTCTGTAGGCTTTACTATTTGTTCTTCATTGATTGGTTTATACCATGCATTTATGAATCAGAATTCATTGCAGTAGATACATATTAGTCAATTCACTTGAAAATTTCTGTGAAACTTCCATAGATTACCATGCGATTTCTGCTTTGAGTATCCTACAGTGAAGGAGCCAAGGCATACACAATGGTTTATGAGCAAATGGCAACGCTCATAAATTAACTGCCAGCCCTGTCAAGTGGTTTCAGCCCCTCCTCCTCCTCCCCGGACAGCTGTGGCCAGTGGTCAGCCATAGCATGTTAGCGCCAGCCTCTCTCTGGCAATTCACAGGCCACCTGAAAGCCTCCCCTTGCCTCAGGAACAATATTCCTGAGGCCTGGGCATGTTAGCCACATATATGTCATTGAAGTGATCACAGGGCTAGGGGCTGGTGGCAGCCAATTTCACACACAAACTCAAATTTTATAGCAATTTGCTGGTCACAGGGAACTCAGACTTTGTAGTTCTATGACACAGAGTCTTCAGCACAAATCAATTCAAACAGTTTTGAAGTACTAAAGACAATGGCTCGTATTTGGTGCACAAACAAGTTGTTTTGCATATTCTTCTAGGCTACTTAATAAACCTGCACTTGTTCAGTTCATTCTGCACTGGCAATTGCCTTAGTCTTAGCATGAAAAATCCCCTGAAATTATTCACTATCCTAGATGTGGGATTAGGATTTTAGAAAATAAATGAAAATGATTAAAATCTGGATGGAATATCTAGGAGTGGAGGTTAATATCTTTGAGGTCAATCCAGCTAAGTCACTAACTTAATCCAAGAATGTTGGTTGAGAACTTGAGACATATACATAGGGATGGTCCAGTTTTAGGCATTCTGGTCTAATATGTCATTTGTCTTTTATAATACCACTCCTATCTTTGTTTTTACAATGGCTCTCCCAAATTCCATGCCACTATGTATTCAACCATCATGTACTTCAATTCCTAAAGTGGAAAAGCAGTGCATAGCTGGGAAAATGAGAATGATGGAAAATAATTAATTTACAATTCAAAAAATGAACTTATAACTAATGTAAAAACCAACTCACTACTGCAAAAATAGTAAAAGTAGCAGTTCAAAAAATTTAAATTTAGCTTGAATAATACATTTTCTTAATGTCTATTTGGCAGACTGACACCAATGCAAGTCTGCAGCTAGGAAGTTATTTTGACATCATAGCATATGTAATAATTTGAACAGGAAAAATTCATTATTTCAGTGTTTGTAAAGCATATATTTTTCAGCAAGATGGCTGAAAACAAGCTAGCTACAAGATAAAAGCAATAACAAGAATGTTTGCTGTTGATGCCAGAAGATTCTGGTAAAAAAAATATTTTTACAACTCTACCTAGTAGTCTAGTACCTGAAGGATATTTAAAAATCAAGCAGGATCAAATCATGGTATGAAGATCTAATATCAAAGATCCATCTACTTGAGCAGGAATTCAACTGAAAGTGAAATGCCAGGTAGGGTAAATGCTGTATATTCTGACACTTTAAGGACATAGCAAAAAATGAATGGCTATAAAAAATACACCGTACACACAACTCGAGTTCTGTTTGCTTTACATCACTCTCAAAACACCGCACTACACGCCAGCAACAATGAAATGTCATAAAATGTTGCGATATTTATTTAAAAGCCTTTAGAATGCAAACTTACCAAATCCATATATTCCAGCACTGTGTGTGACTAAGTTTGGCATTTTGTGAGACTAATTCCGGCCGCGCTTCAAACTCTACTAATTTGTAATGCCGACACTCTTGTGTTTGAATTCCGATTGCTGTGTGAGCTGTATTGGAATACAATACAGCTTGGATTTAGAACACTATTGAATATTGAACACTACTTAATTAGGCTTTTAATTAAGAGCTATTAAGCTTTTAATTAAGAAAATTTTAATTTGGTAGGTTTCCATTCTAAAGGCTTTTTAATAAATATGGCAACATTTTGTGACTTTTCATCGTTGCTGACGCGTAGTGAAGTGTTTTGAGAGTCATAGTGGCAAACCAGTGATTTTTAAGAATCAGCTCATTTTTAATTTCCTCATTTACTCCAGATTTTAACAGATTTCTTATGTATGATAATTCTGGTATCCAAGATACTTTACTGGTTTACTTATAGGACTCAAAAATGAACTTGAGGAAGAGTCTAAAAAACTCTCTGCTTTGCCACTATGTTGAGAGTCATGTGAAGGCAACAGAACTTACGTAACGCATACTAACTAACTAAAACAAAGCTTAATATAAAGGAAAAACTAGAGAAGTGACGGAATTACCTACGATGTCGGAATATACCGCGTTTACCCTACTTAGCATTTTCGTTGCTTCTATATATTTGGTAGCTATATTATAAATAAAATCAGATTAATTTTGTGAATTTTTTCATTCTCATGAGTCATGACTGTAACGTCAAACGTGACAGGGTGATGATCATAAAAAAAATTTAAAACATTAAAGTTGTAAAAAGAGATTCAGTTTAAAGCCTTCAATTCAATATGCAGTATGAATATGCCTATCTCAAATTGCAAGCCAAAATTATTGGTAAAAATAGGTTGTTTTATACACAACGGTGTTATTATTGTTTACCTATACAAATTCGAACAGAATTAGGTATACAGGAAAAACATGAAGTCAAAATACTAATAAAAAAATTTTTACAAACCTGTTTTTGAACGTCGGCATCGCTTAAAGCCATCCTGTCGTATTATTTTTATAAATAAGTGATGAAAATAATGTCTGTCAAGAGACCACTGCAACTTCGATCTACCTACCTCACGAGTGACAATGACTCTATCATAGAGACTGGGATACCAGAGATCATATGATTCGTCTGCTGTCCAACGAATCTATTTTAAAGATTCAGATACTAATTCCTCTTCACATAATATGTGTTTTTTTAGCGTAATATCTTAGACTCTATTGATTACGATAATAGAAAACGAATAACTCTTATATTAAACATGTTTTCTTCTCGTTAAACGAGATGTCAATTCATGGACGATCGAAGAAGCTTATTAAGCAGAGAAGAAAATTTTATTTGTTATAAAATCATTCACTACTACGGTCAATCATTTTTTCAGTCACAATCGACGCATGTAAGTGGCTTGGACGCATGGATTAGCATCATCAGTGGGTTTTAGGGGGCGGTACGAACGAAAGTTATAACTGAAAGTGGTTCAAGCAAACCTTCCAATATATTTTTGCTAATGTTATTCATTTATGCGAGATAGAACGATTTTCCTCCTTCTCCTACGAAGTTATAGGTGTGGCTGGTGTGCTAAAATTTGCAATGTTCGCATAGTGAAACATGGTTATGATGGGTCACTAATTTGTAACGGGAGCGCAGCCGTGCACCACCAATTTTGTGCACCAATAAGCCCTGAATCGAACGCCTTGGATCTCTCCAGATATCCACCAATCAGCCGTAAATATCCACCAATCAGCCGTGCACCACTCGGCTTTGTCCTCCTCCGGCCTTGACCACCACCTGCCGTGCACCACCAGGCCGCGGATCGAATCTGACTTCCGGGCATCGTTAAATTACGTAATTTTACGTTCACCGCATCTGAGGTTAGGTTTCAGATAGCATAGTTCTGTTCCAAAAGTTATCTTCCTTCGACAATTGGCCGTTCGACCGAGGGCTAGTTCGACCCACGGCCTAGATACGGACGGCTTGAAGTGTTGAAGGCTACGTTCCGGAAGGCAGGAATCATGAAAGTCCATTACATCCAGGGCAGTTGTGGTCTTCGGCAGGCGACCCGTAACATTTCAAATCCGACGAAAAGTCGCAGCTGAAAATCAATGGATTTGCTCCATGACATTATTTATCGCATTTTAAAGTCTTTTTTTCCACACCAGCAGGACCATCACAATACTGGGTTGTCGACAAAATAATTAGTAATAATAAATAATGAATCATATTGAGCGTCTCACGACGAAAAAAAAAATATTTTTGGTATTATTGCAGATTAACTACATCCAAAAAAAAGGGTGTTTTTTTTTTTTTGAATTATATGTTTTTTGGGGTGTAGATTACGAAACTGAAATCCATTTTTGGCGGTCGGCATCGGAAAACCGATTTTTTTCCGACCCAAAAATCGCGCTAAAAATGCCTAANCACCGACGGTTCTAATAGCCCCGTGTATAAGCAACTTTCCGGAGGAATTCCATAACCAACGCTCGCAAAACGGTCAGTCTAATTGGAAATTAGAAGATATTTTAGTGCAGCAACTCGCTAGTTAAACAATAAAAGGAAATAATTCCGGGTGACAGAAATCGTTAAGAATAAGAATTTTTGTTTTCCAGTTTCCTGGTCTATGACTGTAAATATTTTTGATTCTATACGTAAGTTGTTTTATCCTGAAAGATTTAGTAAGAAGTATTTAGCAAGATTGAGTAATCTTAATTTGTGATGAGACAAAAATACATCTCGAAATATATAACAATAGCTTGACTTGACTGATCTACTCACTAAAGTAGCTATCATCCTAGAATGGTTTTTAAATTAACTGGAAACATAGGTTTTAGCAAGCATCAGGTGTGAATTTCATTGCAACGTCTTATGTTTCCGTCTTACAGTTCAGCTGTCTTGTTACGTCACTGAGATCGAGACACGTTAACAATCCTTTCATTCCTATGACTGATTGGTTAACAGGTTCGATCGTATTTCGATGATTGGTTAATGCCCGTGACGTTATTGAGATCAGTGACGTCACATGCAAACAAGAAACTACGTCCGCAAAAATGAGCTTCTCGTGGGTCTAAGTCAACCTTATCCATGACCCGTATGGCCGTATCCTTTATCTAGGGTCAACCATGCGCTGTACAGCGTAGCAGCATAGCGTGCGAATCACCGCACAGCTGTGCGCGGTGCGTACCGGGCCGTCCGTGCGTTCATTTGATTCTCGATTCTCAGTAATGCTCCAGTAGTTCTAGCGTGAGGTTGTACAAGTTGCGCGGAGTTACTGGATCCGAAGTTCAACATCTCTAGTCTTAATGGCAACTTATAGAAGTTCAATTTATTTATGTAGATCCGATCCTAAGTAAATTTGAGATAAAGTTCGACATGCCGCGTCGAGGTAATAATCTTGTGTTTACTCGATGTTTCAAGGTTTGTTGATATAATTCAAGTTTGTATGATTTTGATCGTCTCGCTCACTCTTTTTCGGGATTGACTTCCTCCTTTGCTTGTTTGCTTCGTACCTAATTGAGTTATAAATTTGTGGCTGTGTCGATGCGAAGATCTTGTTACTTAGCTTACTATTTTCTGTGCATTATCTTTTGAAATTGAGCTTTATTTGCGTTATGCAAACAAATGGTGAAATATGACTTGTTGTAGCCTATTATAGCTGCCGCCTGCCGGTAGACAAGTTGTATAGCCTAAGGTATTAACGCAACAATAGACCATCTTTACGCCTTTGAAATCGCGTTTAACTTTAGGTGACACTCGCAGTACTAACCTTCGCCCAGACTCGTAGAATATATAGGTAACCTTGTGCCACACTGGATTTTGCATTAGAACCCTCGTGATATATTCTAGTCAAAACTAATATATTTCGGTTGATAAGTGTGCGGTTTTCTTACGAACTTTGCTTTGAGCAAGCCTTAAAATGGCAATCATAGTTTTCTTTATTTAAGTGTCTACTGACTCGAAGCAGTTGTTGTTGTTTGCTCACACTAAGGTATTGCTCCTCTAATTGTCACGTTTCGCCTCCTTCAAGAATCTTGATGGTAACTCTCAGAACTGCATACCAGTTCCGACGAATTATTGACAAACTATGCCTCGCTAAGTCATGGCAGAAACTGAACTTGAAGCATTCAACACTACGTAGGCTAGCCGTAGTAAAAGATTTTGCGCACTCTGCTGTACTGCACGGTATTATCACTTGAAGAGAAGGTGCATTGTTACGCCATTTAAATCACTGTATCGAGGGACACTTCATTGCAAAGCTCCGCCCTGCTGCATCTTCTGTCAACAACGTCTGTCTGTAGTTTCTACGTATATCTCGCTGGCTGCAATTGACTTGAAAACTCGCTTTTCTTTTGTTCACCTAAGGTTTCTGTTTAGGGATTGTCCCCTTACGTCCCCTTACACTATAAGGGTTAATGAAATAAAAAAAAATTTCTCGATCATGTCAGCACGCTCCTCTCTAAAATGCTGTTACCTAAAAACTGAACTCATTTCTATGAGAGATCTGTCGCTTTTCACAATAAATCGGGGGTTAAAGGGAGCATACTGCTGGAATCTTTTCCCCAGAGCCAACTTGCAGCAACATGCTGCGTCCTTACCATCGCTGAACTTGGAATAGGATGTTTTGCGTGTGATCGACGCTAACAGTAACACAGCTCAAAGTTTAAGAGTGCATGACCCACGCCCGCAACTTTCACTCGGCTGACGCTCGTATCGTAGTAGTCAACCACGAGAGCGGGAAATGTTTACGAGCACCTCGGCCATATCTGATGCTCGCCCCCACTCACAGTAAGTCGAAGATTTGCAAGCCTCCGACGCTAGTTCTGCTCCATGATGTCCGTTGCTAGTAGAGGGGTGGGGGGGGCGGGTTTGCTGCGTCGAATGTCAAGTTTTGACAATACTATGTTTGCCTGTATTTTTAATACTATCGTTCTATGATAGAGTCAAAGAACTTATCTCGCCCAATTAATTTTTTTTATTCAAATTAAGGGTGTGTTGTCACTGTACGGAACCGACATTTCCTTTGCTCTCAGTTGGGGGCTTATTCCTAGACGATGAAAAGATACCGGTAGCGTACTTAAAATCAGCTCCCAACTTAATAAACTCGCTTGCTAGTTTTACTTTTCTTAAACATAAACGTTCTTTTGAGTGACTACTACAAGGTTGAGAACTCGTTTAGGAATAGTATTTGATAGTAATATTAATTTATCTTTGAATTTATTTAATTGCATTTATACTGACCTGTCAAGTTTAATTTTTTTATTTCTGTTGCACCCTGAAAAACTAAATTTTGTTCTTATTGTTGTGCAACTGCCATTGATGAACATTTTATTTATTTTTCGTGCTGTATTTGTACTATGAAAAATATCGTTCCTGTATCATAAACCTCGTGTGCTTTGAACTTATTCGACCTTCTTTCTATAAAATTGTCAAGATATTTCTTTATGAAACCTAGGGGCTTAAAAAAATAGTGCATTATTTTTTTACTTTGTGATAGTGCATTATTTTAATAGTAGTGCATTATTTTAATATACATGTGATAATTTGCAAACAGATGCCACAGAACACGAGTCTGTGTAGCGCGTGTGTGGTGCTCATGCCATTCAGCGTGGATGCCCGCGAACAGGTTTTGGGGCGGCAGAGCAGCCTCAGCCCAAACAGGGCTTCCGACCGTCAGTTATTATTGAGAACTCACTGCTACTTTAGGAACGCCGTGCCTGTAGTGTGCTGACTCTTAAGGAACACCGTGCCTGTAGTGTGCTGACTCTTGAGGAACACCGTTCCTGTAGTGTGCTGACTCCTAATGAACGCCGTGCCTGTAGTGTGCTGACTCTTCAGGAACGCCGTGCCTGTAGTGTGCTGACTCTTAAGGAACGCCGTGCCTGTAGTGTGCTGACTCTTGAGGAACGCCGTGCCTGTAGTGTGCTGACTCTTGAGGAACGCCGTGCCTGTAGTGTGCTGACTCTTGAGGAACGCCGTGCCTGTTGTGTGCTGACTCTTGAGGAACGCCGTGCCTGTTGTGTGCTGACTCTTGAGGAACGCCGTGCCTGTTGTGTGCTGACTCTTGAGGAACGTTTTGCCTGAAGTGTGCTGACTCTTCAGGAACGCCGTGCCTGTAGTGTGGTGACTCTTAAGGAACGCCGTGCCTGTATATCACCGTTACGACATTTATTCCTCACGCGTCCTAGCTGGCAGTATTCATCCTTTGCATCGAATCCGCTCACGATCGAACGGCCATTTATCGAAGGACGGTTGATTTTAGAACCTAACTTCACTAGGTACCTGAAACCTAAGCTCAGATGCTGTGAGCTATAAGTTACGTAATTTAACGATGCCCCGGAAGTCATATTCTATCATATGTCATAGTGGTGCACGGCAGGTTTAATGCAGTTCCCTAGGAGAACTAATTGCTGATTGGCCGCATTACGTCGGGCACTGGTTATAGTTCAATTGCTGGCAAGGTTATAAAATAATGCTTCAATGAAACGTTTAGCGGTGGAAAGTGATTAAACTCTGGAGTCTAGACTATTCGCTCGAATGTTTGGTGAAGTAAAGATCATAATGTATGACACAAAATGATTCCCTGGATCATTTGCTGACACCAGGCTTAATCCGTGATGGAAAGGCGGACTTACAGGAAGATACTTGGCGTTTTACTCGGAGTTTACTTTATTGGTCAAAATTGGTGGAGCGCGAGCTGACGGTCCTGTTTGCCATGTGGCCCCTGTGCTGATCGTAACACTGACGTGCGCTTCGATAAACTATTTATAACTTGGAGCTTTCAGTCGTCGCCCCTGTGCAGAAAATTTCAGGCTAAGCTCAAGAAATCATCGTCGTGTTTGGTGCCGGGTTTGCGTGATTTTTTTCTTTCTAATTTTTAAATCTTACTGCATGGGCCAAAAACTATTGATTATTAGTATTGGTGATTTTTTTAGTTCAAATTTAGCTACCTTGGCCGACAGCAATGTATATTAGCCTAATTTTAGTGTAACTTCGAAAAGGTTGCTGTTCCAAAAGACGTAAGTTAATATTAGTCAAGCTAAAACTTAGACCTGGGACTGGTTTATAATATACGTATGCAATAGATCCACGACACAAATTTTGTTCTTATTCTTAAAATATTAATCATATGCGGCATGGAGCTCCAAGCAAAAATCTACACGAAATATTTAAGCTTTTGTAGTCAACTGAACAGCTTTTTTGACTAATTTTTTCACTCATATTTGGTTTGTTCAGGAATTTTTTCAATCATAATTAATGCATGTAAGAGATTGAAATAAATTATCTTCTCTTCGTCTATGTAGGTAGTTCTTAGAGATTTTATCGACAATCATGTTTTTTTAAATTATTGATTCCATGTAACTATAACTGGATAAGTTCTTCAATGAGAGCCTTATTCGAACCAGCGCTAACTTGAAAAATTTAATTTGTTATTTGTTCACAATTCTTTTAGTTTGTTCTCCAGAGTTCAGGTTACTATCAACTCATTCAATTTGTGCATATATATGAATATGTTTTTTAACCATTCTATTAAATTCGGGTTCAAAATGACCCACAATTCCAACTCTATGCCCAGACGTCAGATGTCGTATACCCAAAATGAAAACAACTGGAGGGTTAAGACAAATTTTCGAAACTGTTTAGGGATGAACTCTGAATTGGCACTTGTATTGTGTGCCTTATTTGCAGTGGTTTCTCAATTAACTCTAACTATGCAAGCTTTGATTTTTTAATAACTGTCCGCGCCAATGATAATAACAGGGCCAGACGCAACGTCGGGTGTGGTCAATTCAGGGCCGTGCGTGATGGTATCCTGGCTACGTGCTTGCTGGCTGTCGTGCGCTCTTACAGCTCGCACAGCAATGGGCGGTTGCGACCAAAGGGCCTTTTTTGCCCAAATTTGTTTCATTAAACCTTTCTTTTAATTCAGTAGACGGGCTAAACGAATATATTATTTTTAATGTAATTTTAAAAGTAATATATCCATCAAACTACATAACAGCGTTGGTGCATTAGGACGTTGTGGGTAAAATAGTTCGAATAGCCTGTGAAAGGTTAACGCAATAACAAATTTCAAGTTTTCTCTCTGGCTAGACGGATCGATTTCATGTTGAAGTGTTAAATTTATTTGAAAGTCGTGTTGCTGGGAGCTACTTGTGAATCGACAGTACCTACTCACAATTTATTATTCTCATTCTATTACAATTCCAAGTTTTCTTTCTGGAGAAATTATTCGATATTCTGTTGAAGTATTGAATTTATTCGCAGTTTATGCTGCTGCTGGTGGTCTATGAAGCAGTTGAACTTTATTTTTTTTAGCCATATTCTATTATAATTTCAGGTTTTCTTTAGGTTGCTAGTATTCTTTGAATAAATGATAGGTACTTTCAATCATTGTTCCAATCAAGAATTGAGGTTTTAACGGACCAGAGTGTATATATATAATGGGTGCAAAAAGTATCCGACACAAATGAAAAGCATTATGAAAAAGAAACTTTAAACTTTTATAAAATTGCAATTATCAAGTCAAAATTTAATGATATTGTTGTTTTGATATGATGTTTGTATGTCCCATGCGAATTTGCATTAGAATAGCGTATGTTTATATTATTCTGTTGAATAGGCTTTATTTAAGTAAAGTTTTTCCTTTGTGTCGGATACTTTTTGCACCCACTGTATATACAACGTGAGCCACAGCTACGTTTGTGATCACACCTGCCATCACGTGAGCAGCTGCGTTCACGTTCTGTTTCTTTATTTAATTACTTATTGAAAAATCTGCACATGAAGATATTGTCGGACGTGTGTAATTGAACCTTTAAATTAGAGTTTCACTGCGGCGTTACCAGCCTTTGCTTAATAGTTTGCCATAGCCCAATTACCTCGGCTTTCAATAAGGTTTGATGTAAGTTTCCGGAACTTAACGCGGTGTTAGCATTACACTCGTGATAGAAAGAATGGGCTGTTCATTACTGCACGTACATTAGTACGGAGAGCGCGCAATAAGTACAGACGTACTCTAGTACGAAGTGCGTGCAATGAGCACAGACGTACTCTAGTACTGAGTGTGGGCAATGAGTACAGTGGATGACTGTAAGAGTTCAGCTTAAATCTCGCCGGTCTCTAATGTCGTTCTGATCTCGAGTGCTTATAGGATGAGAGCAAACGTCGGGGTTACTTGTGAAGAGGGCTGCTCCTCACAAACGTCGGGGTTACTTGTGAGATCAGCCTCTCAAAAGGGTTGGGGTTACTTATGAGGAAAGCTGCTCCTCACGAACGTCGGGGTTGCTTATGAGGAGGGCTGCTCCTCATGAACGTCGGGGTTACTTATGAGGAGGGCTGCTCCTCACGAACGTCGGGGTTGCTTATGAGGAGGCTGCTCTTCACGAACGTCGGGGTTGCTTATGAGGAGGCTGCTCCTCACGACAATACAATACGCTCCGTTTTCAGTTTGTGGAACGCCTCCATTTCTGTACAAGTATTTTTACTGCTCAATGATAAATGTTACTTTATAGAATAGAATAGAAGTGTCGGCAGTAAAGAAATAGGCCCATGACCTGTTGTCGATTCTTGAATTTTACGTGACTTGATTCACAAGGGATCCGGCCTTTGGAACCCGATCTTTCCATAGCTGACGATTGATTGAGATAGCTGCTGGACTTATTGCCTGGTCCGTAATTTGCTAGGCATTTTAAGACTGAACATATGCTTCTGCATAACTTCGTCTAGTCTGTTTTTGAAGGCATTTTTTTATAAGTGCTTATGGAATTTTCAAGATAACTGGTCATAATTCCTATATTTTATATACCTATGTATTAACCCAAACATTGCAGGAAACAATCTATGGTTTCTAATTATTATCCCCCAATTTTTGGACGCAAAAATGGCTAAACGAATAAATGGGAGTTTTGTGTGCCTATGCGCAACATTTTCTCAGGTTAACATAATTAAAAGCATGTTACTCTGCTTCCGAAACTTCTGCGCGGCTCTTTTATATTCGAGATAGTAATATAGTTGAATAAAATCAAAACCTCGAATCTCTGTTCTACGCACTTTAAATACCTACTGCGATGCTAACTGTTAAAATATGCCGCATTTTATAATATCCTCTATAGTGTAATTCATAGGGGAGGGTTTTGTCCATATTGTTATATACGGCTGATAGTTTCTGCCTTATTTTGTTCGAAAAACTGTTGCCTTTCTCCATTTTTTTCGTAATAAATTTACGAAGTTACAATTTGGTATTGTTGTTATATTCATGACGTTGTTATGTTGCATGGACTGCAAATGAGCATTTAGTTAAGGAACCTTGCTAGTGGAATTTTGCATGATTGCTAGATGTCTCCTCAACATCAAAGTCGACTTTGCAGGTGCAGTTATATAGTTGTTGGTTATAAATTTATTACTTAATAGTTTGGTTGCTTGCAAAAAATTACTCATTATTTGATATCTCTGTTGATAGTAAGAAAATTGGCTTGTTACAACAATTCTCTTTAAATTAACTTCTTGTTTGTTTGTTTGTTTGTTTGTCTGTCTGCTACAAATCTTATAATCAATATTTAACACACTTCTACCTCTTCAATCAATCTGAAACTTTGCACACTTGTGTAAAGTTGGAGACAATGCATGAATCAATTTACAAAATGAATAATTTTGAAAATAAAAATTTCAATATTAATAAAATTGAAAAAATGGTTTTGTCTACTACAAATCTTGTAATCAATATTTAACACACCTCTACCTGTCCGATATATCTAAAATTTTGAACACTTACATAAAGTCGGAGACACTGCATGAATGAAATGACAGAAAAAATAAATTTGAAATTTTAATTTTTTATATATATAAAAATGATAAATAATTTTTTTAATATTCGAAAATAAAATAAAGAAATTCATTGTACATGTGTAACATTGGAGACACTGGATTCTTTAGAAGTTTTGTCTTTGATAAGTAATTTTTAAAGGTATATTATTTTAATAGTAAGGTGGTTAATTATGAAATTTGTAATTATTTAATAGTTCGGTTGTAGGTGCTGGAATTGTGTATGATTAATTTGAAGCGAGAAACCGATTACAAACAATGCTGGCTTCGATACATGTAACTTATAACGCTCGGAACTGTGTAATAGACACCTCGCTCTACGCTACACGCCCCTCTAGGCCCGGTTCGCTGTGAACATGTTATGTATTACAACTTATAGCGATTCTTGCCTAATTTATTTTTATCTTACGGTAGTGGAAAGAATTTAGTGCTTGATACGCTAGAGCTATATAATAAACCTGTTTACCCATGTTTACTCTTATGGTAGAGGAAATAACTGAGTGCTTGATACGCTAGACTGCTAGAGATAGATAATAAACCTGTTTACCCATGTTTACTGTTATGGTAGAGGAAATAACTGAGTGCTTGATACGCTAGACTGCTAGAGATAGATAATAAACCTGTTTACCCATTTTTACTCTTATGGTAGAGGAAATAATTGAGTGCTTGATACGGTACACTAGGGCTAGATAATACACTAGTTTACCCTGATGGTATAGGAAATACTCTAGGGCTGGATAACACCAGTGTTAGAGAGGAGAGAACACGTTAGAAAGCACTGATGTTGCTCGAAAAAGGGAATAGATGAGTCCTACGGAATGCACTGACTACAAAAATTCTACTGCGTTTTGAGAATTGAATTGGGTTAATGGTTGAATTTTTCGCTGCGTGGTTGAATTTTTCGCTCTTGGTTTTTATAAGCTATCCTCAGAACGTTTATCCATAGACGTTTATTATGGGTGAAAGTTCATGCGAAAAAAATAACGTAGTACGAACTTTGACGAGTTCCTTATTTAGAATAGAGTTCATTGGTTGGATTGCTGCATTAGAACGATATTTTTAAAACAATCGTGCCACGATCATACTAATATCAATAATTGTGATTATTTTTAACAGTGCGCAGACAAAGAAGTTAACATTTCAGATCACGAGGTGTTGCAGCTATAGCGTTGAATATTACCCACGAATTAAATGCATTCCAAAGCAAAAATTACTGGGTGTTTGTACATAAGAACACGAAATCACGAATTCACTCTTAATTTCGAATTCGCCACTCTTAATTTCGAATTCACGAATTCGCTAATTCTACATCATGTCAACACAGGGTCAACGTCGACGGGCTGCTGCAGCATACCTGTGCTCAAGTTTGGTCTTGCCGTGTACAACATCCTGCTGCTGGCATGCGGCATGGGAGTTACGGTTAGGGAGTTACGAATTATTGGTAAGGGAGTTACTAATTCGCTAATTATAATTATGTCAACACAGGTTCAACGTCGACGGGCTGCTGCAGCATACCTGTGCTCAAGTTTGGCCTTGCCGTGTACAACATTCTGCTGCTGGCATGCGGCATTGGCGTCGTGGCTGTGACGCTCTGGAGTCTCGTGACCAAATACGACCAGGCGCCGCTGCTCACCAGCCATGCGTACCCCGCGGCCGTCGGCATGCTGCTCACGGCGGGGCTGTTGTCCGTGACTGCAGGGGTGCTAGGGTGCCTTGCCTTGGCCAGGGAGGACCGGTGCACTCTACTGCTGGTGAGTGGTGAGGTATGAGGGGCTGAGGGGGCATGAGTGGTTATGATGGGTGCTGGTGAGTGGTGAGGCATGAGTGGTGCTGATGGGGCATGAGTGGTTATGAGGGGTGCTGGTGAGTGGTGAGGCATGAGTGGTTGTGGGGTGCTGATGGGGATGAGTGGTAATGAGGGGTGCTGGTGAGTGGTGAGGTATGAGTGGTTGTGGGATGCTGGTGAGTGGTGAGGCATGAGTGTCTATGAGGGGTGCTGGTGAGTGGTGGGGCATGAGTGGCTATGAGGTGCTGATGGGGCATGAGTGGCTATGAGGGGTGCTGGTGAGTGGTGAGGCATGAGTGGCTATGAGGGGTGCTGGTGAGTGGTGAGGCATGAGTGGCTATGAGGGGTGCTGGTGAGTGGTTATTGCGTCCTTTCGGTCACACCTGTTAATTATAGACTTGATGCTGATGATCACTCGTTTTATTCTCATCAATTTTATCAATTTATTCAGTCGTCCGCGAACGAGCGTTTTTCATTGACTAAGGACATACCTAATCCCTGAGATTTGGTACAAAGGGGGGAATGCAGAATGAAATTATTTTTATGAATTTACACGTTTTAATTTAATTAAATAACCATTGTTGATCTGATAACGGTACTTGGCAAAGTGGTTTCTGTTGAAGCATTTGCTTTTCTCTGAGCACAGCTTATACTACCTAGTACTGGACAATACACACTATAGCCTGTACCGATACGTTGCAAAACATTCAACAGCTGATACTAGCACCTGGTAGCGCATGTTGCAGTACATATTACATCGTCGTTCATATTCAAGCTGCTAAATGTTTTTACAGTACATATTCCTGCTGATCCTGGTGCTGGTGCTGGAGGCCGTGGCAGGGGTGGTATCATATGTCTACCAAGACCAGCTACCACATCTCCTGACAGACTCTCTACCTGCTACCATCTCGGAGCGGTACTCTCTGGACGAGTCTGTCACCTTCGCTGTCGACTCCATGCAGATTAAGGTGACCATTGAATTGTAATCTCTTGCTACATAAGTTCATAGATCTATGTATTTACACGTGTAACCTTCCAATATTCAATTTGTAGTTGATTTAAGAAACTAATAGTAAAGAAAACGCATAGTAAATTTACCGTTTTTTTACGTATATTTAGCGACTAACACTATAACTAAATAATAGCAGACAACAAGAATGGAAGACTTTAGTTGAATTTGTGATACTTCAAGTACGCCTTCTTAAACAGATGTTAAGGCATTGCACTGCTTGAAAGTAAAGACTTCTAATCAACGTTAAGATTATGATCTATCTTCAATTTAATCTTGGTTGCTGTTCAGTTTCGGTGCTGTGGTGGAGTATCCTACATGGACTGGGCAGAGAGCAAGTGGAAGCAGTCCGTTACTGCGGACGTGCGAGTGCCGGACTCCTGCTGCAAGACTGTTACGGAAGCTTGTGGCATGCGCGACCATCCCTCCAATATATGGTACACGGTAAGTTACACTTACTAATCGACACCATCGAAATAATTCTGAATAAATGTGTGCTTTCGTAAGTTACGTGCTAATCGACACCATCGAAATCATTCTGAATAAATGTGTGCTTTCGTAAGTTACGTGCTAATCGACACCATCGAAATCATTCTGAATAAATGTGTGCTTTCGTAAGTTACGTGCTACTCGACATCATCAAACCTTTTTTGTATTGCAGTTATTCTAAATAAATGAATGGTTTCGTTTCTTTGAACGCAAAATAGTAGACGGGCAGAATGGCTAAGTTCAGGGTAATTGGATTGTAGCTGTGAGTTGCGGGTTCAATTCAGCGTCCTGTGACTCTTTTGGTGAAATACTGCAAGAAAAGCAATAAAAATAAGGTTGTTCATTTAGTTCGGGCTCCAAAGACCAAGAAAGCTGGAAGATTTCTTCGATGTATAGAATCGGCTTTAGTCTAAATTTGACCTAATCAAGGCTGAAACCGCTATTAAAAGAAACTTGAAATGTTAGTTAAATTTCTTAGATACTACCATTTACAAATGAATTTTGATATGAAGGAGTTTAGTATTTGATTCCTTTTAACCTTATATTAATCAGCCGTAGAGTAAGCTGAGCATGCAACACATCACCGTTGCATAAAATATGGAACCAAGGATACCTGCAGCGTATAGAGAGAGAGCTCAGTACATTAAAAATAGTATTGCGTGGTGCCAAGGTGATGCTTTACCAGCATTCAATGCATGTGTGGGTAATTTTTATTCAATTGGGTAATTTGGTATTCATGATACGCATACAGTGCGGACGCGTAACGCTTCCTGAAGTGAAGTGTTGGTGACATCGAACCACGGGTTACTTGGGTGTGAAACACGCGAAAGAACCGATATTAATAAAAAATATATAACTCAGTACTCACTGCAGTGAGTGACAGAGCGCGCATTTCCTCGTCGACGAAAACCTGAGGTCACGGACAGACGGACGGACAGACGGACATGGCGAGCACAATAGTGCATTTTTTCCATAAATTAGAAAATGCGCTAAAAACTATCGTGTGCTAGCGTAATCTTAGATTGTTGTCTAAATAGGTTTGTTTACTTATTTCACTAGCTAACTACGTTGCCTAATGGTGCTTGAATGTTACGCCTGATGCGCCTAATTTTTTTAGAAAAGCAATCAGTTATTTATCGTGAATGGTAATACTGAAATTATTAGCCGTAGGATTGAAACCCGTTGGAATAAGTCAAAGTTAATTAGAAGACCCGGATAGTTTCATCATAACTTCTCTTGTTCCTTCAAATTTAAACGCATTATAGAATTATTAATACTTGAGCAGGGCTGCGTGCATGGGCTCTCCAAGTTCCTAGGAGAGCACCTGCAACTGCTGGGGGCTCTAGGATGCTGCTTAAGTCTCCTTCAGGTACTCGGCCTCACGCTCGCATCCTGCTTGTATGTTGTCCTCTCCAGGGCCATCTGAACTCACTTTTATTTCTTTTCTTTCTATATTATCTTGGTATTGTGGATAACACGGCGAGTTTATATTTAGGGAATTGTTTATGGACATTGTGATGGAAGACACTTAACGACTTTTCAACGCTCATAAGACGCTAACCTCAACGATGTCGCCATGTCCATATAGAATTGAAAAATTTAATTCGAATTCAAATACTAAATTCGATACATTCTCGTACATGGTTGGTTTGCAGGCTTCGGTTCATCTTGGCCGATTTTACGAACTATCTTTCCATATCAAGTGTCTTAAGTTTCATTTGTTATATAATGGTGAGCAACATTATATAATCACAATTATACGTCATTACAGGGAAAACACCTCTGAATGAAGATTAATTATTTTCGACTTAATGTAATTAAGGCTTAAGCAAGCCACAATTAATGAGCTAGAAACCAATTTCCGGTGAGACATAAAGTAAAGACTGGAGTGGATAGTCCGGCATGACTGCACCTGGTCGAATTCAGTCAGCGGACGGTACCTGTCTTGAGGAAACAATTGAAACACTTTTGGGAATTTATTGCTAAAGAATTTCATGTTATGAAAGAAGTACGAATCACACGATATCTATAATTTTCACTACACGCGAACTAGGGCCTGATGGTCGAAACGTGTGCACTTGAATATATATTTTTACTTGGCCGAAATTACTGGCAGGAAATGGCCAGTTAAATCACGAATTTCTATTCTAGAATTTGGGTTCAAGACTTATTGAATATATTTTATGCTTTTTCATGAACCAATGTGAGCCAACATAAGATGTTATTACAGCGGTGGTTTACCCACCATTATTTATAATAATTGTTTATGGTCTCGCTTAAGAGGCCGGTGCTTCCTTGCATTTAAGTTAGATTCCTACATAATTGTTATCTTTATCGATAATTACGTTATTATTGCATTTTATGATAATATTTGCGAAGTTACTTTTTATGACACTCGCTCTTACTACGCAAGTGGCAAGTTATTTACGTATGGAGACTTAAAGTCCCATTGAGAAGAAAAACATGAGCTTGACAGGGTGGCCCAGTGGTTACAGTTCAGAGTATCAAGATTGACGCAGAGAGGCGCGGGTTCGATCCCAGCTCTGTGCGCCAGTTTCTGGTCAGAATCGGCGAGGAGGCCGGGCGGTTAAGCGCAGCAGAATTGTAGCAGTGAGTTGCGACTTCGAGACCGTAACAAGCTGTTAATGTTCTGCGATGTTAAGAATCGGCGACAGGCCTACGGCCTAATAAACGCTGAAACCGCTATTATTATTATTATTGATATTCATTCTAATTTTTTGGTCAAACGCACCAATACAAGATCAAACTAGATTTAAGTGTTCCCTATTCAGCAACAATATTCTAGCCCGCCTAAACTTGATCTCTTGCCTATATTTGAATCCCAAAATGCCCTAAGTGCGCCTTTTTTTGGGCCCTTTCTTAATTTACCAAACTTTTGCAGCTACGGCCGTAACCGATGAGGAAATTTCTTGCAGTGATATTATCATAATTATTATGAGTGGTATTCAAATGTTATTATTGTTGTTTTGTAGATTGTTGTTGGCTTTGATTTGAACACAAAGGACACAGGATTGATAGTTGTTGATTTGATGTTGTTCCATGTTTGCGTTTTCATTTAATCAGTTGTTAGTTCTGCTAAGGTTGTATGGTTACCACTCGATTGATATACCTACAGGTTTTGAAAGCGTTAATACCGTAAAACATGAACTGCTATATGTTTTGATACACTGACTTAATTGTTGCTCATATCTTATTTATTACCATATTTTTTCCGAAAATCTATACAAAAACTTTGTTTGAAATTATACCGTATTCATAAATATTATGAATAAGGTCTCATAAAAATTATATTTTAATTTAAATTTGTACAGTTGCAAATAATTAAATCAAACATGCTTATCTTTGTTATGATAGATTTGATTTATTTTGTGCTCCTGTTGCAACGACTGGCTACTACTACATTATTTGTGGCTTCCTGTTGTTTAATGTTCATTGAAATTTAATTGTTAGCATTTAATCTTGTTTATTGCAATGCTCTTTTCCTTCTATGCATACTGCTGTTGTTATTATTCTCGTCTTCTCTCTGCACATAATAACATAAAATATGCGGATCTTACTATTAAACTAGTCTTTACCACCGCTGATTTTACAATAACTATAGGAACGAAGAATTTAATTGCATTATTATAGAAAAAATGTGCCGAATAGAGCAAATCATTTTAAACAAAATCAATACTTGAAACGAGTGTATAATTCTCTTTAATAAACGATTGTAAAAAAATGTAGTAAACGCCAGTTAATATAGGTACAGCTTTTTTCAATTTTTGTATGCTTAATTTTTTTTACAAATATCTTTAATTTATCTTAGCAATTCAAAACGAAAGCTTGCGTTTCACGTAATAATTCAAATCCAGTGCCTATTAACGTGTGAGGCTAACCTTGTTAACGAGAAAGAAATTCAGAGGGAAGCCCGTCAGACGCTGTCGCTTCGCCTTGCTATCTTATATACGTGGAACGCCACCAGCCCCGCCACGGACTCGCTGGTCATACTTACTTAATACTCTGTAGCACTTGCGTTATAGATTGATTTTAATGTTCATACTATTTATTTTTTTATTCTGGTATCTAATCCATGGCTGAATTTAATTTCATTGCATTGCCAATGCAGGTGCAAAAAAATAATTTCAAAATTTTCATTTCGCATGCGAAAACTATCGATCATGTACTGGGGATTTGGAAAACTATCGATCATGTCCTGGAAATTACTCGTTTATAAAATAAAGAAATTATTCTAAGATAATTTTTGGTTCCGTGCTAAAGCTTAGGGAGTTCAAACCGTGTATGTATACAAGCCTAATGAGGAAAAATCGTATATCGTGATCTCTTGAAATGAACGTCTTGTGTATTCACGAACGTCCAGTGTATTCACGAACGTCCCGTGTATTCTCGAACGTCCAGTGTATTCTCGAACGTCCAGTGTATTCACGAACGTCCCGTGTTGAATTCGTAGTCATTCGTGAGGTGCATTTGTTCCCATGCCATCATGTGGTGCATCTGCCAATTAAATGGCGGTCTTAAGATATTCTGAATAACTCAATTCGGGAATTAGAAAAATCTCGAAAACGCTTCGTACGATATTTGTAGTATATTAATAAGTAGTGAAGTTTGTTTCAAGTCGGCAAGTGGCAGGTATATGTTTAATTCAAAATTATTTTAGGCTAATAAATTTACGTTTGTTTGTAGAATGTATACTCAATTTATTCCTGTTTGGTGTTAGTTTATGGAATCTCATCATTAGTATTAATAACAGACTATTGCGCAATACTGTACCACGTGACTAACATTCGTTTTATATTTTTAAGCGTGGGTAGTTTTAAGAAGAGCCTTTTAAAATTATATATAGATATATTCTCAGGATTTATTTCATTTAATGACTTATTCATTGTTACGCTTTCTTCATAAGCTGTACTAAGGCGACAATTATGAGGGTTTCATGCCCCGTAAGCACATGGCAATCTAAATTTTGGTTATTCGTAACGTGTTATTTTCTAATCAATTCAAGCGCTTCGAGAATGCCCTTTGACCAACTTTTAAGCTATTCCATTAATATTCCGAAATTATTAACCTGTTTGTGTTCATTTTATATTTCTATCAACCAACTTTGTTATGCATCCGTCACGGCTTTCCTTTGTTGCTAATTCTTTCTATTTTCATTGCGTTCATTGCGTTGGCATTTGTAACGCAGTTCAGACTGTTCGAGTTTCGATGGTAACACGTTCGCCGTGCGCGTTTCCATGGCAACGCGTTCACCATAAGCGTTTCTATAGCAACGAATGAAGTGTCAAATCTAGCGTCTCTGAGTTGACTTTCTCTAAAGAAGAGCTGCTGTGTAGAAAGTGTTCCATCACGTAGTTTCTACTAATTCTGAAAATAATTGATGTAATGCAGTAGATGGAAAGTGGGAAACGTAGAATAACATTAGAGGGGAAGATGCTGCTGAATTTATACGGGGAAGACAATTCGCATCGTTCGTTATAGAACATGAAATTAAATTATGTTAAAATTATGAAATATGAATAATATGAACAATTTATCGAGCCGGAGCGTAAATCATTAAGATGTTGAAGAATACTTCTTTTTAAAATTTATATAATTATAACATCGTTCCCAGAGTTGATGATGATGCCGAATACTTTTGATGTATTAACGGGCATTATTGTCAATTAATAATGTAATAATGCTACGTGAGCCTGACATTTACACGAACCCAAAAATGAGTGGGGCTTTGTCCAAATAGCGATGCACTTTTTTTCTGTGTGTAGGTCATCTTGAGTCAGTTTGGCCCGGCAGAAGAGCATGTCAATGCTGCGTCTGTTGGCTGGTCGTGCTGCGGGCAAAAACGTGTCACTATTTAGACAATATAACCCATTCATTTTTCTTTGTGCGGGCACTGCATCGTGTTTATTTCCTCATAGTTTATAGTAATTGTTCTCATTTTGTCGGCTGTGTCCGCTTCTGCTGTAAATGGATAACTAAAACACATGGATTTAGTTTCATTATTCTCCTCTCATCACAGCAAATATAAGAAACGTAAAATTTAATTCTCCGTAAAGTTGCTGCATATGAAAATGTGTGACGAGTTGCGAGGCAGCTGCCTTGCTGTAATCTCGACGCTTGTGAATGGTGAGTGAGTCGTTGCCTTCAAGTGAGTTGTTACTTCTTGGCGTATTCTTTAAAAATTACCTAATTAATGTGCTAAAACTAGGGTTTGTCAACGGTCATTGAACCACTTCATCCAATTACTGTTATTTTTTATTTCAATATGTTAGATCGGTTTTAATTTGTACTTAAAAAATTTTAGTCAGAAGTGGCCCTTAAAGGAAATTTTTATGTTCTTAGGCGGTCACTATTGGCTGCTACGGAAATTAAATGAGCGAGATCGCGTCGAAATTTGTAACCAGCTGAGCTTGTTCCTACCTCTTCCTGACGGTGAGTTTGAGATCAAAATCTTAGCCTTCATAGAATACAAGAAATTAAATTACTGTTCTTTAAAATGCTGTCATTATTTGTTTTATGTGATGTTATTGAAGATTATTTATTATTCTGTGTGAGATGTGGTGAAATAAATGTTCATTAAAATGCTGTCGTTATTCGTTATTTATTCGCCTTATGTGAAGTTATCGAAGATTATTATTATACTGTGAGATGTGTATAATTTTGTTTTATATTCGCCCCTATTCTGAAGAATCAAATATTTATCATACCTTTACTAGCTGACTTGAAGCAGCCACTATTATCTAATAGTTTATATCACTAACGCAAGTTATTCTTAACTACAGCATTGCAGCTAGACCCTGGCGACTTGTACTGGCATCGTCGCGCTCTCGCTCACTTCCCTGCGCCGCAAGTTTTCACTCCACAAACTCTCCTCAGATTGGCGAGCAGCTACACGCCATCTGGCGGTCGCTCGAGCAAAGCGTTCTCGTGCGAAGAATCTTTGTCTGCTGGCAATTGTGATACTAAATTTGCAATGAACGATGAAATTGTCAGGAGATCAACAGCCCAAAAAAGCAAGACTGACGATCAATATCAGCGCAATTCTGGAATTTGTGTCGTGAATGTGAGTGGTTTAAATGTAGTATTATATTTATATAAGGTAATTTTTTGTAGCACGGCGTTGACTTTTGCAGAATTGTGAACTTATTTGAAGTATATGTTGGTATGTTTCTGTGACCGTAAGAATAGGTCACAAGTTTAATTCTTAGCTCAGACCTTTAATTAACGCCCACATCATGTGTATGGCGTTAAAGTTCGTTAACCATTTAGTAAATAATTGTTTATAATTTATTCTATTTATAACATCAGTTAATTATTTATTTTTAACAACTTCTACAATGAACAGCATATGAAAAACGAGGAAGGCACGTGGAAGCGTCGTTACCTCGAGGAGCTTTTGTCCCGAGCTCTGGCTGGCCGATCTCACGACGCTCCTTTTTCTGATTTTCGAAACCTCGCAACGACTGGAAGCAAATCTCGTTATCCTGGAGCTCAAGGTCGCTGGTCACAAGAAGATAAAAGTGATCAGAAACCGCCGAACTTGGACTTGAATCATCTGCTTCCTATTTGCAAAAACGAAATATGACATCTAAGAGTTCCGTCTTTACCACCGCTGGATGGCAGGTTCGAATCGGTTTTACGTTACCAAGAAATTGTGTTTGACTTCAATTGACAGTAGAATATGTGATCAATTTGCGTGAAATTTAGTCCAATGATTTTATATGACAAGCGCAGACGGGCTTCAATCAATAAATGTGGCGCGAATAATTTATTTCCTTTGTCTCTCTATGAAGCGCCCTGGATTGCACCGAGTGGTTGACGAGGCTGAACGATGTGGTTGTTCACCTAATCAATCTAAAGGTGCCTTTAGTATACCATTTAATCTTTTAAAAAACTTCATCATCGAACTCACTACTGCTTAATTTTCACATTTGTAACGTTGATTCTCTTACTATCTTATGCAATGATATTGTCGCCTTTTCCTTCGGCTTGACAAATTCTTGTAACCCTACACATGATTTCCTCCATTGCTGTCATCTTTCGCACTGACTCTCACCATCGCACGGTATCATTTCTATGGGGACTTTTTTTGCAGAGTTTAGTGTTCTCGGTTTGGCCAAGAGCGCCTAACGCTGAGCCTCTCCCGCTTCGCCCAATTTCAGTTCTTGCGAAGACGCTGGCGACTTGTTCCCTCTCAGCCCTGAGGTACCTAGTCACTTGGAATTACGTACAGACGCAAATTACATGCACTGAAAAAGGCAAAAAAATCAACAGATCACTTCGGAGTATTGAACAAATATTTTCTGCAAAAATGTAAGAGCCGGAAAATAAATATAACTTTTTATTAATATCTTCCTTCGTGTCTTAAGTATTCAAACCCCAATTAAAGAAATAATATTTTTAACAGAGTATAGTTCTATCGTGTAAAATATCGATTATAACGATTAGAATTTTTAATTTGTCGCCAATTCCGCAGCATAACCCAAAGTGACTTGACGGACGCGCACGCAGAAATTCTCTTGTCTGCGCTGCATGCGTCGCCGGCCCTCGAGTCTCTGGACCTCAGTCATAATTTATTATCGTCTGCGTCTGCTCGTTTCTTCGTCCCTCTCATGTCTTCGCCCAATTTTCGATCACTAAAATTGGTCAATAATAAACTGAGTAAGTTTGGTCTAATATTATTAATATATTCGCAATCTGGCGCGAACAGAATCGGTAATTTTTTAGCAACGACGCCAACGGTCCCTTAGCTGTACCCAGCATCTTGTTTAAAGTGGTGGCGCTCATTTTAGATGAAATTCATCGTTGTTAGAGCGTGCTTGGTTAAGAATAAAATTTCTTGCGACTTGTGATTAATTCATGCACAATTGATGTTATAATGCACTTATGATCTGAGTTTTTAAATCAGAAAAAATAGCTAAGTATTTTAAATTTGGCATCATAATTATTTTAGTTAAACTAAAGTTGTCTGCTTCAGAGCAGCGTATGCCAAAATACTCTTCATGAACCTTCCTGACTTTCATTTTTATGGCGATATTCTTCCATGAATCTACTTTTGTTCCTTTAATCACTATAGAGGCATATAATGTTTACACTGAGCGAATATTGCAGACTTTGAATGCTGTGATGAGTTCTCTGCGGCTTTAGCATCGAACTGCAGCATGCGAAGCCTGGCCCTCGACGCGAACGCTCTGCAAACAGAGGGAGTTTGCCAGCTCCTCAAGGCTGTCAATCAAACCTCTGGTGAGCCGAAAATTTAAGACATTGAGTGCGGCCATGTTGTATTCAGGGCGTATTTCATACCTGTGGTTGAGATAATTAAACTAAAGCTAAGTATTTTATGATACCGTGATGATTGTACTTCAATATGGGCTCGGCTTGAAATGTATCTTTTCTTGGCATTTAGGGATGGGTAGATTTTTGCACATAAAAAGGTGATATGAGGAGTATTTAATTTTCCAGTTACAGAGAATTGCTATAATGTATTTGTTAAGGAACAGGCCTGGAGGTGCTCGCTCTAAGCGGGTGCAGGGCAGGAGGGAGTGTCAACCTTGACAATTACGTATTTGAAGCGTTGCTGAACGCCGTCCAGTCTCCCAAAATAAGAAACATCAATTTAGCTAGCAACTACTTCACCCTTGTAAGTTCTCTTATAAAGATATATCCTTGCCAACATATCCCTGTGGTCATTAATATTCAAGAGTAATTAATCGTAAGAGCTTATCCGATTATTGTGATAAGTTCAAAAATGAACAATAAAATGTTCGTACACATGCCCTAGCTTTAATGCCCAGTACAATAGTTTTTCTAATGGATTTCCAGGAACCTCCTTCATATGTCGCCAAAGCGTGCACTTCATCGCGATGTTGTGTGAGAATCTCCTCAATGGACGGCCAGATATCCAATTTATTTTATGGCACAAGTACAGAATGTATAGAAGAAACTTTATTTAATAGAAAACACATTGATATAACTGCATCGTCCATTAAATATCCTGGGAAGAACAAACCAAGTCCGCCTTGCATGTTCACATCTTTTCATAATGAAATCTTTTCTCGTGACCAAATTAAAATAGAACAAACCATTAGCCAGCTTCGGTTATACGTTCACTAAATTGGTATAAATACAAATTTTTGTTTAAAAACTTTATTAGGTAACAAAATCCGACACATCCGCCAATTACGAAATATTTATCTTTATCCCGCTTCATGTATTAACCATCAAAAGTAGCCAGCAACGGAACAAGTTGCGCATGAGTATTCGCTAACTGCCGCCAGGCTTCCGTCCTACTATACAATATTGGACAATCTAAAGATATGCAGAGGTCAGTAACATGACTGTACCCTTCACAGGCGCGACATATCTGTGGGGAAAAAACGTCAAATTATATTCAGTGCATGGTTATCTTAATTTATCATATTTTCAAACTTTCATATTTGGTCAAGAATTTTCTATATTTAATCCAATTATCATTCCATATCATAACAAAAAAAAAAAATATAACTCGGTACTCACTGCAGTGAGTGGCAGAGAGCGCATTTTCTCGTCGACGAAAATGTGAAGTCACGGACGGACGGACAGACAGACATGGCGGGCACAATAGTGCATTTTTTCATAAATGAGAAAATGCGCTAAAAAGAAACGAACATATAAGTATTATAATATGAGAAATTTCACCTCGCTAATTTTTTGGACGGCTCTTTGAGCGGTGCGCATACGCTCGTTGAGCGTCAATACTATACAATATTGGACAATCTAAAGATATGCAGAGGTCAGTAACATGACTGTACCCTTCACAGGCGCGACATATCTGTGGGGAAAAAACGTCAAATTGTATTTAGTGCATGGTAATCCTAATTTATCAAATCTTTAAACTGTCCTATTTGGTCAAAAATTTCCATATTTAATCCAATTATCATTACATATCATAACAAAAATAAACGAAACGCATATTTAAGTTTTATAGTATGAGAAGTTTTACCTCGCTAATCTTTTGGACGGCTCTTTGAGCGGTGCGCATGCGCTCGTTGAGCGTCAATACCGTCACTTGTGGCTGTGCGCGACAGTTGTTGCACAGCGCGGCGTGTCTTTCGTCCCCTTCGTCTCTGACCGCTTCACTACCAACTGTACCAGAATTAATTTATATTTAGTATACGCACAACCAGCGTAACTTTCTACAATATTTATATGGTTGAAAAAAGTAATCGGCTATGTACAATTTATATGGCTCGGCTTCAACTATTACTCGGCTATATTCATGTCAAATTCAGAGGCAGAATATTAGGCTTCAAATTTTCCCCCTTGTTTGCTCGTCTTTCCTAGTACGTAGAATCTTTATAATAAATTAGATGTATTATAATCACTTTCATTTCCACCCTTCCAACTTGGCGTTCTAAGGGCATGGCTTACACCAATGTTCAATCTGTCATTCATTATTCGATGATTCATTATAAAACTGCGAAAATCTTCCGCACCTTTGGAAGTTTTGACGACAGTGCTGGCGGCACAGACGACGCAGGCGACCGACGAGAAATACTGCGATATTGTGGAGCTTCCGGTCCCGCCTGCGCTGCACGTCGTCTGCGGTCGACTCAGCGTCACGGAGGGCACGATTGCGGTTGGTCGTGTCATGGACTCGTACCTGTGGGAGCATATTCTTGCTGGTAGTAAAATTTTGTTGTGTTAATGGGTTTGCACCATCTGTGCAAAGTGTGCCATACAGCATTGTGCATTACACAAGTTCTCAAATTATTATTTACAAATAGATATAGGTATTAAATTTGTTAAGACATTTGATTTGACTTGCCACGTTGCCCTATTTTACGAGGCTGACGCAGTGGCTCGGATTGGTATTTGCATGAGCCATGATAATTAATTAATTTTTCGTATGATATAATAAAACGTTTCACTGTCAATTCATTCGCGGTTAATTCACGCCGCACGTGGAACTTTATTACTACAAAAGTTTTATTGCTGTTAATCTGATTAATTCTGCTCGGTCGCAAAAATTAGACATTTAATTTGTCAGTGTTTAATTTTTCCAAATGTTTTTGCAGTTGATATCTTCCAAATTTATTCTTATTATCGGCAACTTGTTGTGATACGCACTTTTGCCTAGCCATACTACTTCAGGTAGGCCAACGCAAAGACAAAAAGCCCATCTTTTTTGAAAGATCTAACTCATTTCTCTCAGTTAGTACACATCATCTACATTAAAGTTGTAAAACATTCGTAACTGAGCACACAAAATTGTCCAACATTCTAATCAAAGAACGCACCACTTAGCGACGTTGACGCCCAGCAGCGAGAAGCAGCGATCAAGGGGCGGGATGAGGGCTTTAGTGATGTAGTAGACGTAGTTTGGTCGCAGCCACTTGCCCTCTTTAGACAGCAAGTCTCGGGGACATCTGCCACATCAAAATTAATTCATATTTTCGTCTTCGTTACTTCGGTTAGAATAGCTTACCATTCTGTTAACGCTTACAAGCTAAAAACGATAGTTAACTACGTTCTAATATCTTTAATATAAAATAGAAATCATTCTAGTTTCACCGACGAACGTTCATGAGATAATGAATCGTTAAAATTACCCGCAGTAAGTATTATATTAATCAATCCCATCTTTTATGCAGCATGGCTATAATGCAATATCTTCAGTTATAGTTTATATAATAATATCAGTTATTATTGCCTAACAGAAATGCTACATAGATGAAAAACAGCTATAAGTGATACAATAACATAAAACTGATATTGTTATATAACAGCATCAGTTATAAATTGTAGGATAATTGATAATAGAGAACAATAATAATGATAATGAAAGAATAGCAATTATTATAAGTATGAAAAAGGTTAAGGGATTATATAACAACTTGGAATTGATATTGTTATATAACAGCATCAGTTATAATAAATTGTAGAATAAATAATAATAGAGAACAATAATATTAATCAAAGGAAAATAATTATTATAAGTTACCTGACAAGGCGTATGAGCGGCAGGCCCGGTGCGCCGTACACGATGACGTAAGGAACGCGCTCCCCGGCCAGAGGTTCCCCCCGGGGGTCTTTCTGCAGGCGTTGTCTGCACAGTGTTTAATATCATTTAATAATAGTTAAACTGACGACGTACTATTAAAGATACTTATGAGTTAGTGACTCCATCAACCACAGTGTTTATCAACTAATAATAGTTAAACTGATGACGTACTATTACAAATACTTATGAGTTAGTGACTCCATCAACCAATCACTGGCGGCTTTTCAAGTTAAGACCTGCCAATCTTAGTTGAGATATCAGCCTCTACGTGAACTTGGATCGTTACATGTAGTTAGGCGGCTACGTGAACTTGGATCGTTACATGTAGTTAGGCGGCTACGTGAACTTGGATCGTTACATGTAGTTAGGCGGCTACGTGTACTTGGATCGCTACATGTAGTTAGGCGGCTACGTGTACTTGGATCGCTACATGTAGTTAGGCGGCTACGTGTACTTGGAACGCTATTGGTTAACTTAACCGAATGGAGATAGTATGGCAACAATAGTTTGTTTCATTGCAATGGAAGATTTGGAACTTGGCATGTGTTGTATACATTGAATATAATTTTAAAACGGGAATTATGAAATCAATGTTACCTAAAACTTCTTAATCATTAAGATGACGATTATAAACTTTCAGTCACGTTCTAAAAATTGACAATGTGATCTGTTGTTCGAATTCTGTGCTACACCGACGATAATAATAGGAAAAATTTGAAATAAATCGAATAAATACTCTAGCCTATAACTTATTAATAAATGAAGATATAAATGAAACATCTGCATTTATCCCAGCGCCATATGACGCCAGAGTAACAGCAGAAACATCCGACGCGCTGAGTTTTATAAGGAAAGAAAATATAATAATTATTATGGGAAGCTGTAAAAGTAATTCATAAAAATACTAAACATGAAAAATCGAATCTACAACCTCATTTATCTAGTGAGTTGTATAAAAATAATTATAGGAGACTAGGAAAATAATTTCTGAGAAAAATAAACATTAAGAATATGATAAAAATAATAGATATGGTAATAAACATGAGAAATCGAATGTGCCTCATCATTCATCTAGCGATTTGTGTTCCAATTATAGAATTATAGAAGACTAATAAAATAATTGCCGAGACAAATAAACCTTTAGTATATGATATAAATAATAGATATGAATATTATGTACAATAAATGAGAGATGGAATGTACCTCCACACTAACCTAGCGAGTTGTGTAACCATAATAGTAGAAGACTAGGAAAATAATTGCTGAGACAAATAAACCTTAAGTTTATGATATAAATAATAGATATGAATAATATGTACAATAAATTAAATCGAATGTACTCCGAATGACAAATAAACATAAAGTATATCATGCAAATAATAGATATGAATAATACAGATAATGAACATGAGAAATGCAATGTCCACACTAACCTGGCGAGTTGCAATGAAGGCACGCACGCCCCAGGGCGATATCCCCGCGCCCCGCGATATTCTTTAGCAAACGTCAGGAGCTGAAGGGACGTACGGCCAGCGAGCAGCTTCGTGAACTGCCGTACGAGATACTTACGCACCAGAGATACGTCCAGATCAGTGAACAGAATACGCAGGCTCTGTTCCAGCAGCTGCAACGTCAGGGGTGTGTTAGGTTATTTAGCGACACTAAAAGAAATAAGGGAGACTTTGTCCAAATAGTGATAACATGAACAGTGGCACAATAATGCCGCCTAATCTTCTCACAAAATACACTAGTGCCACTTAATCCTCTCATACTATCCACTAATGCTACCTAAGCTTCTCATACTATACACTGATGCTACCTAACCGTCTTAATAATATACAAAAATGCCATCTAATCATCCCATGCTTATACACTAGTGCCACCTAAATGTCTCGCAAGATGCACTAAATCCACCTAATCTTACCTTAGCCGCCAGAGGACAGCCATCCCTGCGCACGGTCTCAATGCCCTTGGCTTCGAACTGCGGCTCTTTCTGGTCCTTCGTCTCGTACATGTAGCCCACATATCGTTTCTTTGTCTGCACACAAAAATCACCATGAAAATTCAACAACCCATCGCGTCTTTTCCGCAGATCACATCTTTAGTCATTTTTGAGTCACTTCAATTATAAGCATATAAATTAAATAAACATTGAGGGCAGTGAATTCATAGGTTGAATTTGTAAGGTGGAATTCTGCACATAACTTACGAATCAGTGTCACCTGGCTCGGTATTGCTTTGCTGTTGCAATGCAAAAAATATCATTAAACTTTTATTCAAATCCTTATGTTTCAACAAGAAAAACTCCACACGCGACCTACAAGCAAATCAATGAATCTTTTACTCTTATATAAACTTTGACATCGTCGCCTAGTTATAAATGGTCTGTCAAATCACCCAGCTGAAAAACTGACCTGCAAAATGCATGGCAAGTAGACTTTTTCGAACTTGAGTTTGACGGGCTTCGGGTTCAACTTGGTGACAGCATCGGCGATTTCATACCCAATATCGAAGGCCTGGTCTTTGGTTTTGCCAGGCAAGTGGACGAACATGGAGTCGGTATCCCCATACACGACGGTTCCTCCCCACGTGGGGTGAGAGTTCACGAGCTTGATGGCAAGCTCCAGCGTCTCCCGGCCTTTACTTACCACGCTGTCCGCCAGCTGCAGTCAGGGAATACATGATTATTAAAACAAGCTTAATTAAGTACACGTAGCGACCTAAGAGCACGTAGCGACATAAGTACACGTAGCGGCCTAAGTGCACGTAGCGACATAAGTACACGTAGCGGCACAAGTACTCGTAGCGACCTAAGTACACATAGCTGCCTAAGTACACGTAGCAGCCTAAGTACACGTAGCGGACTATGTACACGTTGCGGCCTAAATACACATATCGGTCGCTTTTTCGTCTGTGATTTGTGATATGGATTGAGAAGACGTCAGTGATTAGTCGTGAAATCTTAACAATTTCTGATAGTACTATGGCCCGTGATCATACTTATAAATGGAATCATGAATTTTATAAAATTATATATGTTTCCCATCACTTTTATCATTCGTATCAATGCAGCTTAATGCGGTAAATATGCAGCTTACTACATAAGGTCCAAAGATATTATCTTTGGGATTCATAGACAAGTGTCTGTTAGAAATTAATTTTATTTAAAAAATTTTGCATTCGAGGAAGTTATATGCATTATGCAACAGACCTCGACACAGGGCATCCTGCCAGAGAAGTTAGCGCTGGTGTAGCCGTAAGTGACGTTAGCGATGAGCTTGAGGCCGAGCTGCCGAGAATGCAAGGCTTTCTGCAGCGTTGCGTCCGACTTGTGTCGCTTCATGCTTTGCTTCACCTGCAGTCCCAAGAACGTAGAATTTATTAGACCAACAAGAGAATGAGATTAATGGCAGCTCCATTCACAATAAATTAGAAACAAAAATTGCTCTTCAATTTTGTACGCAAAATGCAGAATTGATTAGACCAACAAGAGAATGAGCTTAAAGGCAGCTCGATTCACATAAATAAAAAACGTATATTGCTCTTCAATTTTGTATGCAAAAATATATTTTGTACAACATCAACACAGCTGTAGCGAAAAGATATTAAATTGATGTTTGTCACTATTTCAACAAGTATAAAATATAAGCACAATAAAAATTTGGTAGATCAATGCTAAGTTTCTTTTTTCTCCAGTGGCGTCTAATTATTTATAATAGGATAAATATTATTCAATTAGTCCTGGACGACATTTAACACATTCTAAACTACACACCAATGGTCTACGATGGTCAGCCGGAGGATATGTCAAGCATGTGGAGGCAAACATTATTCTGGTATTCAGAATATGTAACGAATAAGTTTACCCCTATGCTTGCCTTCAGGATACAAATGATGAAGACGTTAATATTATTTTTTTATACGGCTTTAAAGCATGAAGATGTCAATTATTCTAGTTGATTATTATTCTGGTGATCAGGATCAATTATTCTTAAGACGTTAATATTATTTTTTTATACGGCTTTAAAGCATGAAGATGTCAATTATTCTAGTTAACTATTATTCTGGTGATCAGGATCAATTATTCTAGGCACGAAGAGGCTACCATTATTCTATTATTACGAATTTAATAGGAATAAAGAAGTTACCATTATACTGCCGTTAAGGATATACAAGACGTAAAGTTATCACCATTATCCTGGTGTTGAGGATATACAAGACGTAAAGATGTTACCATTATCCTGGTGTTAAGGATCTCTTCCAGCATCTGAGGGATGAGGCCGCGTCTGACCCTCTTAGGTACGAAGGCCACGCCGCAGGGCGAGATGTGCAACTAAAAATTATACATTATTAATAACTATTGGTACACTACTGAGACATAATTAATTTATTGACGGCTATAATACCTTTAAGTATTTAATGTATTTGGGTTCAAATTCTTTGGCCTTTCTGAATCAAATTTGCATACAAATACATCGAAGACGGATTTAAGTGAATATTAAACTGAATTCTTAGAAATTTAAGTAACTTGAATTTTTTCGATTCATACAAAGCATCAAATAAGCGACTATATTTCAAGTTACATTTGAAGTCATAATATAGCATAGCATCAAATAAGCGACTAATTTCAAGTTACATTTAATGTTATAATATAGCAAAGCATCAAGTAAGCGACTTATTTCGAATTACACTTTATGAGGCCGCGTCTGACCCTCTTAGGTACGAAGGCCACGCCGCAGGGCGAGATGTGCAACTAAAAATTATACATTATTAATAACTATTGGTACACTACTGAGACATAATTAATTTATTGACGGCTATAATACCTTTAAGTATTTAATGTATTTGGGTTCAAATTCTTTGGCCTTTCTGAATCAAATTTGCATACAAATACATCGAAGACGGATCTAAGTGAATATTAAACTGAATTCTTACAAATAAGTAACTTGAATTTTAGTTCATGTAAAGCGTGAAATAAGTGACTCCTATCAAGTTACATTTCAAGTTATGATATAGCAAAGCATCAAATAAGTGACTCATTTCAAATTACATGTAAAGTTATGGTATAGCAAAGCATCAAATAAGCGACTAATTTCAACTTATCATATAGCGAAGCATCAAATAAGCGACTAATTTCAAATTACACTTAAAGTTATGATATGAGATGCCGACCTCGTCCACCATATCCAAGAGCTCCTCCTGCGACACCCTAAGCTGCCCCGCCCCGAACACGAAGGGCTGAGCGCCCGTCAGGAGGTCGACGCGCCCAAGACACGTAGAGTAGCAGTAGTTGTGGGCGATCATGATGCTGGGGTACAGGCTCTGGAAGTCCAGCACTATCACGGGCTCCGTGTACAATCTGGGTCATATTCAAACTAATAAAATATAGTAATAATAATGAAACTATGCCAATCAAAACGGAATCATGATGCCTAAAACAAATAATTGAGATTAAACTAGGAATGAGGCTTGATTTTTACACCCGATTTCACAAATTAAGATTATACTTTTTTTTCAAGAAATTATAAAATTCCACCTGGACTGAGGCTCGAGGTTTTACACCCGATTCTAAAAATATAGATTCTAATATTTTATTTTCTAAAAATTAAAAATCACACCTGGACTGAGGCTCGAGGTTGAGCGCGATCCACTCCGGAGCCTTCATAGCCGCCCGCTGCTGCACGCTGGGCGACATGGCCACGCAGTTGTTGCTTCTGCTCAGCCTCAGCAACATCGACTCGACGCGGAACTGGCGTGACACAAAGGGGTTAGGGTAACAAGAGGGGGTTTAGGGTCATCAGGGTAACAAGGGGGATCAGGGGCATCAGGATACGGGGGGATACGAAATCCGGGTCATCGGAGTCACAGGATGGAATCGGTCACAATCAGCGGACGGCATCAAGGTAACGGGAGGAAATCAGGGTAACAGGAGGATATTAGGGTAACGGGAGGGGGTCAGGGTAACGGGAGGAAATCAGGGTAACGGGAGGAGATCAGGGCAACAGGAGGGGATCAGGGTAACGGAAGGGGATCAGGGTAACAGGAGGGGATCAGGGTAACGGGAGGGGATCAGAGTAACGGAAGGGAATCAGGGTAACGGGAGGGGATCAGGGGTTGGAAGATAATAGCTGTACCTGGGAACCGCGGGCGAGGACGTCGTAGAACTGAATGCCGAAAAGTCTGGCGAGTTCCGAGGTGCGGTTAACGAGGTCCAGGCGCTCGAACAGTTGCAGGGAGAGGCTGGCGCGCTGTAAGTAGTGATTCAGAACACGACCCCTGCGAGAATGCACAGATTATTATTATTTAAGCTCTCGTTAAATTTTAATAATAAAAGAAAAAACTTTCCGTGGAACCTTTACCTGCTGCACCTGTACCTGCTTGGGTGCTGTGAAGAGTGTACTCGAGAGTACAACTAGTAAATATGACATGAGGGTAGCGAATGAAAAGACAGGCAGTGATTCAGAACACGACTTTGACACCAGTCATACTTGAGAAGGGAGAGTCATAGAGGACGGCAAATAAATCCGAAGCCAAAAAGCTAATTTGTTAAGTCCCTACAAACTTGATAGAAAACATGAAGCATAAGTGATAGAAGAAATATAATTCAGTACTCACTGCAGTGAGTGACAGAGAGCGCATTTTCTCGTCGACGAAAACGCGGTCACGAACGGACGGACGGACAGACAGACGGACGGTCACGACAAGCACAATAGCGCTTTTTTTTCAAACATGAGAAAAGGCGCTAAAAATCAAACAAATGTGCTAGAAAACATAAAACAAATTTGATAGCAAGCCTGAAGATGGAGGCTTCGTAACAAATGTGCAAGAAAACGTGAAACAAACATAAAATATAGAATGAGGATATATATACTAATATAGCAATATAAAAGTTAGATACGCACTGCGTGAGTTGATCAGTCCACCAGCGCTGTAGTGTGGCGTAAGAGTATTCAGGGACGCGCGTGTGCAGGAGATGGTGGCTGACGTTAGGCAGCGAGTAACCGCATAGCGCCGCCTGCAGTCACATGATATGTCAACATCTGAGTCAACTTTAATTATCTTCATAATCAGGAGTTTATTTCATTCTCTTGATGATCAGAAGATTATTTAATTTTGCGGATTGGGTGCTTTCATTATCGTAAGTTGCACGACGATCGTAGATTATATGTAAATAATTTGTTTTTTGATGGTCGTAAGTTCTACGAAAATCGTTAGTTCTAGGAATGTCGTAAATTAGGAGAAAGTCGTAAGTTTTACGATAATCGGAAGTTCTACAATGATCGTTAGTTCTCTGAAGGTCGAAGGTTAAGTAATAATTGAAAGTTATTCAATCATCGTAATTTTTTTCAGGGTTGCAACTATTTTTAATGACCGCAAGTTATATGGTGACCATAAGTTCATTGTTGATTTAAAGTTCAACGATAATCGTAAGTCACACGATTTCAAGCAAGAAATTCTCATTCAAATTTTCAATACGGTATTTACCTTCTGTACCTCGAGCGTGAGAAACAAAATCAGTACACTAATGGAATTTAATGAAAAAAAAAAGAATATTCTCATCCAGCGTATACTCTTACGTTTTTGCAACATCAGTGATACTTATGAGCGGAATGGTTGAGACTGTCTGAGCATAAAAACGAAAAGTTGAACTAAAATCTAAACCAAAATGGAGATCAAATGCACATGAAGTTCACAGTTTGCCAAAAAAGGTCCGTTTCGCATCAGAATACAAATTTGAATACAAACCAATTTAGAGATCAAATACACCTGACCTTCACGACTTACTTCAAAAAGAAGAAAAAAACGTTGGCATCATTGTATCAAAACATAAAATCAAATAAAAACCAACATGGAGCTCAAATGGGCGTGAAGTTCAGAACTTAATTAAAAAAGAAAAAAAAGTTCGCATCATCGCATCAAAAAAAAAAAAAAAACGTTCGCGTCACCGCATCATCATCGCAAAGTCAAACTGAAACCAACATGGAGATCAAATGTAGGTGAAATTCACAACTTACTTCCTGCTTCATGAGACGCCAGACGTTGAGGACGATGCGTCCAGCGACGTGTATGTGTGACGTGTGAGTGGCGCCATACTCGTCCAGTTCTGGATCATGGTGGCTCTGCTGGGTCCCTGGATCCTGGTGAGGAACTCTGGACAGCTGGGAGACCAGGTCTGTACCGCCCAGCGCCACGCAACGTTCCAGCACATAGCCCCAGGAGCTGTTCTGCACCTGCAAAGATATTAACAACAAATGGTTGACTAATAAGAACTTTGTTTTTAACTTTGTTTTTTTTTTGTTTTTTAACTTTCATCTGAAAGAGCAATACATTTGTTCTAGGTGTGTCTACATAATTAACCGTGTGTCACTCTCCGGGAACATAACTTTCAGCTTAAATTATACGTAAACTATTGAGTGTAGCAACCTGAGGACGTTTGTAGGCAACAGAGAACATTTTAAAGTTGTCGTATGTGGCGACGCTCATCAGTGCAAGTTATTTTGCGCTCACTAGAACGTATCCTTATTGGGAAGTAGGCTTGTTGACAATATTACTCTGGTTACTCATGTCAGGCAGGCGGTAGAGGGTTAAAACGAAACACCCAGCCTGCATCCATAGGAGCTATTATGAACACAGAAGGATATTAGCAACGAATGCTCCTGTGTCTTCATTTCCGGTACACGCGCTACGTTGTCTGAGCATAGGGTCAGAAATACGGATCATTTTGGCCAGAAAACAACAGGATAAGTGAAAACAAGAACTTTGTTTCTGGCTTGTCAACTAAAACCACATCCGTTTTTAAGCTTGTCTACAACTCAATATAATGAAAACTAAACATCCAGCTCATAGCCCTAGGAGCTGTTATCTGCAAGGATATCAACCGCTATATATTATCTAGAAAAAAAGCACCTTCGCTTTAGGATTGTCTATTGGAACTACAACATCTCTATTTTAGGCTCGTCGAAGAAGAACAAAAATGTTACAGATAATTTTTTGCCGAGAAAAAAAGTTTATGAAAAATTGTTGTCAAATGTTCCAAGAATGAATTAAAAATACAGTTGAAATATTTCAAACATAAAAATATTCAGATACCATGTTCAGTGCATATAAAGTCAAATTCTACTAAATTCTACATCAAGAATATGAAAATATTGTTCTAGTTCTAATGCCAAGTCGGTGAACTTCTGAAACAAGTAGCCACATCGTAGAACATGAAGTTCGAACTTCAACGTCAGAAACAAAGTTCGAGTCACTTAATGGAGTTGAATTTAGGTCTCAGCCGAACAAATAATTGCAGGGCCATTATGAAAGATTTTAATCAAATTTAAACATTTTAACCGGAAAACGATCGAAAATGCTGCACGCCAGTCGTCATCTTAGATTCAGAGTCTAAATAAGTTTCTTAAAACCGTTTCCTTCCTTATCATTTACAAGATGAAAAAAATTGGATTGACAAGACAATCCTTACCTCGTAGCCCATCTTGATGTATTTTCTTTTTCATTAACAAGATAAGGAAAAAAGTAGGATGGATATTCTATTCCCAACCTCGTAGTTCATGAAGATGGCTTTTTCTTTACCATATTAAAGATAACGAAAAAAGGACACGACAATCCTTACCTCGTAGTCCATGAGGATGTATTTTTCTTTATTATTAAAAAAAGTAGGATGGATATTACAATCCTTACCTCGTAGCTCATGAGAATAGACTTTTTCTTTATCATATTGAAAATATCGAAAAAAGAAGGATACGGCAATCCTAACCTTGCAGCTCATGAATATAGACTTTTTCTTTATCATATTGAAGACAACAAAAAAAGAAGGCTAGGACAATCCTCACTTCGTATCCCATAAGGATATCAGGATCCCACGTCCTGACCACGGTGACAAGTTGTTCCAGCAGCTGTTGTTCTCCAGCGACTTGCACGAAAGTGACGTCATCTGGCAGACCAACCCTGCCGCACCCGCCCACTGCCACCACCACTACGACGCGGGCCACGTTTGGAAGAATAATGTTAAAAATATGCGTTTAAATATTAATTTTTAAACACAACACTTCTAAAGAGGCCAGTGTTTCCGATGTTACACATGTACAATGACATTTTTATTTTATTTTTATATATTTATAAAAAAAAGCATTTTTTAACGTTTTTAATATTTAAACAAATATTTATATTTTTATAATTATTTATTCTGTCAATTGATTCAAGCATTGTCTCCGACTTTACTCAAGTGTGCAAAATTTCAGATCGATTGAACTGGTAGGAGTGTATTAAATATCGATTATACGATTTAAATCAGACAAACAAACAAACAAACAACAAGAAGTGAAGTTAAAGAGAAGTGTTGAAATAAAAACTATAGATCCTGTAACTGAGCTTCCAAGACAAAGATATAATATTGCGGTCGTGACGTTAAAAGTACATGAATATTCACGAAATTAATATAATAATCACCAAACTCCTTTTTACAACACTTCTCTTTAACTTCACTTCTTGTTTGTTTGTCTGTCTGCTACAAATCTTAAAATCGAAATTTAACACACTTCTACCTCTCCTATCGATCTGAAATTTTGCACACTTGCATAAAGTTGGAGACAATGCATGAATCAAGTAACAGAATAAATACTTTTACAAATTGAAAAAATAAAATTTTTTAATACCTGTTTTAAAAAAATCAAGAAATAATTTTTGTATTTAAAACACTTCTACCCGTCCAGTGGATCTGAAATTCTGCAAACTTGCGTAACGTCGGACACAATGCATGAATCAATTGATGGAATAAATAGTTTGGAACATTTAATTTTGTTTAAAATTAAAAAAATAAAAATATTTTTTTAATATATGAAAAATAAATTATAAATTCATTGTACATTTGTAACATCGGAGTCACTGGATTCTTTAGAAGTCCTGTCTTTAAATAGTAATTTTTAAACTCGTATTATTAATATTGCAATAGATACCATACGATATAATTAGTACAATTAATGAATAATCGTAGGTATCTTTAGTTATTAACCGAATAACTAATATTGACTCAGTTAATTAATAAATTAAATAATTTTATTATCAAGTCCAGTAAGCACATTAAAATCTAAAGGGATAATAAGAACCTTTGAGTTTGTCGAGAGGCTGTTGCTCGGACGGCGAGTCTCGCACGCCCAGCAGGACGATGGCGAGCACGGCGTCGTGGCGGGGGTCGGGGAGGAGGCGCCCACGACAGCACACGTGGGTTTCCAGACACAAAGAACCCACGTGCTGGTGCTGGGCACACGGGAGTCATGCATTGGAATGGTGAAACATTATTATAGTTGTAATATTAAGAATACTTTATTATTGATTAAATATTTTATATACTTAATAGCTCATTTTGTTTATTTCCAGACGCAGAGAACCCCCGTGCTGGTGCTGGGCAGACGCGAGTCATGTCAGTGAAATATTAGTAATATTTTATATACCTAATATCTCATTTTATTTATTTACAGTGCCTTGTTCGCGTAGGTCTAGAGGTTCTGACAATGTGAGAGCGAAAGATTGAAAATCTACATGAATTTTGAATTTTGTTGCTATTTTGGCCGGAGTAAATTTTGTTTTAAAATAATAGCTTAGTTTGAATTTGCAGGAGTAGATTGGGATTTCAATGCTCAATTGAGATTTGAAGCGGTATCTCTTCTATTAGCATACTTTAGCTTCAAACTATAAACGGGATTCGGTGTGATTCTCAAATTGCAATGATTTTGAATCCCAAGCATGGATCCCCTCGTAGTGTTATATGTAAATGTTTATAAAAATTTGTGGGTTCGAAACCTGCCCCCCTCATAAATGGGGCTGTTAATCAAGCTCGTATTAAGGATACAAAACGTGTCGGGATTTCACTTTGAGCTGAAAATTCATTCTTAGTGGGAGAATAGTGAGTGAGGCATTGCAAAAATGGGAGGAAAATATTAGACCAAAAATTCAGATTTGATTTTGTAATGGTCTCGATAAATTTATTCAAAACGGAGCAAATATATATTTTTTAATTTTGCAAGATTCTATGTTATAGTTCTATTTTATACGTAAAATGTGGGTTTGAACTGGTATTTTTCGATAAGCATACATATATACATAAGTTTTATTATTAACGGATTGAGGACAACAGGAATAAGGGTATTTGGGATAACGGGATTCTAAATTTGCAGGGATTCTAAAATTATATTATTCTTCCTAACGTGATTGTATGCAATAAACATGATCAGGCCATCACTGACCTGATGGAGCGCTCGAGCTTCCTGCATGTCATGGTTTTGGAAGCGAAATCCGAAGGTGTTGTCTCCGAGTGGGAGCGGCGACCCCTACAATCAAACCCAATCAAAAATGTCATGGGCGGATTTTCCAATGCAAGTAATACATACTTTTTGTTAAAAACTTTGGATAACTCAAAAGCGAGGGTAATTGACCAATAAATGTAGAGACAGCCACAAGAAATGAGATTTGTAGCTAGAATTTTAAGAAAGAATGTCGAAGAGAGCCATTTTTTAGTCACAAATCAAAATCCAAAAACCTTCTTGGACAGTGACATAATCATCCGACTATACGAAACCAACAAGAATCGATAGACATGGTGAATTTCGCGAATGAAAGTGCCAATTCATATAATACGTCAATTATTAGAATCAGAATTATATTCTTATGGCACAAATGAGTCGAGTGATAGGTTTACATTAAAGAAATTTCGTTGAAGCATCATATTAAATGGTGAAAAATTCAAGAGTAATCATAGATTAAATCCAGGTCAATAGAGAGATTCGGGCCTCACGTGTCTAAGAACGACCTAACAACTGTGATAGAGTATTGCCAAAAAATTGATGAGAAACAATAAAAAAAAGTATGTTAAATGAAGCGGACTAAATGAACAAGAGAACTATCAATGAGCCGGCCCAAGGTACACCAATGTCACATCTTCGAACAAAAAGTCTAACGAGCAAAGCAAAATGAAGAATGATAATGACAGCTATCTACTTATTTGATGTAATAAACTCAATTAGTTGCCACCTCCTGGATGAAATAAATCCGACGATAATAAAAAATGAGTGCTAACTTGAACAAAATAATGACCTACCTATGATGATGAGATAAATTGAAGTTGAACAAAATTAATACATTTGATGGAAATTGAGTCAAGCACAATTTACCGACACAATCCATTGAATTTATTGAGAAATTTCAAAATAATAGGACATAATCAGAGGTAAAAAAAGATGCCGATGCTAGAAGAGGCAATCTTCACACATGGGTGCTCCGAGGACGCCACGAGTCGCTGAAGCCTGTGTCCATATACTATATGTACCAACAATGAGCCTGTTCTCTGTGTGCACAGAAAATATTTAATTGAGGTATCCATTGATTTAATTTAATAGTAACTCTTTAGCTGTGTGTTGGGATGGAGCACATGACGAGTTAGACAAATAATTCCGCTCGATGAAAGTATCATTCGTTAGAAGTACTGCAATTCGAGTCCGGACGATACAAATCAAAGAAATTAAGCTCACAGAAATGGTATTTCCGTCTACTCAAGTTTACAAATTTTGCTATAACACGAGGAGTAATCTATTCTATCGGAAGTGTTTCAAGAAGGCACAATCATTAAAATCTTGCAATTAGTGACACTATATGCAATATTATCTTGAATTATCACTGATTTTAACTTAATATTTTTTATATGCTTGAGGATCCATATCGGTTGCCGGAGGTGGGGAATTCAATAACAAGATCATTTTTATGATAGATTATTTATTTGCATGAAAACGTAAGAAATTAAAATGCACAACCAAACCCAACGTCAATCAACCGGCGATAACCACGTAGAACTACGTAAACTTCTCTCGATATATATAAATATGTATATAAATATATATGAAAAGAAACTATAGTCAAACCAACACAGCAACAGATAAACGTAAATAATACGTATCTACAAATGAGCTTTATTTTCGTACCAATCGAAAACAGGAAACGAAATTACACCAAGTCCATGAAAATTATTATTAATCATACTCAGCTAGAACAAAGTAATATTAGAGACAAATCATAAGTAAAGATACTCGTACGTTCATTGAATCGCGGCATTACGACGGGTATTGTTCAAGTAATTATAAAATCACTGATAGACACGGCGTAACCGTACACATTTAACTGGAAACTGTCCATGTCTCGCTGTGAAAAACCAAGCAATTAAAATTCTACTACCAAATGAATAAATTTAATGATGGTATTTATACCTTCCACATCAGTGAGAACCTCACGAAAAGAAATGATATAGAAAGATGTCAATAAATAAATTTACGTATTGTATAGTGCATTCTTTGTATGATTTCTTATTTTCATTGGCAATTCAAGTAAGGTGATCGTTACTGTGAAACGATATGCTACGTGCAGTAAATTGAGGCTATCAAAATACCCAAACTGTATTTTTGGCAGCGAAATACTGAAATACTTGAGTTAGTGATCAGATTTGTACTTATTGGCAACCTTCTGGAGATTTGACACATTAATCGAGTTCTCTCAATTAAACTTTATCTTATAGTAATATAATATAGCGGTGTCAGCTTTTATTAGGCCGTAGGCCTGTCACCGATTCTTAACATTGCAGAACATCCACAGCTTATTGCGGACTTGAACTCGCAACTCACTGCTCCAATTTTGCTTTGCAACCGCCCGGCCTCCTTGCAGATTCTGACCAGAAACTGGCGCACAGAACTGGGATCGAACTCGCGCCTCTCTGCGCCAATCTTGGTACTCTGAACTGTAACCACTGGAATCAACCAAATGCAGGGACTTTCTACCTTTTAAAAGAGAACTCGATGTGCCCTAAATAGGCAAGGAAAAAAATAAATTATCAAGAGGCATTTGCGAACTTAACAGGTAAAACTACAAAACGAATGATACAAAAAAATTCCGTTGCGATTAGATGATTTGAGTTGCATGCTAGTACACGCCCATGTGGTAAAGTGTTGGTAAAGAAAATGAGTGTCTGGCTAAGCGTATTGGTGTGGTATCAGCACGGTTTGTTGGAAGACGTCAGGCAAAGTTATATATAATTATGTATATGGTATTATTTCACCGTGTCTATCAACAGAATATAGAACAGTGACACAACTGAAAGAGGATGATTATTACGCAACTTGGCTAAATTTAGAAGCGAGATGATCGCACATTGCTCTTCATAACACACATCATCATTCGCGATGGTAAAAATCTTTCAGCCGCAATCGAGTCGTAAAACCATAAACAAAATAAATTTGCTCTGACCGTACAGATGTCAGTCTGATTTTTATACCATGTAACTCTGAAAGTAGAGAAACATGGCACATTTCAGACAAATTCAAACTCCACCAGTGTATCAACTCGATAATTATACTTCAAAACATGTGTAATTTCAAAAAACTGAATTTGATACCTAGACTCTGAATGTCTAGTACGAATAAAATTCACAAGTGTGAGTTCCTAGATAAAGTAATGAAGTTCAGAACGCAATTCGAAATTACTTCATGAATGAGATCACCATTTATTGAGCAAATGGGTGTCAGACATCAAAATATAATTTGTATCCTTAAAATCTACTTACAAATTTAGAACCACGACTATACCAGTCGACCCTGAATCATCTACAAAAATATACACATTGTTCCTTAAAAGCAGCATTAAGTATGTATAAAAGTACCATTGAAATTTTTTCCAAGAGGCAACATGAGAGTTTACTGTTATCAATAAATTTGAGGCTTCTCAATCAACTTATAAGATATAGAAAAGAATCAGTGTTTGCGTTTGCGTAGAATATGTAGAAAGCAATTTATTTTCAACCCGAGAAGGAACTACACAGTACACAGAAATACCCTACATTTTTGACCTCACTAATTTATTTGGAAATTTACAATATTAAGAATCACTGTTTTATCTGGTTTTTCATTTCCATGCAACGCATTCATATTTTGGTTGGACATGTAGCCGAGTTTCATCTTGACTGCAAGTATTAAATTGCCTAGAAATAGTAAAAACGCCTGACTGGTAATTTAATTTTAATATAACACACGATTTCAGATCGCCAATCATGCCATGGCTTCTAAAACTGTTTAAAATTGTTACTCAATTTGATATGGCGCAATATACCGTTATCCCTTTCAAAAATGTTCATAATACTGATAAGCACGACAAGTAAATAACAAAGGTATTATATTTTCATCCGTAACCTTCATTATCTAATAAAAATCGACGGTTTTGGGTACTGCACGACGATGGGCAAGCCTGAGGGCATGGAATATACGTTGATTTCTATACGAATCTAGCGAGCATGTCGAGCAGGTAAATATTTCCTTGAACATAATGTATAAGGAAATATAAACGGCGATGGAAGATAACAGAATTAAATGTAACAATTGGTGCACCTTAGGCAAAACAGGCTCAACTTCAATAAGATAAACACCAAACACAATAATATGTGAATTTAAGAGAGATTAAATTAAAAAGATGAATCCTTAACAAGTCTGAACTGGATAACAGTCGTATTTCTTAAATGAAAAACGAGGAATAAATTACAATTCAACATTCCAATCACTGAAAAGTTAACGAGTATAATAGGTGAGCAATAAACAATATCAACAACAGGATATATAAAGAACATGTCTAGCTTAGATGTTGTCTCTAGATAAACTATTGCACACGTATCAACTCAAGCTAGATAGAATATCGGGTCAAAACGAGAAGTAAAAATGTACTTATTCATGATAAGCCATCTACATTCAGAAAAATTAATGTGCCATTGTCCAAATATTGATGCAATTTCTTAGCTATACGGCACGTGCAAAGGGCGGACGTAGCCACTGATTTGCCCCCATTCGCCTGGGCAAATTGGATCATGATAAAATACAACAAAATAAATCTGGGCAAAAAGTGCATAGCTAACTGGACAATGTCTCACTATTTTCTCTGAGCAGCACACGCATGTGTCCTTTTTAAGTAGATTAAAAGTTTGATCCACACTCAACTTTACTTTACGTGTGATACCAAGAAAAGCCATTTAAACTTAACAGCGTTCAAGCAACCTCAGCTTCTGAAGTCGAGAAATTATTGAGGCTTTCCGTTAGCAAAACCAATATAAGTTGAGGAACCTTATAAACAAATAACAGTCAACTTTGAAATGCGACCAATCCACACAGGAGCACATATCCCACAATGCTCGGTGTTTCTTGAAAAAAAAATGAAAATAACAAATCCAGAGAACCTTATGTTAACTAAATAGCGACCGCGTCGTGATAAAATGTTTTCTCTCTTTATTTGGCTATACTGTTTTCAATATTTGAGATATGCAAAAAATATTATGATGAAAACTCGGAATAACGAGTATGGTTTGGTTCATATGTCAGAGTCTCGTATTTCAGTTTCAGTCAATAAAGTCAAGAAGTCAGTGTGTAGGAATACAGCTTTGCTATAGGCAGTTTTTTCTGAATAGACAGCAGCATACGGGTTGAGTGTTACTCGTGCATGCTTCCAGGGCTTTTATCTTTGCAGTTTGCTTTGTTTTTACCTATCAATTTAGATCCATTTTATTACCGCACATAATTTGATAACTTCCATAAACTATATATATGAAATAAACTTTTATCATTCCAGGTAAAAATAATTAATCAAGAGTGTAATTTTCAACTCACGTTAAGCGAAGAAGATCCCCTGCAGAAACTAGATAGTTGAGAAGCCAGGTGATATTGTTTCCGGAACTGAGCATCCATCAGAAGGCGACCGGCGCGCGACGTATCCAGAAATGACGAGGAGCCAAGTAATGAACCGTTGAAAGATGCACCGGAGTTGGGATACGACTGCGGAGTGTCGGCGCGAGCGAGTGGGGTGTCTGCGCGAGTGAGCGGAGTGTCGGGGTGAGCGAGTGGAGTGTCGGGGTGAGCGAGTGGAGTGTCGGGGTGAACGAGTGGGGTGTCGGGACGAGAGAGTGGAGTATCGGAGCGAGACTTGATGATTTCATCCGATGAAATAACTGTAACTCTAGGAACTTCTGACGTAACAGTAACTTGCTCCAATGGTTTATCGCTTCCAGGTACGGTGAGGAAATTCGACGCTTCTTCGCCACTTCTTCGAAGTCTAGGTCCGGATCTGTTAGTCCGTTTTGGGAAAGCAGCCTTCTCTCTTCTTTTCTTCGACTTCTGGATTGTAAAGAAATAAGTAATCAGCAATAACCTAAATCAAATACCTTCAATAAAATTATAAACCAGAAATATTTGAGAGAGAACGCAAATTACATGTCATAGCTCTCTTCAAGACTCACCTTAATTCGTAACATAAAGTTGGTTGACGGGTCAAACATGGGCGAGTTTGGTTGTGAAGAATCGATGACCTCATCACTCGAGTCGTCTTCGTTATTCCCCTTGTCTATGGCATGGCTGGATGTCGACACCATGTCCGAGGTTTCATAATGCAAATCATTCACTCGTGTACTCTGCGTCGCATCACTTTCCGTTTCTGTGAATTGAAGGAACCAAGTCGTTGAATGTATAGACTTGCACGAAACGGCAAGGTTAACTGTTGAATAATCTTAACAGTTGAGAAAAATTTAACTTATTCACCTATTACAAATATCAGAAATATTTTGCTCTATGGAAAGAAATTACAATTGGAGCAGTTTATTGATCACACTAAGAAGTAAACTAAATATGAAAAGCAACGAAAAAGTGAAATGGTATCATAATTACTTAGTTCTCCAGTAGGAGGTTGCAAGGCCGTCTTTTCTTCACCCTCCGTCTTCCGTCTCGCCGGAGTTTCGTTTTTCTCTTTGATTGGACTAAGAAGGTCGGACTGAACGAGTCTGAGACTTGAGAAGGAAATTTTCTTGTTACCGTGGTTACCATCATGGGCCCCCACAAGTTCAGTGACCAGCGGTGATGAGGGACGGCACATGCCAGAGACCATTTCGGGTTCGAAAGAAACGCGTCGATGCCTTTTGTGAGGGGGTTGAGACCCAGGTATCTTCGTATCATCTGAAGAACGTCTCTTCATGCGGCTGACAGGCGTTGGGTTGAGAGGAAAGCATGATGGACCTATTGGAGTGGATGCTGCGAATGTTGTGAAGGGTTGTGGACTGAGAAATTTCTGAGATTTTGCTCGGTCACAGTCAGCTATTGAGGCAGTTTGTGACAAAGCAGCTTTTACATTTTCTGATTTGATAATCGAACTGTTCAATTGATTGGTTTTCGAGCTAGAAGACGATGTTTGTGACACGGACGACGATTCTTGATATCGAATAGTAGTTATCTCTCGTTTACCAGAAACCTTACGAGTTTTGTTCAAGTCATTTTCATTTCTCTCATCGTCATCTCTATCGGATCCATCATCATCCTTTCGCTTGACTTTATTTTCTAATGCCAGAATTTTACGTCGCGTCTTGCTCCATTTGTCAACTTCATCGTAAGACGGAGGTCTTTTCAAGGTTGTGTAAGTGATAGTTGTTGTATTTGCGGATTCACTCGCAGTGGACTCTAATTGAAAGGTATCTATTAAAACTTTCCAGTGATTTAAGCCATTTTCACGAAATGTAGATGGGAATTCTCCCAATTCAGAAAGGCTGTTAGATGGAATCGTTAAGATATCGCCGCCCACTTCCAACGGATTTCCGGGCACGTCATTTTTGTCGCTACAAAAAAGAGATTTATGCCTGAAAGGCACAGAATTGGCTACTTCTTCATATGATGGAGGATAAACTCCATAAGTTACGAATCTATCATTTTCTGAAATAGAGATTCTTGACTGGCTGCAAGGGGTATTGACGGAGCTTGAAGCCATGTAGTCGGAGGAAGTTCCGGGGGTTGTTAGTCCGCGCATTTCAGCAGTTTTCGTTCTAGTTAGGTCGACACCTGAATCAAAAGGGTCGTACTCATCCTCAATCGGTTTCTGTACACAACCTATGGAGGTGGGCACGTAAGGTTTCAACTCAAGTGGGTCGCCTAAAGGATTATATTCCTCGTCGGGGCCAAAGCTAGGCGGTAGAATAGTAGGTTTCTTCAAAACCTTCAATTTTTTTGCAGATGTAATGGTATCAAGTGGACTTTTCCTGGATGCGAGATTTATAATTTTCTTTTTAGCCTCTTGATATTGTAGAGACGCTTCATTCCCACATGCAGTAGGCACGTATTCACTCTGGTCTTTCGGAAGTAAATGTGAAAAGGCATCAATATTTAGTGTTGACTTGGGTTTTGAAGTTTCACCTCGCTTATCAGATATGATCGTAGGTACATAGTCCAAGACGTTTACGTTTTGAGCATCACTAACAGCACCTGGATTGTACTCTTCATCTAATGAGCCAACTGATTTTTTAAATAAATTCTGCCAAGATTCTCTAATTTTTTTTCTGACCTGTTTATGGAGAGAAATTTTTTTGTTAATGGTAACAGAAGTCAGATCGTCGGAGTCAGTCGAAAGTTTATCAGTATTTTTGCTGTCAGGATAGTTCAGTTGAATGTTCTCGTTTATGTCTCTAGATGGAACGCATTCACGGGAAATTTTGTCATTGTCCGAGGGTAAGTCGCTTGCAGGAGTCACTGATTCAATTTTTCGTTTAAGCTTCACAGTCATTAAAATGTTGTTGAGATCGCTTTTGGAAACGCTTATATTATCAGTTACAGAAATCGGAAGATTGAGAACACCTGACTGGGTCTTGATGGCTGGAGGCATATCACCTATTTTGTCAGATTGATTTGTTTGCATTGGGATGTGAAGATAACTAAAAAAGCGGACTGGTTTAGGATGAAGGCCGACTAATTGCTTCTTGTAATTTATACTGCTTGGATCTTCGGGATGATAGGCGTTCGTTCGAGTGACTGGCTCAGAAGAAAGAATCTCTTCAGCTGATATTAACTGTAAGCCAGAGGAAGGATTGCCAGGAGGCAAGAGTGAAATAGTTTGTGCAGGACTCAGTAGGGTAGGATTCGATTTCTCTAGCTGGGCAGGACGCTGTTTCAAATTAAGTGAGACATGATCCGTAAGTTCAGGCGGCGAAGATACGCGAATCTTTGGACAATCACTGTAGAGTGGTTTTGGAGGAACTTCGATGACTCTCAATTTGGAAATTTTGAAGGATCGATGTGACGACTCCGAGAAACAGTACTTGGAATTTTGGTTTGGAAACGTTTCTATACTCATAGTTGGTGTTTCGTAATCATATTTGATATTCTCTGCTGCACACGGTATGGCATCCGATTTTGACCTATTCTTAGGATCACTCGACTGATTCAAATCTGACTGTTCACTTTTTACTTCCGACGATCCATCACACTCGGCTGGCTTCATTCCAGATGGTAACGACTTTTTCGTCGATGGAGAAGAATCGTCCGATAAATTCAAAGCCCCATCTGTTTTCGAGTCCGATGATTCTTTTGTCAGTTTTGTAAATTTATCTGTGGATTTCGATGCTACATCTGCCATGTTTGACAGCTGCTCTGGATATTCAAATGATTTATCTGTGGATTTCGAAAATTTCTTTATCGGTTCAGCTGACCGATCTTTTAATTCAGATCTTGTGGATTTGGGTTTCGATTTTGATGATTGACTGCAAATTTTCAAAGATTTATGCCCCGATTTGAAAGATTGATGACATGAATCAGACGGCTTCCGAGTTGAATTTGAATTGTGTTCTACCGGGTTCGATTTTGGCCTCAAATCTTGCGCTTCATGTCCAAGTTTTAAAGACGCCAAACGTGATTCGGGAGAAATGCTGACAGACTCCGTAACATTTTTTTCGAGTTTGTCTGATGTGGGCCACTTGCTTCCAGAACCAGACGACTTGCCATCAGAGCCAAGCGATTTGTCATCAGAGCCAGACAACTTGACAAATGGTCCATCAGAAGACTTTTTCTTTGAAAACGATGTATTCCCCAAATAGGACGACTTGCTCTTACAGATAGGCTTCATATCAGACGCAGGCGTTTTTTTCCATTGGTACGAGTTGCCATCAGGGCCAGATAGACGACTTTCCATCAGAGCCAGACGACTTCCGGTCAGAGTCAGACGACTTCTCGTCAGAGCCAGTCGACTTCTCGTCAGAGCCAGACGACTTTCCGTTAGAGTCAGACGACTTCTCGTCAGAGCCAGTCGACTTCCCGTCAGAGCCAGAAGACTTTCCGTCAGAGCCAGACGACTTCCGGTCTGAGTCAGACGACTTCTCGTCAGAGCCAGTCGACTTCTCGTCAGAGCCAGACGACTTTCCATCAAAGCCAGACGACTTTCCGTCAGATCCAGACGACTTCCCGTCCGAGCCAGAAGACTTTCCGTCAGAGCCAGACGACTTTCCGTCAGAGCCAGACGACTTTCCGTCAGAGCCAGACGACTTTCCGTCAGAGCCAGACGACTTTCCGTCATAGCCTGACAACTTTCCGTCAGAGCTAGACGACTTTCCGTCAGAGCCAGACGACTTTCCGTCAGAGCCAGACGACTTTCCGTCAGAGCCAGACGACTTTCCATCAGAGCCAGACGATTTTCCGTCAAAGCTAGACGACTTTCCGTCAGGGTCAGACGACTTTCCGTCAGAGCTAGACGACTTTTCCTCAGAACCTGTCAGTTTCTCGTCAGAGCCAGACGACTTTCCGCCAGGGCCTGGCAACTTTCCATCAAAGCCAAGTGTCTTTGCGTTGGAACAAAAAGACTTCTCGTCAGAGCCGAACGACTTTCTGTCAGAGCCAGACGATTTCCTGTAAGGGCCCGGCGACATTCCGTCAGAGTCACGCAAGCTCCCGTCTGAGCCAGACGACTTCCCGTCAGGGTCAGGCGATTTTCTTTCGGAACTGGACGAATTTCCGCCAGAGACAGCCGACTTCTGGTCAGAGCCAGGCGACTTGTGAGAGTCAGGCAACCTGTGGTCATAGGCAGGCGAATTGTCAGAGTCAGTCAACTTGTGACAAGAGCCAGCCGACTTGCGGCCAGAACCAGCCGACTTGTGGCCAGAACCAGGTGACTTGTGGTCAGAGCCAGGCGACTTGTGATCAGAGCCAGGCGACTTGTGGCTAGAACCAGGTGACTTGTGGTCTGAGCCAGGCGATTTATGGTCAGAACCAGGTGACTTGTGGTTAGAGCCAGGCGACTTGTGATCAGAGCCAGCCGACTTGTGGCCAGAACCGAGTAACTTGTGGTCAGAGCCAGGCGACTTGTGGCCAGAACCAGGTGACTTGTGGTTAGAGCCAGGCGACTTGTGGTCAGAGCCAGGCGACTTATGGTCAGAACCAGGCGACTCGTGGTCAGAACCAGGTCTTAAATTATACGTAAACTATTGAGTGTAGCAACATGAGGACGTTTGTACGCAACAGAGAACATTTTAAAGTTGTCGTACGTGGCGGCAACCATCAGTGCAACTCATTTTGTGCTCACTAGAACGTATTATTTTTTGCAAGCATATAGGAATGAATATATTTGGATGGATACTATATATATATACATGTAGTATCCTTGTGACAATATTGCTCTGGTTACTCGTGTCAGGCGGTGTTTAAGGGTTGTCTACAGTTCGAAATAACGAAAACCAAACATCCAGCTCCTAATAGCCCCAGGAGCTGTTCAGCATGCACCTGCAAAAATATCAAGAGCGATATACAGTATTATCCAGAAAAAGCACCTTCGATTTAGGCTTGTCTATTGGAAACAATAACACCTATATTTTAGGATCGTCGAAGAAGAACAAAAATTAAAGAAAAACAAAAAAAAAAAAAATTAAACAAATTAAACAAAAACAAAAATTAAAGAAGAACAAAAATTTTTTGACGAGAAAAAACGTTTTAAAAAATTGTTGTTAAATGTTCCAAGAATGAATTAAAAATACAGTTGAAATATGTGAAACATAAAAATATTCAGAAACCATGTTCAGTTGCATGGAAAGTCAAATTCTACATCGAGAATATGAAAACATTGTTCTACTTTTAATGCCGAATCGGTGAAATTTTGTAATACAAGTAGCCACATCGTAGAACATGAAGTTTGCACTTCAACGTGCAGAAACGAAGTTCGAGTCACTTAATGGAAGTTGAATTTAGGTCTCAGTCGAACAAATAATTGCAGTGCAGCTATGAAAGATTTTAATAAAATGTAAACATTATAACCGGAAAACTTTCGAAGATGCTGCATGCCAGTCGTCATCTTAGATTCAGTTTTAATAATTTTTTTAGTACGACCATCTGATAAACCATGGTAATCGAGTATCACCTGAGACAAGATACTTGAGCATATACAGTATGTTCCCTTCCTTTAGCCAAGAAAGATACCTTGTTCATTTTTTATCATTTAAAAGATGAAAAAAGGAGGATTGATATGACAATCCTTACCTCGTAGCCCTTGAGGATGTATTTTTCTTCATCATTAACAAGTTAAGGAAAAAAGTTGGATGGATATTACAATCCTAACCTCGTAGCTCATGAGAATAGACTTATTCTTTATTATATAGAAGATAACAAAAAAGAAAGATAGGACAATCCTCACCTCGTAGCCCATGAGAATGTATTTTTCTTTATTGTTAACAAAGGAAAAAAGTAGGATGGATATTACAATCCTAACGTCGTAGTCCACGAGAATAGTCTTTTTCTTTATCATATAGAAATAACAAAAAAAAGAAGGATACGACAATCCTAACCTCTTAATAGACTTTTTCTTTATCATATAAATTATAAAAGAAAGCGAAAAAAGAAGGCTAGGACAATCCTCACTTCGTAGCCCATGAGAATATCAGGATCCCACGTCCTGACCACGGTGACGAGCTGTTCCAGCAGCTGTTGTTCTCCAGCGACTTGCACGAAAGTGACGTCATCAGGCAGACCAACTCTGCCGCACCCGCCCACTGCCACCACCACTGCGACACGGGCGACGTTTGGAAGAACAATGTTAAAAATATGCGTTTAAAAATTACCTTTTTTAAAGACAACACTTCTAAAGAGGCCAGAGTTTCCGATGTTACATATATACATGCATTTAATTGATTCAAGCATTGTCTCCGACTTTACTCATGTGTGCAAAATTTTAGATCGATTGAACGGGTAGGAGTGTATTAAATATCGATTATAAGATTTGTATCAGACAAACAAACAACAATAAATGGAGTTAAAGAGAAGTGTTGTAATAAAAACTATAGATCCTATAACTGAGCTTACAAGACAAACATATAATACTGCAGTCAAGACTTTAAATGTACATGTATATTCACGATATTAATAAATTATTCACTAAGATTCTTTTTAATATTACAATATATACCTATGATACAATCAGTACTATTAATAAATAATGTAGGGATCATTAGTTTCTTAACGAATAAATAATATTGAATCAGTTACTTGATAAATAATAGAATATTATTATATCAAAAAAGCACATTAAAATATAACAAGGGTTATTATATGTATAATATATATATGTATATAATAAGAACCTTTGAGTTTGTCGAGAGGCTGTTGCTCGGACGGCGAGTCTCGCACGCCCAGCAGGACGATGGCGAGCACGGCGTCGTGGCGGGTTAAATCCGTATAGCCGCATTACTTGTTAATGAAGTGTAAGTTTAGGTTGTATGAAAATCACACGACCTAAACGCGAGCTGAATTGTGATAAAAGTTCTTGCACGAAGTTCAGTCATATGTGTTCGAGAAACTTTTCCTTGTAACTGAACCATCCACAAGCCAAGCCACAGAAACGTCCGTTAGACGAAAAAACAACGGACAATTCGTGGATTTATCAATGCACGTAACAACATACGGAAGGTCCAATATTCTCCAACAGTGACTCGTGTGAATCACTGTGTGAATAAAATCTATAGGCAGGAAAGGAGTAGTTAAAAGTAAAAAAGTATGTTATTTACTACCCGAGTAAATGACATAGGTTGCCTTTTAAGCAAGCGGATAGAACGTGGGAGGCTCGATTGGCAGGGTCAGTTTCCTGAGCGGCAAAGCGAGTGGTTGGAGTGCTGATGGTGCGAGAAAGACCAAACCGGCGCACAATGCAAACAGCAATCTGAGCAGCACGGAGGTGTGCATCACTCAAGAGAATTCTGTATTGATGGGAGAGAGGGACTCTCCAGTTAATTGTATGGAAACTTTACTTTTATATGACGATTTCAGAAATTCCATGAAGCGTGGACAGCGATGATCGCAAACTCAATTATATTCCGACGCACACAAAGTTGGAGTAAAGAACTATTTTCATACAACGTTCGCCGTACTTTTCAGCATGTCAGTAGGAACGAGCTCTACGACCAAACGCCGGTTAACTATCTTGTTGTATGATGACCAATCTGAATATAGCTTCTGTAGCTGATTTTATATTGCACTGTGTTTCAGTTCATTAAAACATCAATTCACGTAGATAGCTAAAACATTATTTCATTTCTATAAAGATCGGTTCAAAACGAGATGCAAGTTAAATTTCCAAAAACCAGCGAAGCAGACATTCAAACATTACTCTGCTGGTTTCTAAAGCACAGCCACGAGTTATAGCGGTAGGGTAGAGTATCGGTAGTCAGAAGAGCGGTGTGAGGATAGAACCTCACAGACGGGCTGGCAGAACACGACTGAGTCGGACTCGGAGTCTCGGACAGTCGGACTGACAAGCCGACTCTCATTCGCTCAGACCTAACCTAGCTTGTACTACGTCGCTCCCGCTGAAGTAAAGCCCAGTCCACACACTCAAACTTATCGTCAGTCTTACACGTTATGCCAAAGTTTGACAGACAGGACGGAAGACTGACGAGCGTCCACACTGTTCAAATTTTATTCCAGTTTAGTGCGCTCTCGGCCATGGAGGAGGTAGAAGCAGCCTCCAATACCACAATGAGGGTTGATAGACAGCATCCCTACCAGCACAAAACCTCATTGACGACTTCATTTTGGCACATTCTTTTCGATAAACCGTACGGGAGAGTTTATTTTCTTCGTTAAAAAGTCATTGTTTGCTGTAGGATCAATTTCTTTGCACTTAGCAATCAATACCGCATAAGCCAGGTGCTCTCTTGTTCTTATCACTGTAGCTTTCTGACTGAATTTGCCACAAACAAGGGATACTGCGATATAATTCGATCAACTCACAGAAGAAATATTGAGACCAGTGTCGGATATCTTGAGGTGACATTTTGATGTGAAAAACTAGATCTAGCGAGAAACAATGTCACAGCTCCCAATATCAATACAGGCTGAGATAGAGTAAAATTTAGAACAGTTAGTTGGTTGCCCGTCCACACACTAAAACTTATCGTCAGTCTTGCATGAACCCAAAGGTCTTGCCCGTCCGTCTTTTCCAGGTATGTCAAACCTCAAACTCCGCCCACTCGTCTTGCAAGATGTCAAACTTTGAGCGTCTCCATTCTACACACTCCTTCTTGTCGATCAAACCTGGCATGACATGCAAGACTGACGATAAGTTTGGATGTGTGGACGGGGCTTAAAGACCCTTTTTCACTACGGTACTGATTCGGAACGATTGTGACTGGCCTGAGAACAATGAAGGTGTTTATACACGGGGCGACTGGTCGCGTCGATTAGTTGATTCGACTACAGTTTCGCGGGCTGAGAGCCTATACACGAGGAGAGTGTTTACGGTACAGTCCGGCAAGTCCGCCAGTGCGACGTTGGGAGTTGTCGAGTAAGGTAACTGCATGGTGGAAGCAAGCGAGAACTCCACAGTTGTGCATACTACAGCGGCTAAGAGACAAGCAGGAGCGAGCGACGCAGTTATGCTCACTATGAAAGCCGAGGCGCTACTGGGCTCACTTGAGTCTTGACTGGCTTGAAACAACTTGAGCTGCTTTGCGTGCAATGCACCAGCTAGTCGCCTCTGAAGACGTTAATCATCACAAATATTATTTGAGTCCACTAGTCGACTCAACTAATCGATGCATTTAGTCGGCTCGTGTACCTTAAGCCCCATGGCTGGGCTTCAAATGTGGCGTGCGTGTTTCCACTACGCACATGCGCTGGGATCGAGACTCAAGCCCCGTCCACACGCTCAAACTTATCGTCAGTCTTGCATGTCATGTCAGGATTGACCAAGACGGAGCGTGTGGACGCTCAAAGTTTGACATCTTGCATGTCGGGTGACTGGAGCTTGAGGTTTGACAAACCTGGAAAAGACGGACGGGCGAGACCTTTGGGTTCATGCAAGACTGACGATAAGTTTGAGTGTGTGGACGGGCAACCGACTAATTGGTCAATTTTTTACGCTATCTCAATCTATATTGCTGTTGAGAGCTGGGACATTGTTCTTCGCTAGCTCTAGTTTTTCATATCTCAATATATCCGGCACTGGTTTCACGATTTCTTTTGGCGAGTTTATCGAATTATACCTTAGTTTCCCTTCTTTGGGGTAAATGCAATCAAAAATCTACAGCGACAAGAGCAAGAGAGCACTGGCCTTTGCGGCATTGATTGCTAAGTACAAAGAAGTTGATCCTACAGCAAATAGAGATTTTGTTGCGAAGAAAATAAACTTTATCGAACAGAATGTGACAAAATGAAGTTGTCAATTTTGCCTGGAGCTGGTAGGGATGCTGTCTATTAACCCTTATTGTGGTATTTAAAAAAAAAACATTTTCGGGACCACCGCGTATGTTTGCATCGCTTTAATCTGATTTTGGTGGCACAAGCTGCAATCACTAGCGAGATGCACTAGCTCCTCCATTGCCGATAGCGCACAAGACTGAAGGAAAATTTTAATAGCGTGCAAGATTGTCAGTCTTCCGTCTTGTCGGTCAGTTTTTCAGTTCTTGTCAAACTTTGCCATGACATGCAAGACTGACGATAAGTTTGAGCGTGTGGACGGGGCTTTAGTTCCATCTGGGCTGCCCCTCTGCCGCGCACGACATTTCAGTGCGGATATGGGAGCGACAGTAACACAACCTCCTAATACGGAAATCACAGCGACACTGGCACAATGATCACAGATCATCGAGATGAACTCGCCGATGAGCCCATCTCGATGGGCCGGACTGCCTTAGTTCGGACTGTAAAAAAAAAGTTTTTCAGGCGTCAGGCGTGCAGTCTCTTAGTGGAGGAAGCGCAGCCGTGCACCACCAATTTCGTGCACCAATAAGCCCTGAATCGAACGCCTTGGATCTCTCCGGACAACCACCAATCAGCCGTGAACCACTCGGCTTTGTTCTCCTCCGGCCTTGCATAAAACCTGCCGTGCACCACCAGGCCGCGGATGGAATAGGACTTCTTGGCATCATTAAATTACGTAATTTTACGTTCATCTAATCCGACGTTAGGTTTCAGATAGCATAGTTCTGTTCCAAAATTTATCGTCCTTCGACGATTGGCCGTTCGACCGAGGGCTGGCTCGACGCACGGCCAAGATATGATTGTCCAGAAGTGTTGAAGGCTACGTTCCGGAAGGCAGGAATCATGATGGTCCATTACATTCCGGGCAGTGGTGGTCTTCGGCACTGTCTCTTATACACATCTAGATGTGTATAAGAGACAGCTCGTGGTCAGAGCCAGGCGACTTGTGGTCAGAGCCAGGCGACTTATGGTCAGAACCAGGCGACTCGTGGTCAGAACCAGGTGACTTGTGGTCAGAGCCAGGCGACTTGTGGTCAGAGCCAGGCGACTTATGGTCAGAACCAGGCGACTTGTGGTCAGAACCAGGCGACTTGTGGTCGGAACCAGGCGACTTGTAAGAGAAGGATGATTTGTCAGGGCAAGGTGAATTCTCAGGGACAGTAGACTTGTCCGAGCCAGACGGCTTGTCAGAACCAGGCGACTTGTAAAGGCCAAGTGACTTGTTAGAGTCATGTGAATTGTCAGGGTAAGTCGACTTGATAAGGCCATGTGACTTGTCAAGGACAGACAAATTTTCAAGTCTAGGCGAATTTCCGAGGCCGGGCGCCTTTTCAGAAAGATTGTTAATTTCACCAGGCAGTTGTTTTTCGGAGCGAAGCAATTTCGTTTCCAAATCAGACGACTTGGTTCCTGAAAGACCGCCAAATTTCAATTGCTCCGTATTACTTCCAAGTAATGCCTGCATGGCACCAAATTCATTCCTCATTCGAACTGCTTCCTCTTCATTCTCAGTTGCCTTTTCATCCAAATGCAACTTGTTTGACTGGTTATCCTCCGAAGTAAATGCATGATGGGAGGGAGCCACAGAACGGTTTTGGGTTTCTGAGTTGGCCTCAAGAGTTGGAACAGCGGTTTGTGTTTTTTCAGCGTCTGTCGTCAAATTCTGATCAAGAGCAAGATTTTTCAGGTCATCACCCTTATTTTTATGATTTATTATTTCGTCAAGTAGATTCTGGTTTTCTTTGTCGCATTTCACATTTGAGGCAGTGAGCGACCCAATAGACTTGTCCACCAACATGTCGATCAAGACTGACGGTCCACCCAATTTTTTAGCAGATTTGTCTTCCATTAATTCCGAAACATCACTATCACTAGAGATTTCCGTTGAATCATTAGGTTCACCTGAAATTTTTGAACTTGCTCCAGGATGAGGTCCACTTAACGATACAGATTTAGAGCGGAACACAATCTTTTCGGTGCCCGTTTTTTCCTTGAAATTTGATCGCGAATCGGGTTTGGCGCATTCCGAAGCAATCCCTCTGGACCTTAAGGCGGAGCAATCGCCCAAAGAAATCGAGCTGTCTTTAGTAGAAGAAACCGAGGACCAATCTTTAGAATCTAATGACATGTCTTTAGAATGAGACGACTTGTCTTTAATGTGTGTCGATTTTTCTTTAGAATGAGTTGATCTGTCTTTAGAATATGACTTGTCTTTAGGATGGGGCAATTTATCTTTAGAATGAGAAGAATTGTCGTTGGAATGAGATGACTCGTCTTTAGAAGTGGATTTGTCTGTAGAATGTAACGATCGGTCAATTGAGTGTGACAATCGATCTTTAGAGCGCGACGTTTGATCTTTGGAGTGTGTCGCTCGATTTTTCGAGTGTGAAGATCGATCTTTTGAGCGGGAAGATCGATCTTTAGAGTGTGATGATCGATCTTTAGAGTGTGATGATCGATCTTTTGAGTGTGATGATCGATTTTTTGAGTGTGATGTTCGATCTTTTGAGTAGTGTGGTGATCGATTGTTCGAATGTGATGATCGATCCCTTGAGTGTGATGCTCGACTTTTAGAGTATGAAGCTCGATCTTTTGAGTATGGTGGTGGGTCTTTGAAAGCCAACGATGTATCTTTGGAGTTGGACGAATGTATGTTTTTTGTTTCCGACGACAAAGTGCTAACCGCAGACGATTTACTGTTTCTTTCAAATGAGTGTTTTGCCTTGTACGACTTGTCTTTGGTTTCAGACGACTTGTCTTTGGTTTCAGGCAACTTGTCTTTTGTTTCAGACGACTTGCCTTTTGTTTCAGCCGACTTGTCTCTTGTTTCAGACGACTTGTCTTTTGTTTCAGACGACTTGTCTTTTGTTTCAGACGACTTGTCTTTTGTTTCAGACGACTTGTCTTTTATTTCAGACGATTTGCCTTTTGTTTCAGACGAATTATTTTTTGTTTCAGACGACTTGTCTTTTGTTTCAGGCGAATCATTTTTTATTTCAGACGACTTGCTCTTAGTCTCACAGGACTTATTCTTGGTCCCAGAGGACTTGCCCTTTGTCTCATACGATGGCCTGTCCTTGGTATCAGATGACGAATTTTCCTTAGTCACAGATGACGACTTGCCCTTGATCTCAGATGACGACTTATCCTTGGTCTCAGATGACGACTTGCCCTTGATCTCAGATGACGACTTATCCTTGGTCTCAGATGATGACTTATCCTTGATCTCAGATGACGACTTATCCTTGGTCTCAGATGACGACTTAACCTCGGTTTCAGATGACGACTTATCCTTGGTCTCAGATGACGACTTATCCTTGGTCTCAGATGACGACTTATCCTTCGTCTCAGATGACGACTTATCCTTGGTCTCAGATGACGACTTATCCTTCGTCTCAGGTGACGACTTATCCTTGGTCTCAGATGACGACTTATCCTTCTTCTCAGATGACGACTTATCCTTCTTCTCAGATGACGACTTATCCTTGGTCTCAGATGACGACTTATCCTTGGTCTCAGATGACTTATCCTTCGTCTCAGATGACGACTTATCCTTGGTCTCAGATGATGACGTGTTCTTGGTGTTAGATGACGATTTGTTTTTTCCTTGTAAAGATAATTTTTCTTTTTCACGAGACGATGGCACATCTCTGTTTTGGGACATAGGATTGCCTTCTGTTAGAGGCGAAGGCTGAGATTCTGTTTGAGGTGAAGCTATGCCTTCTTTTTGAGACGAAAGTGTGCCTTTTATCTGATTGGATGATTTGCCTTCTCTTTTAGGGGACGAATTTTTTCTCGGTACGAAGGATGATTGTCGTTTTGAATCCAGCACAAGTTGAGACTTCTTAGCCTCAACATCTGTTGCGCTCGAAGTCGCATTCTGCTCTCTAGTTGACGACAACGAAAACCGTGTCTTTGTCTCTGAAGATGACTGGTTACTAGTAGTTCGCGACCGAGTTGTTTGGCCATGTGTTTTAGATAACGATTTTCTTTTTGTATTGGGCGAAGTCTGCGCGTTTTTTGACTCGGATAACTTTGATGGGGTTCCAGAAGAAAATGACGAGCCATTTATTTTTCCCGATGAATTCTTCTTTACCTCAAAAATTTCCATTGAAGACGACAATTTAATTTTCTTACCAGAGGGTATAGATAAACTGCCCTGTCTTTCCAAAGCTGAGACACGAGACATTTCATTCAAACACGATAGGTTTTTAGAACAATCCGAGTCTTCTTTGGACTTTGTCTCGTTCGATGCTGAATGAGAAGAATGCTCATCGGATTCTAATGTTAGCTTGAGCACCGTTGCAGGTTTTGCTGAGCCGTCACTAGGAAGAATGAGCGCGTCTTTTGGAGTTTTTTCAATCGATGTAAGCTCATTACCTGCTGCATACGAAGCTGGTGTTTTGTCGTTCATTGAATGCATAGCTGACCCTGTTGTTGTTGATATAAATAGATTTAGCGATGAACAAGATGGAGATTCCTGAGTGATGTTATTCGTTGATGAGATAAATTTTTGAGCCATCTGAGAACTATTTTCAGAGGAAACGGTTGATTCCACTGCCAAGTTTATCTCAGAGGAGAGCTTAATTTTTTCAGCAGGAGATAAATCAGAGCTAAGATGATCGCCATCTTGCTGACTCGTAGCACATGCAATTTTAGTTTGGGTCTTTGAATCAATGGTTTGCTTAGAATACGAAAGTTCGCTCGGAGTGGTATATTCTATTGCTTCTCCTAGCGCAATAGAATCGATGACGGCTTCAGAGCGTTCAAAGAATCTCTCTGAACGAACAGCTGAGTTATTTGTGTCACTTTTTATTACTGGGGGAGAGTTCGATGCATCATTTCCGGAACACTGCCTTCTACAATCTAGGGGTAAAGAGTCAGGATTTCCGTCGCCTTGCACATCACTTCCCCGATCTGAATTGGCGTTTCTTGAAGAAATATCATTGGTGACGACATTCGTTTCAACCTTCGATGGACGCTGGACAGATTTCAGAGCAGAGAGAATGGTAAATTCAGAATTCGATTCAACCAACGTGCAGGACAATTTACTTTCGTTCACGTTCGCTGCGGTGCGGTTAGGGATTTGATCCGTATCATTTTTTGGTTCCGTTGAATCGGGAAGATTTTCAGGTAATATCAAGGAAGACATTGTCTCTGGTTGGGTAGGAAGAACAGCTGATTTCATCTTCTTAGACTGAATAAAGTTATTGTCCCCTACAACAGCCTTGCTAGAATTGCGCTTCAATGAAGAGTTCTTAGATATGTCAGCCCGTCGTTTTTTGTTGGCTATTCTGCACTCTTGGGCAATGGCGCCATTAGCTTCAGCAGCAGGGTTGCCTTCTTGTTTCAGCTTAGCAACAAATCTCTTCGAGAAATCACGGAAATTTAAAACGGATAACGATGTCTTAATCTTGGATTCGACAGCGTTTGTAGGTTTACAGACACTCGGGGCACTTGCCATTTGACCGTCCTCCTTGATGGAACCTATCGAAGTGTTGCCACGTCCAGTTCCCTTGTTGAGGGAGGGGAGTAGCTTATGTGAATCTATTTCCTTTACAGACATTTCATCTTTTAGCTGCAGAGTTTTACGTGGTGTATTTGCAATGTTGGCAGATACTGACGCTTCATTAGAGGATGACAGGGTAGCGACAATAGAATGATCATTAGCTGGAGCTTGTGGACTAGCGCCAGCTTTTGAGACAGAAGACTGGCTGTTTTTCGCAGTAAGGAATGAACCTAAGACCCACTTGCTTTTTGGGACTGGCTTTGATGCGATAACATTCTCGGTTAATAATGAGTTCACGGGTACATTATTATTAGCCGAGGATTCGACTACCAAGACCTTATTAGAAGAATTTAGAATAAGAAGCTGGTCATTACTTTCAGCTAAAGAGTTGCTAGCGGCGTCATTTCTTTCGGAAATTTTAGTAGTTGAAGATGAAGCCTCTTCGACAGTTGTACAACGTTTCTCAATCAACGAGGCAGCAGGAACATCAGAACTAGCGCTCGATGTGGACTTTGAGTCACCATGAGGTCGGTCCGGCATAACATGGGTAGAGGCCAGGAGATCGGCCTTTTCTGTTCGTTTGAGAGGACGGTTCTTACTAGAGTATTTACTTTTCACTGAAGTGACGCTCTCAAGAAGTTTTCCAGTATCACTAGGACCACAAAGTTCAACGTTTAATTGTTTTACTTGAGGACCCAGCTCAGTACTAGAAAGATCGACTGGCATGGTGATCGATTGGCGGTCATGATCCGCGTGAGGAATTTCAGAGGATACATGTTGATTAGCACTAACCTCTGCTTGATCATCATTGCATTCACCAAGTCCTTGGTCGTTGTTAACGGCATCTTGCTTAGTTTTCGAAATATCATTTTTGCTGCTAGCTTCAGAGTCAGGCTTTGCAGCTCCATTAGTTTCTTCAACATCAGAGTTTTCCGACGCCACTCCAGTTGCATGGCAAACCTCATCAGAAAGTGAAGGCGAACTCGAAAGGTTCTCGCCCGATTGCTCTAAGTGATCGTCATTCACTGAGGTAGCAGGCAAAATATTCACCGGAAGGTCTGATTGTTGTGCAGCGGCCTCAGATGTAAAGTTATCAGCAGACATTGAACTTTTTCGAGAATTATTATTTATTTTCTCACGCTGAGCAACAGATTTTCCAATGTCAAGACTCTGCGATGACACTGGAGGCTCATTCACTGAAATTGATTTGGGCGATAGAGGCGACTTTGCTTTCGTATCAGGGGTGACTGGAGAAGAAAATTCAACAGGCCCCTTATCAAGAGCCTCAGAGGGCCCCTCATCAGACTCCTCCGCAAGAGCCTCAGCAGACCCCTCCTTAAGTGCTCCAGTAGACCCCTGATCAAGAGCCTCAGCAGACCCCTCCTCAAGAACCTCGGCATGCTTCTTCATGTCTTTGGGTGTAACATCAAGTTGCTTCTGAACGTCAGTGAGCCCAAGAAGAGTATGTCTCTGTGCACTACTGGCACAAGAGGAACCTCCGAAATTATCACTACTGAGAAATTTCTCTGTGGCGGCAACAGTGCTTGCATTCACAGCACTTTCCATTTGGGATTTTTTGAGAAGTTTAAGTCTGACGATACATTTAGTTAGTCGGGCCTCTGATGCGAATTGAGATGCACTCACCACACGTGTTACTGGAACGATCCCACGCAGGTTTGCTGTCTTGCGTATAGAGTCATCAGATCTACCTTTAGTTCCTTGGAAATTGTCTTTCTTTTCGGTTATATATTTGACACGGCCTGAGGACTTGACTCCCTCGGACATATCATCCGATGCAGCATCTGAAATCATAGGAACGTCTACTAACACGAGTTTATCGTGATTTCCACTATCATACGTTTTTCCGTCAGAGCCAGAGCTGGGATTATCAGGGAATTCAGCAAATTTGCTAAGTTTGCTATTTGCTGTGGAGGCCTCTGTACCTGAAGCAGATTCGATAGCGCGTTCAGGATTTACTTCAACTGCAGTAGTCTCACTTGTCGACGATGCAGTAGTTTGATTGAGACTAAGTTTCGAACACTGGATAGATTCATCTGGTTTCGAGAAAAGAACGGTATCGCCACATTCTTTATCAGGATTGTTTTCTGGACAACGCAAATTGGCTTTCGAATTCGCAGGTGCATCACTTTCATCAGCAGTCGAAGAATTAATAGCAGAAATTTTACTGCGTACTACGTCGTTTCCGCTTACCCTGTTGTGTGTTTTTAAGTCGGAGTCTGATTTGGTTTTACATCTTGTCTTGGCTTGTTCGTTTGATGTGGCATTAGACAGCATACTTCCGTCATCACTCACACTTTCAGAAAAATTTTGAGTGATCATGGAAGGCCGGTTAAATGCGACATGATCGTCATCACAGTCGTTGGAACTGTCAGTCGATAAAGAAAAGTATTGCTTTCGAGACGCTTTCGTAAACATGGTGCGACCATTAGTAGAATCACTGGAAGAATGAACACTCAACGAATAAACAGAACTTATTGCTAAACCAGATGCTGCACTCCTTACACTAGGAACTTTGTTAGGCTTAGAAATTAAATCTAAAACACATTCAGTGTTAACGTTGACTACATCAGCCCTGTTGACAGGCGCATTAGCTTTATCGTCGAGGGCAACGGCGCTATTAGTAGTCAACGTACTCGCAACACAAGCCGGGACAACTGATAGAGCTTTCTGCGACTCAGCTGAAGGCTGAGAAACTGGTCCTACTCTTACATCACTGTTATTATCTAAGATTCGCTCATTGCCGATATTTGCGGCCTGAGCTTCTGATTCTGCAGCCGACTCCTCGGCTACCGAAGTTGTGGATGCAGTAAGGTTCACTGAAGCATCCTCCAGATTCAAACCCTTGATGACTGTGGATCGGTTCTTGCCGGCCTCGCTGTTGTCAGGATCGGAAGGTTCGGCATCAGCCGCGCTGACATCTGATGCTGGTTTTTGCACGACACCAACTTCAAGAACAGAAGTGAGTGGCAAGTCTTTTTCTCCAAACTGGGCCACTCCATTAGTTGGATATCTGCAATATCAAACGAAGAACCATTAAGCAACGCAGTCAACAATATTCTGATTAGCCGCTATAGTCAATGTACCGTTTTAATGAGAATAATGAAAATAATTCGTCCCATGAAATTTCCATATTCTAAAAAAGTGGATACGCAAAGCTCAACGGTAGCGTTCATTTTGACACTAAAAGAATACGCCACTTTACACTCTACACATTTTACACATTAAATGCATTTAAATGCTGTATGACTTAGACACAAATACTGACATCTGGCCTCCATTACGCTTTTTCATATTATAATGCTGCAGTAAAACCAGCAACAATTTGATTGCATTGAAAACAAAATAAAAAACAATCAACTCGTAATTGGAATAAGCAGACATGCCAAATTTCAAAATAAAAATAGTTTTGATCCAGTTAGAGTCCTACTCTTCTAACAATGTATTTCCATTCTTTCAAGAATCTGGATGAAGATGTACAAGCTACTGAAGCTAGCAATCCGATTACATATTGAAAATTTACGAGATTCCGAAAGTTGAGTTCTTGTCGATTGTTGTTGTTCATGCCCCACTGAGATTCGTATGATAATATATAAATGGGAAGACATCACAGATGAGCTAAACTGAAACAAATTCGATCACTCTTGGTAAGAATGTCGAGATTTAGTACATCATACTCAGTAGTACAAGTCAGAGAGAGGTATTGGGATAGTGTGGCAAAAAATATTCACTAATGCAAGTTCGATCGACGACCAGAGAATGTATTGTACGAGGGTCATCCGGAAAGTAGTACCCGTTTGGGAATTGAACAAAAGGAAGTAAATATTAACAAATTTAAACATGTTTATTGAAAAGAACATGTATTACACTACTTCTCTACATAATCTCTGGACAAATTTAAGCATTTGTCGTATCGTGTCACGAGTTTTTGTATACCAGTGTCATATTACTCCGCCGCCAGTGTATTGAGACACGCAGTCACGTGTTCTTTCAGTTCTTCGTCATTTTGAAACTTTGTCCCTGCCACGATATCCTCGAGTTTCGTAAACAGATAAAATCTGAAGGAGCCAAGTCCAGACTGTAGGGTGGATGTTCGAAAATTTCCCACTTGAATTTTTTGGAGAAGTTGTGTTATCCGAGCTGTATGCGGCCTGGCATTATCGTGCAGTAGAATGACGCCAGTAGACAATGTTGCACAATATGCATTGGCATTGATTGTGTATCCACGGGTCATGAAATCGATGAGCAGTACACCTTGCCGATCCCAGAAACACTGGCGGCGGAGTAATATGACACTGGTACTATACAAAAACTCGTGACACGATACGACGAATGCTTAAATTTGTCCGGAGATTACGTAGAGAAGTAGTGTAATACATGTTCTTTTCAATAAACATGTTTACATTTGTTAATATTTACTTCCTTTTGTTTAATTCCCAAACGGGTACTACTTTCCAGATGACCCTCGTATAACAATTATCTTACTCGATTTTTTTTTTTTCAGAGAGTCGTTGCTACGAGTTGAAGTCTTTCAGAAGCCTGCTTTTCGATCTTACAACATCGAAAAATAGAAAGACTTGCGTTGTAGAAAGGCTTGCATAGGGTAGACTTGTAGATAGATTTCTGAAATTATTCTACCCAATGTTTGAGGTGGTTTAGAAAATTTTCGGCTTTTAAACAACCGTTCGGTCTCCAGAAACTGTGTAATTATGAGGCTCTCATCAGGTCACACAGCGTTAGTCATTTTGATGTCTATTTCGATTAAAAACGACGACCTGTTCAGGAACGTGTCGAAGTCTTCGACATTTGTCCTTTAACAATTTAGATATTTCTTACGAAGGTCATGCCTAAAAATTTGTCAAATTCGTGTAACTATGCGAATTTAAATCCGTATAGCCGCATTACTTGTTAATGAAGTGTAAGTTTAGGTTGTATGAAAATCACACGACCTAAACGCGAGCTAAATTTTGATAAAAGTTCTTGCACGAAGTTCAGTAATATGTGTTCGAGAACTTTTCCTTGTAACTGAACCANGCATGACATGCAAGACTGACGATAAGTTTGAGTGTGTGGACGGGGCTTAAAGGCCCTTTTTCACTACGGTACTGATTCGGAACGATTGTGACTGGCCTGAGAACAATGGTGTTTATACACGGAGCGACTGGTCGCGTCGATTAGTTGATTCGACTACAGTTTCGCCGGCTGAGAGCCTATACACGAGGAGAGTGTTTACGGTACACCGGGTACAGTCCGGCAAGTCCGCCAGTGCGACGTTGGGAGTTGTCGAGTAACTGCATGGTGGAAGCAAGCGAGAGCTCCACAGTTGTGCATACTACAGCGGCTAAGAGACAAGCAAGAAAGAGCGACGCAGTTATGCTCACTATGAAAGCCGAGGCGCTACTGGGCTCACTTGAGTCTTGACTGGCTTGAAACAACTTAGCTGCTTTGCGTGCAATGCACCAGCCAGTCGCCCCTGAAGACGTTAATCATCACAAATATTAATTGAGTCCACTAGTCGACTCAACTAATCGATGCATTTAGTCGGCTCGTGTACCTTAAGCCCCATGGCTGGGCTTCAAATGTGGCGTGCGCGTTTCCACTACGCACATGCGCTGGGATCGAGACCCCCGTCCACACGCTCAAACTTATCGTCAGTCTCGCATGTCATGCCAGGATTGACCGACAAGACGGAGCGTGTGGATGCTCAAAGTTTGACGGCTTGCATGTCGGGTGACCGGAGCTTGAGGTTTGACAAACCTGGAAAAGGCGGCGGGCGAGACCTTTGGGCTCATGCAAGACTGACGATAAGTTTGAGTGTGAGGACGGGCAACCGACTAATTGGTTAAACTCTTACGCTATCTCAATCTATGTTGCTGTTGAGAGCTGTGACATTGTTCCTCGCTAGCTCTAGTTTTTCATATCTCAAGATAGCCAACATTAGTTTCACGATTTATTTTGGCGAGTCGAATTATATCGTAGTTTCCTTTGTTTGTGATAAATTCATCAAAAAGCTACAGTGACACGAACAAGAGAGCACTGGCCTAGGAGGCATTGATTGCTAAGTGCAAAGAAGTTGATCCTACAGCAAACAAAGACTTTGTAGCGAAGAAAATAAACTCTTTATCGAAAATAATGTGCCAAAATGAAGTCGTCAATGCGCTCTGGCGGTGATAGGGATGCTGTCTATCCCTCATTGTAGTATTTTTCAAGCCATTTTCGGGACCACCGCGTACGTTTGCATCGCTTTAACCTAATTTTGGTGGCACGAACCGCGATCACAGCAGCGAGCAGCACTAGCTCCTCCGTTGCCGCGAGCGCACAAGACTGAAGGAAAGGGGAAGTTTGAACCTGTGGACGCTCTTCGGTCTTCCGTCAAAATCGGTCAAACCTGGCATGACATGCAAGACTGACGATAAGTTTGAGCGTGTGGACGGGGCTTAATTAGTCAGGAGTAAAAAAAAAAGTTTTTCAGGCGTACAGTCTCATAGTGGAGGGAGCGCAGCCGTGCACCACCAATAAGCCCTAAATCGAACGCCTTGGATCTCTCCGGACATCTACCATCAGCCGTGAATCATTCGGCTTTGTTCTCCGGCCTTGCATAAAACCAGCCATGCACCAGCAGGCCGCGGATCGAATATGACTTCCGGGCATCGTTAAATTACGTAATTTTACGTTCACCTAATCTGTGCTTAGGTTTCAGATAGCATAATTCTGTACCAAAATTTATCGTCCTTCGACGAGTGGCCGTTCGACCGAAGGCTGGTTCGACACACGGCCCAGATTATAAGATATGATTGTCCAGAAGTGTTGAAGGCTACGTTGCGGAAGGCAGGAATCATGATGGTCCATTACATTCCGGGCAGTGGTGGTCTTCGGCAGACGACCCGTGTCCGAAAAGGGCCATAAGGTCCGAAATCGATGTTACTAAGGCGGCTACGCCAGATGTGGCTTTCAGGATGCACATGAGATTATTGAAATGAATGCGGGCGGCTAATGGTGAATGACGTCCACGGTTCACAACGAACCAAGAAGTTTATGATTATATTCCAAATATTCTTTCAACAGAGCTCAGAAGCTCAGGGGGTGCCGAACCAGCCAGCACTTTGCACGGATAGATGCTGGGTTTGTGACCAATCACCGGTTAGATCCTTTCTTCTTCGGAGCTGAGGCGTTAGATTTTCACACGAACGATGGTAGCCTTTTCTGATTGCCGTCCAATGAAAATCGTGTACACCGTACAATATTTCGTATAATGCCCAGCTACTGAAACCTCAGTCGGGCAGTTCCTTTTTACGCCGAATTTTTTCGAACAAGGCGAAGTTAAGATCACAGGCAATCGACAAACCGATGCCACCAGACAGTGAATAACCATAAAGTCACCGACATTAAGAAAATAAAGAAACGAGAGTTGCGGAGATAGCACGTCCTGAAAATACCAGTCTGACAGTTATAACACGCTGTTTATAGAGCGCTTTTCGGGAGCAACATCAAATTCCATTTTTGATGTAGAGCTCTCAGACAGCGCTTAAAGATCAGCACGATTGGGCTGAATCTTGTTGTTTTAACATTGCTGAAGCCAATAAACATTAGGTTTAGCTGGAAGCGCATTGTAATTGTAGATATTGGCAAAAGCGGTGATTTTTAGACCAAATTTTAGTTGACAACACCCGTGTCGCCTTATTGTGTAGTTCCTGCAACTACTCAAATACGAAATTTGGCCCGAGCCATTATCTCAAGCGCAAATGGTGTCTGGTTTATCAGCCTCCGTTCCTAAGAAACGGGCTTCGGGGAAGATACTATTTAATTCGGCTTTAACATTCGCAGGAACCGGAAAAATCTTCCTGACTACCAATATTTTGTATGATTATGTGCGGCTACTGTAGTAGTAGCAACTGAGCGTGTAGTGAAAAGAATTTCTGGTCATCAAAAAGGCATAATGGTAATTTAGTTTCAAAATAATGCAAATCACGCCACGGTTGTTAGACGTTCCATTAAAGGGAGACTGGAGCAGAAAGCTAAGCCAAGTCTAGATGCCTCGATGACCCGAAAGTAATGATTTTAACTGCAGTCTCAGTTTCTGCCTGACAGGAAGCAAAGACTTCAAAGTGATTCATTTACCCGTCGTTAACTGCTGCAACAAAGATCATAGCACGCGCTCACTCAAGCGATGTTCAACAACACAAGGAGAATGAAATGAAATAGTGTATTTATATGTACAGTATTAAGTAGGCCTGGATCTCAGGTCGAGAAGAAGTGTCATAAATTTTGTAAAGAGAACATTTCAAATTTTAGGGAAACCTCCGAGGGGAACGAAGGAAAAGAGCCAAAAGATCGTCGACTAGCACCTTCCATGGATCTGTAAGCTATAAAGAAAACATCACTTTGTTCATGACCGAAATTACCTATACACATATGTGCGATATATTAGATTTTCAAAGGAAAAAAATTAACTATGTGCGGAGACGAATTCTATTCACACGTGTTTTGTGAGAAAAAAATTGAATCGAGAAATTTGAGGTGAGAGGCACAATCTAACGTGGTTTCTAAATCCCATTTCATCCATTGAGACTGATGTGTTTTAAAATATTTTCTAGATGTAATTTAGTTTCAAAATAATGCAAATCACGCCACGGTTGTTAAACGTTCCATTAAAGGGAGACTGGAGCAGAAAGCTAAGCCAAGTCTAGATGCCTCGATGACCCGAAAGTAATGATTTTAACTGCAGTCTCAGTTTCTGCCTGACAGGAAGCAAAGACTTCAAAGTGATTCATTTACCCGTCGTTAACTGCTGCAACAAAGATCATAGCACGCGCTCACTCAAGCGATGTTCAACAACACAAGGAGAATGAAATGAAATAGTGTATTTATATGTACAGTATTAAGTAGGCCTGGATCTCAGGACGAGAAGAAGTGTCATAAATTTTGTAAAGAGAACATTTCAAATTTTAGGGAAACCTCCGAGGGGAACGAAGGAAAAGAGCCAAAAGATCGTCGACTAGCACCTTCCATGGATCTGTAAGCTATAAAGAAAACATCACTTTGTTCATGACCGAAATTACCTATACACATATGTGCGATATATTAGATTTTCAAAGGAAAAAAATTAACTATGTGCGGAGACGAATTCTATTCACACGTGTTTTGTGAGAAAAAAATTGAATCGAGAAATTTGAGGTGAGAGGCACAATCTAACGTGGTTTCTAAATCCCATTTCATCCATTGAGACTGATGTGTTTTAAAATATTTTCTAGATATTTTGAATTTAGTAGTCCACCTCAATGACCCTCAACTGTGTATTCCATTCGTGTAACATCATTTGTCATTTTGAACGAACATTCCTTTTCACATTTGTGAAAGCTTTGTGCTAATAAAAGGTATGAAGTGTAAATATATCTAATGATTCAAATAAATTGTTATTTAGGGAAAATTAATATCTATTTCATTGAAGATCATTAACCCAAGAAAATAGCATGATAACTGACCGAGGCAGTCTGCGTTCGCTAGCTGAAGTGTCTTCCATTGGAGCTTCTGCCGCAGCAGAGGCGGGGGAGCCAGGAGAGCTTCGATAGTTGGGAGTTTGCCCTGCAGCAATGCAGTAAAAATGATGCAACAATGCAAGAAAAATTATGCAACAATGCAAGAAAAAAGATGAGACAAGATTAAAAATTATGCAAGAAAGCAATACAAATGATAAAACCATCTAAACTTATAACAATCTAGTCAGTTAATGCACATTATTCTTCAGTTCCAGTTCATACCTACAGAAGAGTAGGGAGCAATAACAATTAAAAATGCTCATGAATATAAGTAAATTAATTATGCAATTCAAAAATTAAAAGCAAGAATTAAGATGTACGATAGTGCACAGTGAAAGTAATAGTTACAAATGAAACTGTTACTTACCCAGAGATCCAGATACCGGGAGGAAGTTGTTTTCACCGCAATCGGGCCGAGGTGTCATGTAACTCAAGTTAAACAATGAATCCTTGTAATCGGTAGCGTTTTCATCGATAGAATCTCCCAACTGGAAAGCCCATTGATGTCCCAACGAAGGCGAACAACTTGTGCAGTTGTTTGCGGGTGTCGACGCCACATTTCCACTCTCAGTTCTCAGACTATCATCACGATTGCTACGAGAAATATTGTCCTGATCTACATTAATTGATGCAGCACTACAAACTTCCAGATCACACGGAGGCACAGATACCGAACCCCCTGAGTTGAAAACCGATTTCCCTTCCAATGGCTTGGCAACGGGTAATACGTCCAAATTACTCTCGGGTAGTTTTGATTTCATTTTCAATTTTATATCACTTTTGATCGAACATATTCTTCTTCTCTTCCTAGGAGATTTTTTCTCTGAGTTATCTAAGTTTGATTGACGTTCGGAAGCCTGCGAGTTGACATCTGAATTAGGGCCGGGCAAATCAGATTTTCTCTTTTTACTTTGGGTTTTTAGAATCTGAGAGTTACTTGCCAATGATGTGCTTACAGTTCGATTAGTTTTAACCGTCTTATTGGAATCGGGCATGTTTTCTCTGATGGAATTAGCAAGTCCTATATCTCTAACCTGTAAACTAAGGTCACTGGAAGACTCACCACTGACCGACACAATTTCAGTTTCTTCGCGAAATTCATACTCATTGTGAGTCCCAAGTTCCCTTTGACGGTCTCTTTCAGCCATTATTTTTCGGATTTTGCCAGGGCATGAAGATCGTCTACTAGATTCTACCTCACCGTCAGTGAAAATCCTCTTCGTTGCTCTCGAGAATTCTTTTTCAGATGGAACATCTTTCTGAGGGACATTATTCTTATTTCGCAACTTTGGAGGTGATTGAGGAAGCTTTTTATGTTCCATTTCGGGAGTTATTTGCATACGATTTTGAAGAGAATTGATTTCATTTGAGCTCAAATTTTGAACAACCACTTTAGGGTCGTTATGCAGTTTGAAATCAGCCACTGGAGTGGCGAGAGCATTTTGAGAAATTTCATTTTCTTGCCGTAGAGTATTTAGGGTTGTGTTTTCTGTCACTGACATATGATCAGAATTCTTCGGAAGGACAATTGCTTCCGGAATGGAGTTTCTTGAACCTGAAACCATTGCATTGCTGGTTGAAGTTGTTGTATTTACTACATCGAAAGAACGGAGTTCCTGCGCTTGGATCCTACATTCATGGTCACAAGAAGGCAGTTGAGAGTTTGCATACTCGGTTGTTTTATCTAAAAGAATTGCTACCAGTTTTGCCTTTTGACGGTGCAAGCCATCCTTCGTACGAACATGAGAATCATCAATGGCTGCTAAGTGTAACTCAAAATTATCCATTTCAGAAGAAGTATCTTTCTTTTGGCTGTGCAAAATGTCTGGAGTACCTGTTGTTTTTTGAGAAGTGCTCACACAGCAGGTAGATTGAATTTCATGCCTTGGTGTCAAATAAGGGTCTCCAACAATTGCTGCTAATTCTTTTTCAATACTGTCCAGGGGCCGTGCGTTGAGAGTTGGAATTTCACGTTGTGGGATCGCTTCATTATTATTGCAAGTTAACTGAGAAAGTGGAGCAAGTTTCTTGTTTACATCGCAAACAGTTGAACTGTCTATGATGCAGACATTGTTTTCTTCCAAAGGAGCGGATTGTCTCAGTGAAGCTCTTTGATTCTTCAGCTCCGCTTTTAGAGGTAGACTTACTTTTCTTTGAACAGCAGTCGCTGAATTGATCTGGAAAGGAACTCGAATATCATCGGTTGGAGGTGTTGCAATCGTTTCTTCTTGAGCAGATGTTTCATGAATTCTAGCATTTTCTGAATTTAATACCTCTTCACAACCTCTGCTTATAGAGCATGGGTCACTTTGATTTTCTTCAGTGGTGATAGAGGAGCCAGTATACTGAACACGACCCATCTTGATGATAAGGGGCGGTAGCTTTGGAGGATGTAGTTCCTGTGGAGGAACCAGTTGAACCGAAACATTGTTCCTTTCTGTAAAGGAAACCGAAGCAATTGATTTGTCAATTTCAGGCGACTTGGTTGGCAAACGTATTTTCAGGATTATTTTATCTTTCCCTGCAGCCAAACTCGTATGCGTCGCATTGCAATTTTCATCGAGAGAATTCGCTTGTCCTTCCGAGACAAATTTTTTCTCGGATGGTAAGTTGCTGGACGTTTCCAACGCTGTGTTAGTTTTTCCGCCTACCAGAGCATCGTTCTCCTGGTCTCGGCCACCTTTTACACAGGAAAATGGACGAGGACACTCCTCACCAACGGTGAAGTTCCTGTTTGACGATGTGAATAGATTTCCTTCTTCGATTGATTTAGATTTTTCATTGACGAATAATGCATTTTGGTTCTTCTTCTTGGGGGATCTGCGGATTTTCCTGATTTTCTTTATTGAATTATTAGGATTGTTGCCGATCGTCAATCTTGGCTTATGCTTTTTAACCAGGTGGATTTTGAAATCGCCTCCTTGAATTCGTAACGGAGTAGATCCAGGGCCATCGTAGCTAATTCGATGAAGAGGAGTGTACACAGGAGTGAAACTTCCATAACCAGAGGAAAAATGCAGCGGCGTAGCGTTTGGTGTAGTGAGGTAACTGTAATTGGGATCATGAGCAGGTGTTCTAATCGAACGCTTCACTAATTTCCTCGATATTTTCAAAAGCGACTTGTTGGATCTTCTCTGTTTCAAATTTTTAAGTCGATCAGCCACGGGAATATTTTCGGTATCCGTGTCAAAATTTTCAGGAGTTGGGACCACAGAAGAGAACTCACTCAGGTCGTTGATGCCTAAAGGATCTCGCGGATTCCTCGGTAATAAAATTCGACTCTCGCATTCATCGCGTTGCCAGGCATTTTTAGTACCGTGCGAGTGCAATATAGTCTCGTCGTTTGTCGAAGTGTACTTCACTTCTGCTCCTTTAAGTGTTCGCTTGATTGTGAGCTTGAGAGGTTTGTGTAACGGTAATTTGAAGCTTGCGTCTGCAGGCTTCGAAGCCGGTTCACTAGATATTGAATTTGCAAAATTATTGGAAGACTGTTCATGTAATTGTAGTGCTGAGGTAGGATTCGTAGAAGAGGTAACGATTTGAATTTCCGTTGGCAATGGTGGGCCCTCCAATAAATACTTTGCTGAAGTAGGAGCAGGGGGTTGATTTGATACAATTTTCTTTGGTCGCCCACGCTTCTTTTTGGAAGGATTTTGCATCAGACGAATATGATCTCGAACATTGCTTGTAATTGTTCCAGCTTCAATGTGTTCAAGAACTGGAGGACAAACTGGCGTGGGAGGTTCGTTGTCGAAAAACTCTGTATAAGATACTTTCGCTGCAGCTCTAGTGGACCGAGTTGTTCTTTGAGCAATTTGCTCGGGCAGATCACTTACTAGGTAAGTTTTCTTTTTAGGGGGCTTTCTGGACTTAACATTCGTTTTTTTAGACTTATTTCTGCTTTTAACAAGGTTGGCGGACTTAGCTTCAACAGAAATAATTGGAAAATCTTCCGGAAATTCTTTGATACTAGCTTTAGTGGGAGTTTTGAGAGTATGTTTGAGTTCATTCACAATCCCAACATTTTCTAAAAGTGAACTAGTGTCCACATCTGATGAGGGTTGAGATGGATTCAATGTTGGAGCACAAGACGCACTTTCTGCAATGGGTCCTTCATTAGATATACTTTCGCTTCTCTGTAAATCAGCAGATGGTAAATGCGGAGATTTTGGAGACACGTTCACTTCAGTTTCTTTGATTGACGACAACTCGATAGTTTTCAGAGGACCATTGTCATTTATTGTTCCTGCGTCAATATAGCCTTCAGAGAGGGGTACAGGAAACGTTTCGGAATAATAGGATTGTGTTTTCTCGTTGGATTCGAGTTGCTGAAACGTTGACGCGGTTCCAGTAATTATTGAGCCTCCACTAGGAACTGTTTCATTCGCATCGGTTTCATTATTACCATCGCAAACATCATTATTAGACTGTGCAAGTTGATGAGATTCCTTGTCTTCTTTATTCTGTGGACAAGCGTCAGAGAGATGGATCAATTTCGATTTTTCGTGCAAGTCTAATTCAGTTTCATTACCTTCTTTGGGAGAGAGTGAAAACTGCGAAACAGCTGGGGACAAAGCTCGCGAATCGCACCCTGGGGATTTGCTACTATGACTGGATGTGCTGTGGCGTCTTCTTCCTAATATTCGACTCATTTTGAGGTTGCAAGACGAATCGGCATCGCTATCGTCGTTCAAAATTAAAGCCTCATCTTTTAAGAGAATTGCGGATAAAGGCCCTAAAATGGAGTTTTTACTACTTTTGGCGTTCTCACATGACGCATCTTGAACAGGCTTAACTGTATTAGATTCAGAAGTTTGTGTAAGATGATCGATTCGAGTCTCAGTTTGAAAAATAGGGGGGTCAAGAATTGATGCAGAGAAAGAAGATGGTGAGTCAGATGAATTGATGGCGGATAAATTATTGTTGGTAGACGACGAGGACAGGGCTTCTGATATTACTGAGCCCCTACTGAGCATCGTAGCTGATTTAGCATCAATCAGATTTTCTGAGGGCAAGTCAACAATAGTTTCATTGGCAGAATGCGAGTTCGCTTGGACAAGCTGGGTTGATGCGAATGTGTCGATGCAATCCGACACCTGATTAGCCGAGTATGAAACCTTGGAGACACAATTAGACGACTGTGATCCAAACCCTGAGCCGTCATTGAAATCCACAATACTCACTGGTATGCTACTTATCGAACGATCAAATCTCATTCCAGATTCAGAAGTTTCGGTGAAAGTCGATTGAGGTGCTGTCGAAGAAATTTCAAGCGGAGGAGGATTTATGAGGAAATGATCACTCTGAGCAACATCCCTAACTCGTGGACACTGCGCTAGTGATTCGACCACACTTCCTTCGGTGGTTGTCAGATCTTTTTCCGTGATATCAAGATCTGCCTGATGGACTGAATCCAGTTTAGCGGTTTCACTGCGAATGTGGCGTTCAGCAAGTGTTGTAAAGCTTCTTGAGTCAGATGGCACCCCATTATTTCTCGTCGATTCATTTTCTAAATTTAAATGTGCTTGTTCAAAGCTTTCAACGGAGAAATCGTTTCTCTCTTGATTAGCAATATCATCCAAATTTTTCAAGAATGGAAAATTTTCTTGGAATGGAGTTGCGTCGGAACAGAACGAAGAGTGGCTTTCCGAACGAGGTTGATCAACAGATACTCTCTGATAACGCTTCAAGAATTTTCTAAGTCGACTCGACTCCTCAGGATGGCCTTGAGATTCTAAAAACGTTCCGTCAGGACCTAGCCTCAAAGCTAAATCACTTTCTAAAGCTTTACCGGGAACTGGTGCAACGGTTCGAGTTTCCCGTTGTTCTTTCGAAAACGTTAATTGGGAAGCAACTTTCTTTCCGAGACCTTCTAAGACGGACAGTTCTTTGAGTTTAGGTGACACAAGGGGGGGATTCAGGGAAGGGATGTTGAACTCAGGATTGGGAAATAGTGGATCCGGAGCATCATCGACCACATTAATGGGGCTATCCTCAGGAGAAACAGGTTTGTGTAAATTATGATTAGCCGGCTGATGTCCAGGATTGTATAGACTAGTAGATCCTCCATTCAAAAGGTCTTTTCCAGGAGCTGAGAACTGCAGCCAGCTGCTTGAGGGAGGACACGGTATTATTACAGTCGATTTCTCACTGGCTGGTGTACCAACCTGATTAGGAGGCACGGACGTAGAAAAACTGGTGTTAGCAGTACTCCTATCATCCAAATTATTTGGCGTTGACCGATTCTTATTCTCGAAATTACACTCCTGATTAATCTTCTCCATTATGAGGTAAGTATCATTAACACTTTGTCTACGATTTGAGGCGTATGACGATTGAACAGGTGCACAACATACAGGAGTTATATCTGGTGAGATACCTTGCGGACAGGGTGGGGGTTGAGTATTTACACTAGCTGATGCAGGATACGACATAAAGGGCAGGTGTGTTCGTGAGGGATTAGAACGTTCATCGGAATACAAATTCAAATTTGAGCTAGCTTCCACAGAAAACTCTGTTTGCTTAAGGGACCTTAACAGTTCCGTAGATCTGTTATAGGAGCAGTTCGGAACAGCCAATTGCTTAGTGCTCATGACGAGTGAAAGTGGTGAAGTTTGAGGATTACCGTCAGGTGAGTTATTAACAGAATATTTCTGAGAAGGATGCTCTGGGTGTGCATATAAATTACTTGAAGCTGACCGAACAGTGTTGAAATTAGCTGGTTGGGCCATTTCTGCACGAGGAGTTTCATTCTTTTTTGGGTCGAAACCTACATTTCTAGGGAAAACTGGCACTGATGAAACATCTGGGATCAAAGAGGAGCTATCAGCGTTTCTGCTGATGTATTTTCGGTACTGAGAAGAATCTTTCCATCCCACGGGAGAATCGATGACAGATGATGCGTTCGCCAACAAATGCCTTGAAAATAATTCTCTACTGACACTAGGTGGCATGTCAGCACTACTTGAAACGATCGTTGGCTGATTGGGAACAGTTCCACGGGCCGGATCCCTTGGCTCGCCAAGGAGATGATGAATGTGATGATTATTTCCAGTGTTAGCCATCCTCACGGGTCTGGAATAAGATGCAGAAATGCCATGTTGATTGATATCTAAAAATTGGGTTCCCATTCGAATTACATTGCCTCCAGACATTTCAGCTGTAGATGGTCGGAAACCGGTCGGAAGTGGGAATCGTCCTTCAGGTGCTGGATGTCGTATTTGACTTACCAATAGATCTCGACCAGGCGGGAATGCATGGCCTTGTTTGAATCCTGCTGGACCTAGAAAACTGGTATTCCTATCGATTGGAGGAGGTTGAGGCGTGTTTTGCTGGTGTAATAATTTCAGACTTGGATGTAAACCTGAGCGTAATGGAGGTACTTGATAGGGAGAAGTTGACCATGGTCGATTAGCATGAAACGGTGGGCGTTGCTCTGCCATGCTATGTTGAAAGGACGATTGGTGCTCGAAATTTGATTTAGGGCGATTAAAAAAATTTTGGCAAATACCACGTTGATCCACCTGCTTTCTTTCAGCTACACCCATTTCTCTTGCAGCCCGATCGATCGGATTGAGATTACTATGCTCCACAACTGAGTCTGAGAGCTTATTCATTGCGTCGTTGTTCACTGGAAAATAAATTCCTTTTTGCGAACACTCACGGGCAATGCTTTGAACCTGAAAATTGTCTCTTTTATTTGGTTCTGGCAGTCCATCCAGCTCCCGCCCAGCTTTTTCACGGTTTAAAATGCCATCTCTTGTGAATTGTTGAGCTGGCCTTGAAATTTCGGGAATACGATATAGATCCATTGCTGGATAATCTACTTTCGCACTTTCGATTCTAAGTCTGTCCGTTTTATATTGTTCTGCGACACTCCGATTTTCAGGGGTTTTTTGAAATATTTCGCTCCTTTTTGAACTTTCAATTTCTTCTCTTCCTTTCCTGTCAATTCCTTGAGGACATTGGCTTTCTCTTCCACAAACATCTTGAGCACTTTTGCAGCTATTAGGTTCCCGATCAATCAGGGCTTTTCCATCGCAAGCTGGCGCATTTTCTAATAAAATATTACCTCGATGTTTAGAATCTTCAAGTAGTTTTTTAGATTGATCCTCTTGTACAATTTTTTGCTGAACAAAAAGCTGTTTCCTTTCACAAAAAGTATTCTGATCGCGTTCATTCAAATTTTGCTGAATTTCTGACCTAAAATTTTCAAGCGAAGTCGACATGCCAGGATTTGTTGGGAATTCTCTATTTCTAGTTTGATCTTGCAATAAAGCATGGAGCTGACTGGGAGGTCGACTATCAATTGGGCTCAAAATATTTTGATGGCTAGATTTCTTTTTATCTTCCTTGTACTTTTCTTCCGCCTCTCGTAAGCGACGGGCTTCTAAACGTTGCTCTTCCTCTGACAAAAGTCCAATACGAAGCACGGAGTTAGTTTGAGATACAGAAGGAGCAGCAGTAATTTTGGCCAGGGTCAATTCCGACAGGAAGTCTAGTTTTTCACAAGTTATAGGAGTGCGTTCAAAATGATTCTGAGGCGGAGCAAGACGAGTTACATTCGATGGGGAACTATGAAACTGATTATTTAGTTCAGTGCAGGGGAAGTTTCTTTCCATGGATTTCATGTTAACGGTCGAAGAATTATCGACGCTCAGTTGCGGGAGAAGGGGAACATCGTGAGGTGCGCGCATCAAATCGTGGCTTGCATCACTGGAAGATGAAGGCCCTCGAGGGCCATCTTTCGGCCTTGTGGCATTTATTGAACCACAGGTGCCAGGAACTGATTTGGGAGCATCTGTTTGGGACAGCAGTTCTTCGATTGTGATATTATTTGATGTCGGGCAACCAATGTCCAGTGAAATTCCATTATCAATATTTCCAATAGAACTTACCGAATTATTCGATGTTATTTGACTATTCACGGAACTTGTCAGAGTTACTTGGCCATGGACAGCAGTGGTTTGAATAGCAGGTGTTTCAGCGTTGGTTTTAGCACTTTTTTGCTGGTTATTCGGCGCCAATGTCGTTTCATTCTTTGGAGCCATCAGAGCAGCATGAAGAAAACTAATTGGAGGAGGATGTGAAGACGTCGTTTGTCCAACGTTATTCGAAGAAAACCGTTCAGATCTAGGAGCGTCATTGACTACGGGGTTAGGTAGCGATGCGCTTATTTGATAACGCGTCACGTTCATATCAACAGGATTGATAAATCCTGGAAGTGGGACATTCAAACCTCCACCAACAGAGCTCCCAACAGAGACCTTCAAGCAAGTTGCAGGAGCTGTTGCACTCAAAGGTAATAGTTGTGACATTACTGTAGGACCGTGATGCGAATCAACTCCACTGTTATAAGCATTGGAGGTGCTGATACTGCGTATTGGTAGAATGCAATTGTTACTGCTATTTGTATCAACCGACTGAAGATGAGCCGCGACCGGTACACAAGGCATCGGATTTATACTTGGAGTTTGTTGGGGATACGAGGCATGCGTCTTTGAAAGATTAGGAACATTTTGTTCTCTTATTGGTGCAATACTATCGGGAAATACAGGCATCCCAGAAGGCTGGAGTTGGATAAGGAGCGGTTGTGAACATGAAACGACGGGAAGCGACTGATGAGGTCCGAGGGTAATCGAGGCAACCATAGGTGTCTGACAGGAAAAATTGGGTACAGTGAGCGGTTGGCTAATATTTTGAGGGGTAAGAGATGACGTATTTGTGGAAGTAGAAACTATCAGAGGTATTTCACATGAGCTTGTCATGGGCATGAGTTGGTGTCCAGAAATTGTTGACACATTGCGTTCGTGGGATAATGCACCGCCATCAACCGTCGGCAACATTGAAGTCGTGCAGGTAAGAGACGAATTTGTACTAAGCGATGCGGTTGACAAAGAAGATGTTGGATAAATCACTGCCGTGGAACAGTACGCGACGTTAGCACTGGAGAGAATATCCAGAGAAGGTACGGATGTGCTCAGAGATGGCAGAAGAACGGGTTGAATGACAGAAGTGCTTTGGGTAACAGAAAAATCGGTGTCTAGGTTATTGACAGGAATAATCAATGCATTGGCATTTGTACAAGCAGTTGAAGTTGATAGAGCTGTCAGTTCTGAAGGTACGTTTGCGGAATTTGTAGTCGTCACAATCGAAAAACTCACCGAATCAGGGATAAGTTGTGGTTCACCTGGGAGAACGACTGGCTTTGTCAAAAAACTTAGACCTTGTTCACTCGAATCTACATCAGTCGCAAGTAATTGTAGTTCATTTTTCTCTGTAGCTTTGGAAAACGTTTTTGTGGGAATAGTTACAACTGGTGCGGAGTTCAACACAGTTATGGCTGGTGTGATGGGGCTCTGCTGCGAATTCGCAGTGTTAACGGTAGCATCCGACATATCATGTGCAATCGGAGTCATGGAAGAAGGTGTGCTCCTTGAAATTAGACACTGTGAAGAAGAAAAAGCTGGAAGCGTAATTTGGATACCATTAGTGAGCTCAACTTTGTTTTCTTGATTAAAAGCAGAAAATTGAATCGTTTGATTTGGTGGAGCTTGCGAGGTTGCAGATGATCGATAAGAAGCCGGGGGTTTGTTCGTTGATATATCTGCAACTGATACTTCAATAACCGGATCTAGAATGGATCCAGATTCTCCAGATGAAAGTTGATTATCAGATCCATTCACCGAAGTTGACGAAATTGTTGCCATGACATTTCCATCTTCATGGGGTGAATCTACGAGAACTGAATCAAACTCGGGATCATGAAGACCAGCAGATGCTAGCGCTTTGCTCAACATGGACGAAATAGGAAGCGCTGGGGACAATTCGGATTTTATTTCCGTGACCGCGATTTTTGGAGCTTCGGCATCCAACATGAAATTACTGTCGAGCATTTCATCGATTTGTGCCAGAGATGATTGTGACTCGCACAAACCCGTTGGAGTATTCTGATTTCCAGAGGCTATCACAACACTGAACTCGTTCGGAGTTTGACTTGAATTCGACACTATATCGTTCAACGTATCAACATCATTAGGAAGTTCGGTAATTTTTTTATCCTCTTCAGGCTCCCATTGATTCAGTTCGCCACAATTCGAATACGGTGATTCTGCGGGAGGGCTGAATATAGACCTGGGCTTGGAATTATTTTCAGGCGACACTTTAGCAACACGAAACTGAGGCATCTCAAGCAAGTTTTCTTCAGGTGTAGGTGTGATGGATGCAACAGCTAATGCTATACTACGCGAGTTGGGAGAAGATGAACGATCAAGAGGAGAGGAACGGTCAACAGACTCTTTGCGTTGAGTTGGAGCTGTCGACCCAGTTTCAGTGCTGGGTTTCTCAATGATAGTGTTCAAGTGAACAGGAGTGGCACCTAGTGGGCTTACTAGGTTTGGAGTAGCTAAACCGAAAGAGAGCATGCGAGATTCAGATGCCGAAGAAGTCCTTTCGAGTGTATTCTTCAAAATACCAACATCAAATGAATAAAATGGATTTTTGACAGGTGTGCAAGAAGAGAGATGAGCAGGTGTCTGTGAAAGCGGGCTCATTATATTATCTGGTATGCGAAATTTCTTATCAAAGTCCACAGAGCTCAGCCTGGAAACTGAGCTAACAGCAGATTTCTTTCCATTCCCGGCCACGGGGGCTGTAGAACTCACGGCAGTCTTCGAATTTTTATTCATTTCACCCGTTGTTTTGTGAATTTTTACTGGACTTGATACATCTCGGTCAGGAGTATTAAAAATGGAATATGGTTCTCTTACAGGAGTGTCGGGAAGAGAAAGACCGGTACATTCTCGCCTAGGCGTTTGTGGCATGGGACTCATTAACGAAGGCATGGCAAACTGCTGCATGAAAGTGGTTGAGTCAACCGACGGTTCTACTGGCATCACTGGAGTATCCGAGTCATATAAAGGATTAGGAGATGCTATTGGAGGTACTGGACTCAGAACTTTTGGATCAGCTTTCTCTGTCTCTTTCTTTGTCTCTAAATTCAACACGGATTTTCGACTACACAAGTGGCGCGGAGTGGCAGGAAATGGGCTCATGAGAGCTGGTATATTAGTTTGCCTCATGATTCTTGAGCTGATGCATTTATCCTCATCCTTTTCAGTGTCATCACGATTTGTGTCAGATAACATGAAATTATTTGCTTCGGACAAATGTATTGGCGTGGGGGGGATCGGACTAAGAAGTTGCTCCGGCCGATCAAAATTAGGCAGGAAACTGGAATATTTACCAGAGGGTAAGCGACTCCTAATAAGCTGCGGACTTCTATCACCAACAGTAAAAGGATCATCGCGCAGAGCAGCTGGAGTTTCAGGGAGAGGACTCATGAGCGGAGGAGTAGGTTTTTCAAGCAATAGTTTCAAATTTGGCAGAGGGTCTTCTTTCGCCATTTTACTAATTTTAGTTGCTTTGGTTGAATTTTTTATCGAATTAGTAGTATGAGGTGATAGGTTTACTCCGCACCGCGAGTTCTCGACGTCATCATTTTTCTGAAATTCGATGAACTTGAAGGACGATCTCCATTTTTCAGCTGGGTCGTTAGTTCGAGGTGAGGGTTTGGTATTTCTTGTTTTGTCATCGCGATCAGTGTGAAGGGACGAACCGAAAGAGGCCCGAGAACTTAGTTGTGACAAAGAAGGATCACACACTTTATCTTTACCCAGTTTTAGAGAATGATGTTCTGATAGATCGCGCTGATTCCGGACTGCAGCATTACCCAAATTTTTGTGAATGGCTTCCGTTTGCTCGCTTATTCGAGGTGGTGGTTGTTCAACTTGCTTTTCCTTAATTTGTTCTTGTCGTTTTCTAGTAGTATTTTGACTTGAGAGTGGGCTTTTCTCCAGTATCTCTCGATTTGGTTGTGTGTCTTTCGAGAAGTGTTTTTTGATGTACGGTTTTTCTGTGCTAAATGGCGATTCTCTGTTAGTAGTTTGATCTCTTTGAGCAGCAGTGTTTTTTGAATTTTGCGATTTTTCATGGAAATTGTGTTTCATGTAATGTCGATCTTCTACAGCGTCTGTTTGATTCAGTGGCCGTTCTCTTTGTTGTTCGAGGATCTTATCGTGTCTCGTTTTTAGGCTTTCCCTCTCTTGGGACTGCAAGAACTCTTGCGGGCATTGATCAGGTTTGAATGGAACCGTTTGATTTCCATGTTTATTAAACCGAGAATCAGTTTTGGACGGATTCTTTTCTTTGTTATTCAATTCTTTACCTCGTTCAGTTCTGTTGTAGTCCTGTGAGTGAATCTTCGTTTTTCTATCCATGTGGTGTGTTTTTGAATCACGATGCTGGTCCCATAAATGTGGATTATTTTGTCTATTGTGTGATGGAGATCGCCACGAATTTCTATTCTTGCTATTAGAGGCATTTTCCAATCTTTCCCGATCGTATTTTCCCTGTAAGGAGACACTTTTCTCTTTATGGTCAGAATTTTGAGATTTTGGAGAACATCCAAAGTCAGTGCCTTTTACACGAACTTTTGACATTTCATTTACGCTTTTGACTTTTTCAACGGGATTGAGCATTTGAGCTGTCACAGCAGATGCAGCATGATGCATGTGAATGGGTGTTCTGTTCTCATTCTCAAGTCCAAGTCGCTTATCGTTATTGAAATTGCGACTATCTTTACTTTTTCTACTATTGGCCATGATGTTAGCCTTAACTACTTCTGCTACGGCGGGTTGTTTTCCTGATACAGGAGAAGATTCACTCCCAGATAATTTAACAGTCTTGCCGGACATGGCTGAATTGCTACCATTCGACTCATTCCCAACGACTGAAGAACCGAGCAATCTAGAAGATAGATTTTGATTGCACTTTTTCTCTAATTTCGATAGATTCAAGTCCGGTGACTTAGTGTCAACCAATGAATCATTTTTTCTTTGCTTGATATTGAAATTCGCATTTTTTAGATAATTTTCTTTCTGGCTCGTTACCACAGAACAATCAAAGTAAACGGGCGATTTCAAGGTAGAAATTGTGCCAGATCGCGAAGGCGACAAAAATGCCTCACGCACAGGAGTAGGAGGCCGATCGAGATCATCTCCAGAGCTTGGGTAAGATGGCACCTCAGGCGAGAGAGATCGAATCGGGTCAGGAGAAGGCTGGAAGTTTAAAGCGTGAGCAAAACCAGGAGTAGGTGGACGTTCAGGAAGATCACTGCAGTAGCTAGAGTCATTCAAAAGAGAGAAACTAGAATCCAGACGGTTAAATGGCGTGCTAACATGTCTGGAATTCGCTAACGATTCAGCAAAGCAATCCAAACTCTTTCCTGGGGTGGGAGGACGGTCAAGATTCGGAATGTCATTATCTTCCGAAAGAGTAATGGGTGACAATTGGGATACAATAAATCTTTCCGTCAAAATAACAGGATTATCAGATTCAACAATTTTGGAAACGGATTCTACGCAATCTTGACTTTGTGATTGTGGCGATTCATCTCCGAACAACACTTTCATTTTTGATTTCTGAATATCAACTTTATGCACATCAGGTGAAGTTCCTATATTTTCAAGTGAATTTGATTTCTTGTCAATAACTTTTGCAATCATTTTTTCACTTTTCGATTCATTTCTTTTCTTGCTTAATTCGTCACTTGCACTTTTATGCTTATCATGAGTCTTCTTATGACTCGTGTCATTTTTGTTTCGCAATTTTTCTTTGTGCTTGCGTTTCTTCCTATTGTGTGATAAATTTGCAAGCATTAAATCATCTTTAATAGACGATGATGGTAAAGGGGCTGATTCTGTGTCTACGTGTGAGCAGGAAACGGAAGCACTAGTACTGGATTGCTTTACATTAGGCATCTTTCTTTTTGTATCGTGATCTATTTTGGGGGAACATCTCTCAATGTCTTTCCTAGGTGCTAGTCTGAGAACTGGAGGAAAAGTTGACAGGGTGCTGAAAATTAAATGCATACATGATTAGTCAAAATAACTAGATGATACAAGAGACAGGGAACACACATCACTATTACTACTTATTTTCTTTCTTCCTTCAAAATTGCTAACAAAAATTATCATCAACAATCACATCTCTCACCTCTGAGCCGGAGCATACGTAATAGATGATTTCTTGGACGCTGTTTTTCTAGACGACGTTTCTGATGAATCTGGTGTAGGCATTTTCTTTGAAACGGCATCCCTCTCGTGTCGAGCACTGGACGAATCATCTTCTGAAACGACGGTTGTGCAGGCCCCTACGAAATGATTAGGAGGCCATTGATCTTGCCTGTAAGTAGAGTCGTTGTCCATGTGGACGCTGGTGCTCTCTATGACAGTTTCGCTGGCAACAGGTGGTGTTTCTTCTTCATTGAAGAATTCGCCCAAGGGATCGGCAAAGTTCATTGCTCGCATTATTATATCATTTGCAGCAGAGGAACTCTTTCCTTGGCCATCAGCACCAGCCGTACTGTTGAGCTCGGTACACTGAGGAGCAGATTCGAAGATAGCACTACTGAGGGTGATAGGTTTATTGGACATCAGAGCAGGGACCACGGTAGCGCCTCCAATGCCCGGGATGATCCTTTCTTCGCTCATGTCTGGCACAGGTAATACGTTGATGGTTCCAGACGAATCCTGGAGCGATAAACTAGAACGAGCGGGCATTACAGGATGAACTTTTCGTTGAAATGGCATGCGCTCATGAGCTCCATGAGGATGGTGGAATTGATTGCTTTTACCAGAAGGGACTTGTGCCTTGATTACTTTGAAGCGCGGGATATGGAGATCTGCTGATGCAGTGTCGGCAGGAGGATGTTGATAGTCTCTTCTGTTTTGAGATTGATGGTGATGGCGAGAACTAGACTGACGCTCAGAATAAGGCACGTTACGCTGTGTAGAAGGCACCTGTGGCATAGCATACTGAGGAAAATTTCCATGACTGCGGGCTCGATGATTTGGATGATGGCTTGAACTTTGATCAATCAATGCCTGGGGCCTGCCTCGTTGGAATTGAGGATTTCCAAAGTGAGTATTGTTGACCGCTTCAAACGATGGAATGTGAGCCCCAGGGCGAGGTGGGAGGTATCCCATTGCAATGTGTTGCGAGTTGATTTGATCGTAAGGCAAGCCTCCCTGAAAACGTCCCATTGTGTGAGATGGTGGCGGGGGAAATCTTGCACGCTGGTGGCGATGGTCTTTAGGATCTCCATCTATTTGATCTATGGAGAAATCGGAAGCAACACTACTGACATCTGAATCATCCGACTCGTCGCCTGAAGAAAATAAATTTTGGTCTTCTGCTATTCTAGATTCCTGTTTCAAACAGAACGTAGACTGATGCGTGTATTCAACTTCATTCACATTAAGAACATGAAATGAACGAGACTTGAATCTCTTAGGTGCAGTAGACGACGACGAACAGGAACAACTGTGCACATCATGTGACTGCCGAACACCAGAAGAAAATTGAAGCGGCGACGTTGAGCTGTTGTCACTGACAACAAGAGCTTCTCCACATACGGAACCATCGTTTTGAGGTAACATATCCTCAATTTCTGGATGAACCACCGCTCTGTAAACAATGGATTTATGAAATAACAGTAACTTCTCAATTCAAAAGAAATCAAATTGCACCTAAGTTCTATTGATAATCCAGTCCAATAATACATGAAAGCTATATGGACCATATCTGGAATCTTACTGAGAATAAAAGATAGAATATTTGAACTACAAAGGCATCACAATAATATTTAAATTAAATGAAATAGCCATTCCTATAATGTTAATCTAAGACAATTGTTCAGAGCAATATCGAACATACAGAACTACAGTAAAAACTTCGAAAAAAAAGAGTCTATGCCTACAGAGTGAGTAATTAGCTTAGTCAGGAAGTATACTGTCACTTCTGAAAATTTTTAATCCTGATCACTCGTTAAAATTTTTCGAATCTGGTTTCAAAATACAACACCAAAATATTCAAACACAAGGTGGAAACCAACAGAACATAGGTCGTACAATCAAAACTCGTTAAATAGACGTTTCTCTTCTGTGATTTGTGGGTTTATCTTGAAAACTTTCTGTGATTTGCTGTCGGAGCTATGAACTCTTAAATATTTTGATTGTACGCTCCTATAACAAGAAATAGATTACAGTTTGGAAGAGTCCCTACGTAGTCGCACTTCTGGAGGCTCTTAATCCTGATTGATCATTAGAATTCACTGCTTCAGGCTTGAATATATCACACTAAAATATAATAGCCATAGCAACAGGGCAAGTAAATAGTTTACTGCTCGGAAGACTCCTTCCGTAGTTGCACTTCTGGAGGCTCTTAATCCTGATTGATCATTAGAATTCACTGCTTCAGGCTTGAATATATCACACTAAAATATAATAGCCATAACAACAGGACAAGAAAATAGTTTACTGCTCGGAAGAGTCCTGATGAAGTGGCACTTCTGACGATTCCAACTGGTGCTCGCTCAGCCACACGGGCTGGGACATGGCGAAACTCAGCGCCTCGTCGCCCTCGTCTGACTCGTCGCTGCTGCCGTCAGCGACATCTTGACTCTTCTTCTGACATTCTGAGGGTAAAGGCACAAGTATTAAATGCAAAATTTAGGATTTCCTTAATTACACTTAATATAAATTAGGTGATAAAATGACTTTATTCTTGACTCTTCTTCCGACATTCTGGGGGTTAAGGCACAAGTATTAAATGTAACATTCAAGATTTCCCGAATAAATTACAATTAATTGATATAAATTAGGAGCTAAAACGACTATTCGGTTTTACAATTTCGGTGTAAAATAGAGGAAAATATAAAATTCGCAAGACGGTGAACAAAGATCTGTAGTTGCTGGATAACAACATTCATGGGAACTCAGGATTGGCATTAATTTCAAATGAAATAAAAAATCTTTATGTGATTTTTTTCAGCTCCTACATACCTGAAGAACCTGGTAGCTCAAGAGCATTTTCATCAGCAAGGTCCGCTAACCGCCCAACCAGGGACAAGTCTTCCAGACCCACTGTTGAACAAACATTGCAGCAAACATCAGTATCACCTTCATAAAAAGTCTTCAAAAATAATGTAAGGAATTCATGAAATCAAATCGTTTAGCGCCTGATTGACTAATAACGAAACACACCATGCAGTTTCAATACCAGCTGTAAGCCCCAAAAAATTGGCAAATGATCGTTAGAGCAGCATATGTACTTGTGAGCTTAAGTTGTATTTTAAGTACAATGTAATGTAATTAATTGCAAAGTTAAAACATTACACTAAGGCCGGAAGTGAAAGGATATTTTAACTCGAATTTCAATATCCCTGTTCATGAGCTAAAGCACGTAGGTATTGGTGTACACTCTTCTCAATAGGATACAAAATTAAAAAGGATTAAAATTTCTACGATGGTGAATCTTTCTTAGTTCATGTACTAACGGAATTGTGAAGATTCAGCCTGAGAAAACGAGGCCGCCAGTTCTTCATTGACGAAATCTTGGCGGGACGAAGCAAGGGCTTCTTCTTCCTCTCGAGCAGCGTCGGCCGGCGTCTCAACGTCCATCTGTTCAATGATAATTTAAGATGATAATATTCAATAAACACTAATGGCACACATTCTGAAATAAATAATTGTGTTTAAATGTAGTATCAAAAGATTTTCTATATATTATTTCAATGGAACAGATAAATTTAGACAAATTTTAGCTTTAATGAAAACTGAACTTTACGTATATGTATGAAACTATGAAACAAAGATTAATGGTAAAGGTAGCTTTGAAATTACAATCAATGATATCGAGAGACTTAAAACAAGTGATGACAAAAGTAGCTGTGAAATTGAGACCAATGATAAAGGTGGTTTAGAAATAGAAGTTCAATTATAATGATTGGTCATAAATCAGTATAGGTATACAAAAATAATCATTGCTAACTGTTATGCGAACATGCGATTTGTGGAATATACTATTTAGGTTGAGGCAGAGCTAAATAAAAATATCAAGGATGGAGTCATACCATAAAAAGACTAAAGTACACAGAAAATGAGAATTAGGCATCTACATGGAATATTTCCACTGCTTACCAGAGGAAATGTGCACATAAATATAGGTCACAAATAATAATAACAATAATTTTAAAATAATAATGATACAATTTTAAAATAATAACAATATAATTTAAAAAGAATAACAATATAATTTAATAATAACAATACAATTTAAAAATAGGTAATAACAATACAAATCAAAAATAATAACAATATAATTAAAAAGTAATAACAATATAATTTAA